ACGAGGGGTCTCTAAACACTTGGGTTGCAGTTGAAGATGCAGACGAAGAAAGTGCTGTAACGAGAAATGCATTGACGATCATGAATCCAAAGTAAGCCCTCTGTACATATTGATCAATATGTTGCAACGTTGGTGCACCTGATATTTTAGCTAGAAACCTGAAAAATACAGGAACTAAAGAAATTAAAATGACCAACAAAACTGAGGGCAATAATCCTGTAATAATACCTAATAACTTGTCTGGCATATTCAATATCCAGCGCAACCAAGGTAACTTGTTAGTCAAAGCCGTGATATTCGTAATTGTACCAATAAATGCGACAGGAATAGCATAGAAGATAATAATAAGAACGGTTATCACAATTGCAAGAAAACTTCTCATTATTTGTTCCCACCAAAACACTCTCAAATTTGCCCAAAACATGTCCGAAGGTTCAGATCCGGAACTACGTTGACTCATACGCAAAGGATTATGGTGAGACGTTGATTGCAATGCAACTTGAGCTGCATATTGGTTTTCAAACTCAACAATCAAAGAGTTTTTCGGAGCAAACTCTCTATACCTTTTTTGTAAGTGCCTGACTTCTCTGTCAAGCTTAGGAATTTCTTCGTGGCAATATTTGACGGTATCAACCTTCTTGCTAAACCACCCATTTGCTCTAAACCTGGGTCTTTTCTTCTCAGGAACATATGAATCTATTTCATCAGCTGGTTCAATAGTTATATGCTTTTTATCTGCTTTCATTTTTGCCTTCACTGCAGCACGCAATAATTTATTCTCTGCGAGTTCTAGTCTGTTTGCCAAGCCCAGCCTTCTCCTGATTCTTCCCTCTAACTTTCTGACTGTTCTAGCAACATAAATTCTCTTGACACCATTGAATATTTTAAATAATTGCTTTTCGTCAAGTAAAGGATCAGGAACAAAGCGAAATAAGACAGTTCTGGAACTCAACTTCTCAGCGTATTTTGGTGAAGCTAATGCTGCACTCTTCAATGAATTGTAGAAGAAAAGTTCTCTATAAATCACAAATATCACTAACCCATAATATATCCAGCCAATGAAAACATGAGCATAGTATCTATTTTTATGCTTTATATTTGAAATAGATAATTGATCAAATCCATCTGTCTTTGCCAATGATTTCGAATGACTATCATGATACCCATTTGTAGCATTCACAGGTAAAAGTATTATAAATGACAAACATCCCACTAAAAACACTAAACCAAATATATAAATGTACCGCAAAAAGAAGAACCCGTCCAAACCAGCCTGGTTAAGGAGGAATGTATTGGACTTTCTCAAAACTAAAAATAGCCATCTAAAAGGATCGGAGGGAAGTGGTTCAGGTTTTTTGTCTTCAGGCACAAAGTTGAACGATGATTTTGGCATATAGATTCTCTTTAGCTTTATCCTAAACAAAAGAAAGATACTCATAAAGATTCCGAAGAAGGCAAGATTTGCCACGATTGTCGAAATGACCGACGAAGTTGAAACGGACGGAGTAGTCACCATCTTCTATACTAGTGCTTCTCTCTTATTCAGTATTCATCTAACCTACCTAGGAATATTAGGAAAAAAGTAAGAAAAGAGCAATGGAAAAAAAAAAGACAAACCCAAAACATCGAGTTCGAGATCGACAGCCTAAGGGGGCCGTTTACAAGATTACTGAGAATTTCAATGTTCATTCATAGCCTTCCGGATATGGAAAGTTTCCCCTTAATACAAAGCTGATTAGTGATCTCATAATCACCCCCCAAGCCGAGCCAGTAGTAAACCACAACGCACAGAACATTGTAGCAATGAATACTGGTGACAGAGTACGGCTGTCCAACCAAAATCCATATACGTCATCGTCATGCGAGATTCCGGTATTTCATATAAGCGAAGAGATCATACACATAAGGGGAAACAGCAAATGAACAGTAAGTAAACTGACAAGAATCTTCTCAGAATGCTTTAATAAAAGTGACAAGTCTATTCTCGCTGACACTATATGCTGATGTCATTCTCGCGATTCGAACGGGCTTGGTGGAGAGCTCTGGTTAGAAATTCACAGCCACTTGTCTCAAGTAATACGTCATATCCTATAGAGAAAAAATAAAATCGTGTAAGAACCACAAATATGCCCTATTTCAAACAGCTCATCAACCTTTCCGGACGCAAGAGTGTTTTAGAGTCGGAATGTGAACGTATGTGTATATAAGAGCATGATTCTTATATGATGCAAATATGACATTGTGGCCGAGTGGTTAAGGCGACGCACTCGAATTTTATGAGGGATGCGTTGGGATTTCCCGCGCAGGTTCGAATCCTGCTGATGTCGTTATTTTATTTTTTTTTTTTAATTCTTTTTTTCTATTTAGGAACAGATGGCGGCGGAAAGATCAGCATTATAATCCTGCTCAAATATATCTATTAAGATCCTTTCATGCCCAAATCAGCTAAGCGTAGTAAAGCACCTCCTGAAGGTTTTGCTAAGGTTGAACCAACAATAAATAAGTTCCTTGTGAAGCTCAAAGATGCTCAGACCAAAGGAATGAAAACAGAAAATAAACATAGCTCATTATGGCCAATTATTAGGATTAATCACCAAATTTCTAGGTATATCTACAGCTTATACTACGAGAAGAAGGTGATATCAAGAGAGCTCTACGAATGGCTTTTGGAACAGAAATATTGTAATAAGGATTTAATTGCTAAATGGAAGAAACAAGGATATGAGAATTTATGTTGCATTAACTGCATCATGAAGCAGGATAAAAATCACTCATCAGCATGTATTTGTAGGGTCCCGAAGGCAAAGCTTGAAGAAGATAAGAAGGTCGAATGCATTACTTGTGGTTGTAGAGGATGTGCAAGTACTGATTAATATACTCTAATATTTATTTGAACTATAAAGTCTGATTAATACATTATTATTACGAGCAAGCCTGTCATCTGACAGACTTGATAACTAACGAATTAACGAAACATAATAAGAATCATTCATAAAATGAATGAAGAAAATAAAAGTAAATTATAACCAAAGACACCCTCCATTATTAAAGACCCATTATTCATTATCAAAATAATCTGTTTCCTCGATCCATATCTTAGAAATTCTTGAAAGTAGTATACAATTAGGACATATGCAATCTGTGAACCAACAAAACTAAATCTATTTCATTCGTCAACATCTGTCGAAGAAGAATTAATCTCTCTAGTTTGATCGGCTTCCTTGTCACTTGTCGAGTCATCGATTCTTTTAAAATCATGTATCAAATTGCGACTTGAAAAAACCTGGTGTTTCTTGGCTACGGTGTTTGGCAGTTGTTGGTGGTGTTCTAAATTTCTCAACATCATATCATCATCATCATAAGAATTCAATAATGTGGCAGATGACCCTATTAATGGTGAATAGTAAAAATCATCCAAGTAGGAAGGTGAGTTCCAAAGCTTTTTCATTATAGAGCTCGTTTGGGGTGTTCTCGAATTCTTGAGTGGGGTTCTTAATATATTGGATTTCGGAGTCTTCTGTATTATGTGGGTAGTAGCAGCTGCGGGATGATGATGATGTAGATGATTTATAGTATGGTTAAGATGTGCACTTAATATAGATCTTTGTGAATGAGTATTCTGCGATTGCTGTATGTTGTAAATGTTATTGGCTGGCGTCAATGGTTCTAATAGCGGACCAGTTTCACTCGGCCTTATTGGGGAAAGCTCTAAATTAGAGCTGCAGCTAAATGATGAACTATAAGTTAGGTTCCTGCCAGCTAGCAATGGTTTATCTGTTGATTCTGTTATTATTGAAAATGGGGCATTCGCAGGACTTGCTGTGAGCTTTGAGGTTATATTATTATGAGCAAAAGGTGCACCAAGATTTGTTGCAGTATCGCTTGGACTCTCATTGGGGTCAAAAAGCTTATGCTTCTTGATTGGGGGTTCTAGTAATGGATGAGTTAATTCATTATACCGATCTTCATCGGTGTTATATCCTTCATCCTTGTCATAGTCAGCAGCCCTTTCGATCTCTGAGGACCTTCTTTTCTTCTCATAATGCTTATAAACTTCATTATCAAGATCGTAATCATTAGAGCCATTAGGTGACGACGGCAAAGAGTTTATGGATCTTTTTTCGGACTTCACTGAATATATTTGATCCATTAATTCTTGGTAAGAGTGCTTTTTATTAGATCTTGTCTTGAGAAATTGCTCTTCGCAGCCTGTTTTAATGCACCAAAAATGCCCTTTACCATCCTTTGACTTTTCGCCCTTTATAAAAGCTTTATTCAACGATAAATTATGACGAATGGAATTCTGCCAGCCCACCTCATCGCGCTTGTAATATTTAAACGTATCAGATATCCACAGATAAATCTGCGAAAGTGTAAGTTTCTTCTCTTGGTTGCTTAAGATTGACATCCCTATTAATGTTGCATATGAATATGGCGGTTTATCATTCGAATCAAAATCAAAAGACTTTTCCTTAATAGCTCTCTTGGATTTCTTAGTCTTTTTCCGAGATGGTTTGGGTACATTCTCATCTTCAGAAGAAAACCCTGACGATGATGAAATGAATGAGGGTTTCGGAGGTGGTATTTCATTGATTGTGTTCTTCTGTTGAGGTGATGAAAAAGCAGGAGAAAGCAAAGCCGCTTTGGAAGAAAGATGATGCACTTCAGATTCTATATTTTTAGAAATTGGTGTATCAAAAATCATTCTCTTTCTGTTACCTGTCATGGTACTTTCAGGTGGTGTACTTATCCTAGGGTTTTCGCCCTTCGCTGACACCGGCGTTTCCATTATCTTGGAGTTACTTCGATCAGTCATCGCCTTGTTAAGGTGCCTGTTTTCTTGTAAAGGCTGCCGAAGTGACTGGCCCACTTTTCCTTGTGCACTTGACATAGTGTGCTTCTATCACTGGGCACTTGGCGGCAAAACTATTTGCAAATATTCCTTATATTGCAATCTTCAAATTCTTTTCTGATAACTGTCTTCTTAAGCCTACGCTGCTTCTTTATCTTATTCTATGGCGGATATCTTTTTCCTATATTTATTTGCCGTTAGACCTTGTGGTTCACTTTTATTCAATAACTCGTCGTCTTTCTTCCTTGATTCTCACTTTTTGGGCCCTTTTCTTATTTCTTATCCTTGCTATCAAAATATATAGGATATTCCAGCCCCTTGTAATCCGATGATTTCAGCTTCAACTGCCACACGCGTTAGACTGCCTGCGTGCTATTATTTAAATACCTGAAATAGCCCCCGATGGCATTTGGTGTTTTCGCGTTTTCGCGTCTTTCATTAAACATGGATTGGAAACGCTTACGAAAATGCATTAGAGTTGCTACAGGATATCTTATTTCGGAAAGGGATACTAGACAACTGTACCTTTTGCATTGACAAGTTACCTAAATAATCTGGACTAAGATTTTTTAGAGAGGAGAAGAATGTTTCATTTGACAAAGATCATGAGCGTGTCGGAGTCGAACTGGCGATGACAACATAAGAGACGGCACAAGGCGTTTACAGGCTACAGGGTAATATCCTCCCTGCGGTCAGGTGCCAAAGGGCCGACTAGCACGGCGCATGCTTTGATTTTTCGGGAACTACAACTCCCCTAAAGTCTGTACTTAAATTTACCAATAATTCCATGATTTACTGCGCGGGCTCGAATTGCAATTGGTTAGAAATACTTTTTGGTACGTTCTATCTATAATGTAATCGCTAGTTATCGTATATATAGCCATTAACCAAAACGTCGACGGCGAGCCAGAATGGACGACACAGTCAAATCGTTGATTCGATTTGTTGCTAGGGGGTTTTATTCTAAACCATATATATTGATCCTCGACGCTTTGCTTGTTCACTCTGTGTTGTCAGAAGATGATTTGATATACCTTTTGAGCATCCATCGAAAAGAATTACGTTCATTATGCAATAAGTTGGTGGATGACAGGTTGATCGTCAATCATATCCAAAAGGAAGAGAACTCGCAGCAGAGACTTATTACCAGGACATATTTCTACATCCATATTGTGGAAGCAGTTGATGCGATTAAGTGGAAAGTTCATTCTGTAGTCAACATCATCAAGCAAGAAATGACTCAGTTCGGCAATCCGCAGGGTTATGTTTGCCCACGATGTGGCAAAAAGGTCAGCCAGCTAGATGCTATTTCATTGTTGAGTGATGATAAGGCTAATTTTATATGTGATAATTGTGGGGGTGTATTAATAGAAGATGATTCGAGTCAGCAGGCTTCGTTAAGGCAGGAGAAGTTAGAGAGATTGATGATACAGGTTGATCCAATAATTTCGTATTTGAAGAAAATCGACGATGCATATATTGAGGACAATTCATTCGAGTCTTCATTAACAAAGTCCATACCTGCTCAAAGCTCTTCTGCAGCTTCATACGCCGTTTCCAACAATGTATCATCGAGATCGAGGTCCAATCTATCTTCTTCCTTACAAAATGCGGCATCAAAATCTCAAGCGACTTTGCATGTATCGATTACGGCTAATGACGAAAATTACGAAAAAGAGCAGCTTGAAAAGGAAAGAAGAAGACAAAAGTTGGAGCAAAATGCATTGCCTTCTTGGCATTCTTCAAGTACAGTTGGGGAGTCTGGACTTGGTAAACTAGACGATGAAAAAGACCTTTCCTTGCAAGGAGATGAAGATATGAAGGTGAAGGTCGAATCTGAGAATCACAATGGTGATATTAATATGAAGCTGGAAAACACTTCTATGAATGTTACTCCTGCACCAGCAGAGGAAGAGGAGCCGTCGCTAGCTGCACCTTCCACTGCATCAGAATTAAAAGATAAGGAAGCGCAAGATGCTTTGGCTGCTTATTACTCTCAATTGGCTGAACGAGAGGCCGAGGATCTTGATGAAGAAATTGATGACGAGGATTTCGATGATTTTGAAGATATATAGGAATACAACTCGTATAGATATTAGATGGCATTTAAATTCGGGTTCACGACCTTTGTAGTGATATTTTCAGATTTTGGTTATCACGTCTTTTTTTTTTAATTTTGTTGGAAATGAAAAATTTTGAGACACTACTAAAGTTAGTACATGCTGGCTCACTATAAGCATCGTTAACCTTAACATATATTGCTGTCTACAGCTCATAGTAATCGAACATTAAAGTTTGTGAAGCGATGTCAACTGAAAAAAAAGTAAGTAACTACATTTAGGACATTATAACTCTTTGTCGGTTCATCGAAATACTTACATATTACAGAAAATTGATCCTTTTAAATCCTTTATAGCAGGAGGCACTGCTGGTGCAGTTGAAGGAGTTGTTACCTATCCTTTTGAATTTGCTAAAACCAGACTTCAATTGGTGGATAAATCATCTAGGGCGTCAAGAAACCCATTGGTGTTGATCTATAATATATCGAAAACACAAGGTGTTTCTGCGTTATACGTTGGATGCCCTGCATTTGTCGTTGGTAATACTGTCAAAGCATCGGTGCGATTCTTAGGATTCGATTCAATCAAAGCTCTTTTGGCGGACAAAAATGGAAAATTATCTGGTCCAAGGGGAGTGATAGCAGGTTTGGGTGCTGGTTTACTTGAATCAGTAATCGCAGTCACCCCATTTGAAGCAATTAAAACTGCATTAATAGACGATAAGCAATCGGCAAAACCTAAATTTCAAAATGGCTTGATCTCTGGCAGCGTTAAATTGTGCAGAGAATTAGGTTTTAAAGGTATATATGCTGGGATTGTCCCAGTTTCCTTAAGACAAGCTTCAAATCAGGCAGTACGTTTAGGATCATACAATGCTTTGAAAACGATGATTCAACAAGCGTCTGGTACGAAACCTAACGAGCCCTTAAGTTCATTGTCTACGTTTGCAGTAGGTTCACTTGCAGGTGTAATTACTGTTTATACAACAATGCCGATAGACACAGTGAAAACAAGAATGCAAGCACTTGGTGCTAATAAATTATACACATCAACTTTGAACTGTTTCGTACGAATCTATAAGGATGAAGGATTGCTTACCTATTGGAAGGGGGCTACGCCGAGACTAGGAAGATTAGTTTTGAGTGGTGGTATTGTCTTCACCATCTATGAAAAGATTTTAGTCATCTTAAATTAAAATTATATTATATCCTAAATTACATTACATAAGAGGTCTTCAGCCTAATCTAGGACGAGTCATGAAATGATTTGGTCTAGAACTACTCTTCTTCACTCTCCGTCGTATTTTCATTCGCACTGGAGGTAGCTGCGCTTGTATTTAAAGTGGAAGATGAGGGTGCCAAAATAATTTTTTCCATCTGTTTAACCTTGTAGTAGTCCAAAAAAGATTTTAAGACAATAAATAACCCAAATGCAATTAATCCATACGCGAAGTAAGGAGCTTTATGATCTTGATGCGTTATCTCAGAATGCTGTTGGAACATTCCTGAGTTATATGTATCAACTTTGCTTCCTTTTATCAGCAGCCATTTATCAATATCGTAAGAATTAGGATTGTTGGGTTCATATTTATCAGGAAGTCTGTCTGATTGTCCAGTATTTGAGGGTGTCATTCCATAACCATAAAGCATAAATGTTATTCCCAAACCTGCTCTAGATCCCTGTTTTGCGGCATGAGACGTATGTAATAAATAGCATAAAACAAACCCTACAAATTGAAATGCCACCGTCACAAGTCCATTCCAAATAAAATTGGCAATATTCCCAACAGGCAAGCCTTCTACGAACACCTCATCCTCATACATTGGGGAAATGACTGTCGATTCCCAATATTCAGGAGTGGCGTCAGCAGCTGCCTCTTCATAAGATGGAGGGTTCCCTTCTTGTTCAACTCTGTTGGATTCCGTCTCAGGTTTTGCCATCAAATTACGAAATACCCCATCAGTTCCTTGCCCAATAAACCTTCCAGGAACATTTGGCTGCATCCTTCCTGTAGTTAGCCCGTTGTTTATTCGATCATATGTTTGCTTAATGGGCACGAAATGGTGAAAAACATTCAAAATACGTTCTTTAGTAGTAAGCCTCGAGTTTGGTCTTTGTAATTCCAAATCAATGTCTTGACCTACCTCATCATTGAAATCATTCAGTGCAACCTGATGTTGATCTTGAGAGGAGTTCCCTTCTCTGCCTTCGTGTAATGGTCCATTGCCTCCGTTCATAGCCTCCAATCTGTCATCTTCTTCATGTTCAGAGCTACGACGTAAAGCCGCCCCCGAGCTTGTCTGAGGAGGCGACTTACCTTCATTATCGACATCAAAAGATTCCATTAAGCTTTCGTCAGTCAAGGTTGTCTCAACACCATTACCTGGTAACTAAATCTTTGTTAGTATCCCATATATAATTTTAAGTAAAATATATTGTAACTGGCCCAGTTTATTACAACTGAACTTATCAACCTTTTACAAGAAATATGCCTTTTTATACTTACTTCATTATAACCAACCATGATGATATAGTTCCCTGAACTCTTATATGACTACAGTGGTATCACGTTAAATTATTTTGAAGATACAATCTAAAGGAGTCCCCAGCCTACTTCGCATTATATTTCTCGCACGTGACAAAAACAATCGAATTTGATTACTATATAGATGCAACAAAGGTGAATATGTCTACCAGGTTCTAATCTAACTTTTTAGCTCTCAACTCAGCTTCATCTTTGGCTTTAACTTGTTTCCTAATATTCCTCCATACCTTCAACTGCTTAAATTGGAATTGTAATATCCATTCAGTCAAGAAAAGTGGAAACCATCGACCTACAAAGTGCATAATGTATGAGAAACCTCCTTGATAAATATTAAATCCAGGATCTCTTTTTCTTGTAATGCACCGAACAACATTTTCGGCGTACGATTCTGGCGAAACATGTGTTCTTGGGTCTCTGGTCATACCCGACGATGCTTTCGTACTCTCGATTATACCATCAACGTTATACCTAGATGGACCAATATCTATGTTACATGAATTATCACCAATAGCAGTGTTGACACCACCTGTTATGACGCTATGTACTCTGACGCCAAAGGGTTCCATCTCGCCATGTAATACCAAAGCATACTGGTCAATTGCAGCCTTTGTTGAACAATATGCACTAATCCACGGTAATGGAACTCTTGCAGCAATTGAGCTGGTGAATACGATCGTTCCTTTCGCCGCAATGACAAGATCACTCATGTACTGGGTCATATACATATGTCCAAAGACATTGACTCTAAAAACTTTTTCTAAGTCGTCCGCTGGCTGCTCGATTGCAGGAGCTCCTACAGCAATGCCGGCATTGTTGTATAATAAATGCAACTTTCCATTGGTTTCCTTTTTGATATATTCAACAGTTTTCCGAATATCTTCATTGTTGGTGATATCGCATGCCACGGGAACAACACCCCATTCTTTCTGTAAGGGGTCCATTAATGGTAGCGTGTGTTCTAAAGATGCTCCAAATACTTTGTATCCCCTTTTACTCAAGGCAATACACACATTGTAACCAATACCAGAGGAGGAGCCTGTAACCAAGGCATATTTTTGCTTTGACATACTCTCGAGTTCAAATGCTACATTAGCTACGTTATACACTTTCCCTAGAGATGTTTTATATAGAAGACAGTGAGGAGAAAGAGCACTTGCATATGACAAAGCCAGAAGTTTAGTCGGCCTACATGTGAAGAAATATAGAATATATATACACAAAAATGAAAAATAAATCAAGATTATATCCAATTCAGAGTTAAAATTTTCTATTAAAATTGAACTAGATTAAGAGAGTGAAATCTTGACAATCAATTGATCAAAGTTAGGGTTTCGATAGTATTTCACTCTTTCCAGGGGTAAATTTTTAGACTGTGGTACCTTGTAGTCCGTATTCTTTATCTGGGATTTGTATACTACAGCTTCATTATATTCATATATGTCTGAGCAGCCGAGATCAACTGCACCTGGTAAAACACTGGACGGTGCTGGAGTTCGGAAGGTTTTAGGTACATCCGAAAGATCTGGCAATGTTTTGGAGCCTCTCGCCATGTGAAGAGCTGCTCTTCTGGATGTGCTTCCTCTACCGCTTGACTCTTCGGTCATGTTGTGTCTTCTTTTTCTTCTAGATTCTCTTTCTATCTCTTTATCCAAACGCTCTAATTCGAGTTGAGTGAGCTTAACCAAAGAAGGACTATAATCTGAAACCGTTGCCGGATTTCTTAATATAGAATAGAAATCATCCTCTACTTTAAAATCTTGGGAACTTATTCTTATTGAAGGTAATAAACGAGTTCTAATCTCATCATCACTCACAGTTGATCCATCAAAGCTGTATCCAATCAAATTTAAAGCTTTGTGAAATAGCTGCGTTTGTTCCCTTATACTATGCGCTATAGCTGTTGTAAATTCACCTGGTAAGTTCATTTCTTCACAAAATATCAATGAGAACTCTTCGGGGTCATTCTCTTCAAAGTTAAGAATATCCCATTCAAACTGATCAGTTAATTGAGTGTTGTTTATGGTTATGTCGATCTTAATAGGTATTCTTAGTTCGCCCATGGGTTTGTCTGGCTTCGTATGATAGTCCAGTATTTGTTCTTTAATAGATAAAAATATAGTTTCATAATGTGATTTAGAAATAAACTTATAATCTTGTATCAACTGATGCACAAATGTCTCTAATGGTAAAACTCTTTCGTTAATATCCCATAAAAATGTGTCTCGAAGCTTAAATAGATCTCTCTCTTGATCAAAATCTAGCCTGATAGGCACGAGATCCTCGGCCCTTTTTGCAGAAACCCTTGTATTAATTTCTTCATCTGTGAGATCCTTTTCTGGTAGTATGAGTCTGGTGATTGTGTTGGATAATCCATTACCATAACCTTGATATCCTTCACCCCAAATGCTATTGTTAAGTTGGCCCTTACTAGACAAGCTGATAGAATTCATACGAAGCTGTTTGATTTCTGTATACGACTTGATGTCACTTGCCATTTTTTCCATCAATTTTTTATTATCTTTCAACTGGTTAGTATAATCATTCAAAAAATCGGAATCCTTTTTAATCATAGCTTCATAAACCTTGAGATCTGTTGGAATTTCCTTCCCCTCAGATCTTAACTTGTTTGACCACTGATGAGCTGAACTCAAGTTTTTAAGTTGCACTTTACTAACTAAATTCTTATAGACCTGTGGAGGGACGTTCGTATTTGGAGCGATAAAAGGTGGTATTTGAGGAGAGTTTTGGGGTAATTTTGGGTTCTTCACTCCCTGGATGGCTCCGTTAGGTGTTCCTATGTTCATTTGGTTTTTCACTTGAGGGGGTACTCCTTGTACTTGATTGAAATTGATATTTCCACCCATTCCATTAATGGCACCAGGATGTGCTATATTATTTGTTAATGGTGCTGGTGGCCCCGACACCTGACCAGCTACAGGCTGGCTCATACGTTGTTGCCGTTGCTGTTGTTGTTGCTGCTGCTGTTGTTGTTGTTGTTGCTGCTGTTGTTGATGTTGTTGTTGATGTTGTTGTTGTTGATGTTGTTGTTGTTGATGTTGTTGATTATAAATCTGCAGCTGCCTCTGTTGTAGCATAGCTTGTTGACTCTGAAGATAGTTTCTCATTAAATTCTGGAACTGGGGCTGGCTCTTAAGCTGTTGAAGTTGCTGAGCTGATAGATTCGCTAATTGTGGAGGAAGCATTGGGATATTATTTGCAGTTGATTGTGGATGCTGCTGGGGGGTGAAATTCCCCCCTGGTCCGTTATTCTGCTGGCCAAAGCTCATGGGGGTCCTTGAAGATTCAAAGCGTGCTCAACTTTAGGTAACTATGATCAGTTCAATGTGCCAGTGGTAAAGAGAAAAAGTTGAATGTATAGTATGTTTATGGTGTGTGCACGACATTTTATGATACAGATGGAAGAAAATATATACATATTTTACACTTGAAATATATTACAAAATAAGACATAATTGAATTCTAAAATTGAGCTCTAAATAGACAGCGAAATACGTAATCTATAAAAGCTATGAAATTGATAACGTGAAGTGAAAAGAGAGGGCAATAAAAAAGTTTACTACTTATATGCCATGAACTCGAATATTGCACCCATATCGACATACCGCCTACCGCAGTTTGTTAAGTACTTTTGAACTACTTCCTGGCAGTGTGAAAATAGTTCTCTGTTCTGTTCTGCTAGGGCTTCAAGTTGGCCAGTAGCAAGTTTTGCAGGGCCTTTCGTGTGGAAGGAATCATAAATTGGTCTTAGTTGAGTCTTTTTAGCTTTGTCAACATCAAATATGGATTGTAAATAAAGTAACTGATTATATAGTGCTTTATCACTATATTTGTATCTCATTATACCTTTACAGCCCTTGGCAGTCCCTGATGCACCTATGCAACGTTTTCCGTACACTGATATTTGTCTAGTGGTGATTCCACATGCTGAATCGTCGCAAACTAGCCAGCCTGCGTAATATAATGCAATATGTTTCCGTATGGTATATTCTAATTGAGCGTTGATTTTTAAAAGGGGAAAAGAGAACTCACATCTCATGCATGAGATACCATTGAACGTAACTTTGTATTCTTGTGAAGCTTGAATACCGCCAAACCTAAATTTATTACCACATTTACATTCCATTACGAAGTAACTGGTTTGTCTAAATCTTTCTGTGTCAGATATGTTAGATTCGAAGGGCAATAGTTCTCCATTTGAGGCCTCACTTGATCTCGCTTTTAAAACGTATTTCTTAGTATCTATTCCGAGTGAGCTCGCTACTCTAGTTATATCAACACCATCAATTCTTTCAAGTAACCTTTCTACTGGGGCAAATATTTGCTTTTCAAGATAAAAATTTGCGTCAGGCTTTCTCCCCTGCTCATTAGAATAAAGTTCTTGAATAGCTCGAGATCTTTCCGCAGGCGACGATTTATCATCTTCACTCACAGGAGCAGTGACCACGTAAGTGATAACACTTCCAGCCTTGATGACTTTACCTTGTTCTCTTAATCTTAAGGCAACTTGTACCGGCGGCATCGTCTTACCGTTAGGATAATTTTTTGGGTCCTTTGATAATCTCGTATTAATCTTAAACTTGTCTACCTTTATCTCATTTGAACGAATCTTAGTAGTCATTTCTTCTAGATAATTGTACGCATCACTTAGAGCTTGCTCAGGATCCAAATCGGATAAAATTTTATTCAAAATAAAAGTTGATATATCTTTGGACAATTGGCAATATTCACGACGACGCATGTCAAGCCCTTTCACCTCGAGAGTACTAACTACCTCCCCTGTTTTACGGTCTAAGGTGGCATTCATTGCTGCGTACTTTTTCTTCGCATGCAACAATAATCTCTTAAATATATTATCGATATCAATCTCCAAAAGTTTGTAGCGCTCGTTCACTTGCAACTTAAACTGCTCTCCTATCTTGATAGCTTCATCATAATCATCCACTCCGGTGTCAATCATAACAGAGTCAGTATCACCATATACAACTCGCAACCCTATCGACTCTGCCAATTGTCTCGTATCCATTAGAATCTCTCTTCCTTTGTTGGTGACCAACATAGCCAAAGGCTTTGCATAAAATCTAGAATTCACGTAACCCAAGCAACCGTACATCGAGTTTGCAGTCAACTTAAGCGCGTGCTGCTTGATATCATATTGGGCTCTTTGGAATGGAGTGTTACTAGGGTCTTTAAGAAGTTTCTTGACCTCACCACGACGACTGACTAAAGTGTTCAATAATCTCGGTAAGACACCTGGACTGGACTCAGAAGAGGGTAAGGTAGGCATATCTCTGTCCTCATCTAGGGTGTTGTTAAACTTGTCACGATCAACTGTTGTAAAGCAGATATTAAACTCTTGAATGATGCTAGGATATAATGAGTTGAAGTCCATGACCAAGATATAATTTTTGTGTAAGCCTTTTTCTGGTTCAAAGACAAGACCACCTTGGTATTTTGGTTTCTTATTAGATGTTATTGTAGTAGAATCATCATCCGCAGATTCTAAGCGTGCTTGTTGCTGATAATTCGTATTCCTGTGAAACTTATCTTCTTTGTCTGGGACTATGTAATTGTTCTTCCTGAACTCATGTAGTAAAATGAATTCATTTCTACCTGCTCTTGTACCACTCAATGTGTGGGACCAAGCATTTCCAGCGATATTTGTTAATTGCTTAGATAAAGACAAGACTTGAATTGTAAATGCTATTTCTGCTGTGACCTTAACATTTGTTGCATTTTCCTTCAACGCCATTAACAAAAAGTTTGCATCATCTGAGTACTTCGGATTCTGGAAGTTTATTTCAAGAGAAGGTAACTTCTTATGACAAACAACATCATACATCTCTGGTAAGTCCCACGATTGGCATTTTAGCGTCAACGACTGTCCCATCTCATTTGCAATGTCGCAAAGTAATCTTCCTTGAAATATTTCACGTATTTGTAAATTGTTATTAAAGCCAGAGGTGTTACGGCCAAACCTATCCGGCCACGCTTTCCTGTTTCTTCGCCCAAAAGTAGACCAGGTAGTTATCTTTAAATCATGCATCCTATGAACTAAAACATCCAAAGAGATGTTTTCCAACCTGTGTCCTACAAATACATCAGGGTCCGCATTCTTAATTAAGGCTGATAAACAGTTCAATAACACCTTTTCATTGGGGAATGCCTTGACATTAATGTTTTGTTTTTGAGCCATTTGTTGTAATCCTGGAGGGACAGCGACAGACCCCACGGGTCTCACTAAAGTAATAAGCTCGTTTGGCTGAAGACTTCCATCAATAGGAACATCTTGCTGCAAATCTCTATACGTAGCGATTGAAACTGACACTACTTCCTGCCTGTTCTCCTTTGCATTCATAAGAGTTTGGACTCCAATTGAGGTAACTGTAAGACTGGGAGGCGGAGGAACATGCTCATAAAGTGGCTTAACACAACCTGGTGAGCTTACTACTACTTCTACTTGGCAATGAGATGTGTTTTGGATAGCATTAAAGTCACCGTTTGAAATCTCTAACCAGCAAGGTCCCATAATGTTCCTTTGCATAACGAATGACTCGAAGATGTTGGTATTGGTACCGAAGACATGAAAGAAAGTCTCACCTTCCAAATTTGAAGGCATTGTGAGATGTCTGTTCTTGGATGTCTTGAAAGGAAGTATGACCTTTAAATACTCTGTTTCTTTTGGAATATCTGGCAATTCGAAAGCATACTTCATAGTCTCTGGTTTTGCTTTGAGCTCATCTAAGTCATACTGCTCTAGTAATAGAGGCGCTATCTCTTTGTGCACGTCACGGGGAGTGATTCTGTTCTTTTCTGATTCCTCTTCACCGAGCCTATATTTTCGAGGCAAGAAATAAATCTCTCTATATAAGCCATTGACTTGAACGACACCTGACACTAATTCGCCATCAATTGTTTTAATCTTTCCGAATAAAAGTAAAGTATCATCAACTTCACAATAGTCTAGCCAGAACATTTTGAAAGAATCCTCTGTCTCACCTTGAGGGACCACTTTTGATTCATCCAATTTTACAGTGTGGCTGATCGTTTGGTGATTCGTTGGTCTTGAGGGAGATGATGAAAGCGCTATTGGCGCTTTGACGGAAGAAAAGTTTATATCCTTGTTTTTATTGACTGCTGATGCTCTTGGTTTTCTCGCAATAACGATATCATCCTCTGAATCCTCATCTGAATCTTCAGGGGACAGCTCCATCTTAACGACCAGTTCCTCGGTACTCTCCATCTTTATCTTATTGTCATCGGCTAAAATTTCTTGATCGGCTTTAGAGGGCGTTGCTTCTCCCTCCGGAGGAGATGATGGGGCTTCTAAATCTGGGAAGTCATCATGCAGCTGGTGTTCTATATGCCTTTTCGGTTTTTCTGATTTAACAGTAGAGAAGTCAAATTTGCTTTTCTTTGCCACCTTTCCAGCGGAAGCTGATTTAGAAGAGGTAAACACATTGGTCTTTTGTCTCTTAACTGATGGAGTACTTTCTTGAAACTCATCGAGAATATCGTCAATGTTTGCATCTACTTTTTTGGATGGCGCACTTTTCTTATCACTTGGCTTGAAGTAATTGCTAATTTGTGCTGTTTTAGTAACCTTTTGGATTCTTTTTTTGCTTCTCTTTTTATTTCCTTTCGATGAATCCTCGACTTCTTCTTCGTCAGAATAATATGCGGGCCTAGATCTCTCGTCCCACTCATCGACACCGTTATCAACATAGCCTTCTCCATCATCGTCAACTATGAAATCATCGTTCATTAATTGCTTCCTCTTGTGCTTGCGATATGTTTCTTCGTCAACCTCGTCATAGATACCACCAGTTTCATCTTCATCATCAGAATAACTTATTAAGCTTGTACCTGCTTGACGCGCTTCTCTGAGCTGTCGAAGTTTTTCACGCTTAGCTGCTTTCAACAGCATTTAAAATCCTTTCTTCTACAAAGTTTCAAAGTCTATAATTTGGAGAACCTTTGGAAACTCAATTCAAAATGTTTTACTATATATATTAGACGCGTAAATGCAGTTCACGCTTTTTTCTTTTGCACGCGTTTTCCAAAATACAGTATTGAATTTGGCTGCGAACTTTTACAAGTTACCGAAAAGTATCATTCTCTTACATTATATAACACACCTGTCAAAAGAACTGAGATAAGTATTAGAGATCGTAGGGATGTGAAACCGAAGAAAAAAGTTTAATTAATTAGGGTCCAGTGAAGGCCATATTGCTATCCAGAATTAGAGCTATTAAAACCACTCAAAGACCACTAGAAAGCAAATTTGAGATTAATTTACCAAAGTTTTCCAAAAGACTGCTATCACCGAGGATGCTATTGATTATGTCTCTCACAAAATGAGAGTTTCTGACTGCATTAAGAAGTTCAGGGAGTGTGATTGCGTGAGATCTCAAGATCCGAATGAGGAAGGTTGCAATTGGAGCAGCTAACTGCGGATCAGTAAAAAGGTGTTGAATAACAGAAATTCCTAAACCTGAATCAGCAAGCGAAGCAAAAATGTCATTTAAAAGAGGATTATCTCTTTTGATCAAATCTCTTACGGCTTCTGAGTCGAAAATTTCTGAAAGTTCTTCGATTGACCTTTTTGAGGCAGGAGTACTAGTGAATTGACGAAATAATTCTGTGCCAATCCTTAATAAGCCTGGTAAAACATTCGGATCTTTTATGGTGAGTTCAATAACCTGTGGTATAAGGCCAGATTTTTCGGTTGCAATCAAGACATTAGTAAGATTCACAAAGTTATTCTTCAAAAGAAAATCGAGTCCATCAGCAGTGAGCTCCAAAAGCCTAGGACTTAACAAAACCGTGTCAAAAACAATATTGGCTAAATTGGTCTCCTTCAAGGCTGCATTGATCAGGTCCAATATTGGAAGATTGGATCTTTCGCTAAGTACGACGCCCTCATCGTTTTGTTCGAACTCTTGCATATATTTCTTCAAACCTTCAACTAAAACATTGACAACAAGTTCTTCAGAGTCTGCTGTATTGCTAAAAGCGGACGCAATTGCTTCGGGTGTGATTTTAGGAGTATTGTGATGGATGTCCTCAGCCAAAGCCGGTGTTTCAGGACTCTCAGCTGGTAATCCTGAGGTCAAGGTGGCATAAGAAAAGGCGAGAGCTGCGGTGAGTATCGAGAATTTCATAGTTATGTTTTATGTAGCGTATTTGCAATTTACAATTATTGGGCCGAGATGGCTATCTTATATTATTTTTCCAGGCAGATTAAGGTAATCAAAATTGAAGTTGCAGCACTTCTTATGCTAAAAATTCCCCCCTCCCTGAGTTGAAGATGTTTACACAGTTCAGAATGGCGTACTAGTTACCATATTTGATCTAACTTGGATTTTCTTTTTAGTTCTTTCCTTCAATATCTTGCGTGAACCTATTTGGGTATTTGATTAGATGTACTCTGCTTATCTATATTAGCGAAATGGGCCTGGCATGGCAAAAAAATTAAAAAAATAGACAGAAAATCCTCTTAGTATTTTGAACATTGAAGAGAGAACGTGGAGAAAAGCTAGAACAAACATAGAACAATTGCCAGAAAAACTCGCCTTCTTTAGCAGTTAAAAAAGGTGGAAGTATCATAGGCAGAAAAAGATGTCTCATCCCAAGCGCGGAACTTCATCGTTTTGTCTATGTCGTAAAATCTACTAATGCGACATTAATATACGTCATTACGCTCGTTATCGCTTAACATTATAACAAGCTTTATTCTGTACTTGTGGAAGTCTAGTTGAGGAGACTAATTACGTTCCGAACTAAGGGATTGATCTAAACAAATATGTCTTTTGCTAATTATGACCTTGAGTCCCAAACTCTGCTGAAGCTGAAGCGAAACCCTCTACCTTCTGCTAAACAGTCAGAGTCACAAAATGAGCTAGATGAAATAATAAACAAGACATCAAAGCAACTTCTGGTATTCGCAAATTTGATTAGTCAGTTTAACTCAAGACGAAAGCAAATTGGTACAAGAAGAGACTCATCTCAATTGAGAGATGACCTTGATGAAATTACACATAAGATTGGAGATTTAGGTGCGGCAATTAATACTTTAATACAAAACGTGTCGCTGTTGATCAACAAAAAGCAGCTAAATGATCAAAAAAATCATTTGAAGATAACTGAGAAGCAAATAGTCATAAAAGAAAGAGTCACTAATGAGTATAATGAATTGAATAAACAGTTCCAAAGGCTGAGAAGAGCCTACGAGGAGAAAAAACAGAACCATTTACTAAACGAGGCCAAATCACAAGACGCTTATAATGAAAGAACTCCATTAGTCGGACATGAACCTCTGCAAGAACAGAACCAGGTGCAAGTTGAGGAGCAAGTGGAGGATCAGATCGAAGATACAGATCTTCAATACCATATTGCCTTAACTCAAGAAAGAAATCGAGAAATTGATCAAGTCACCGAAGGAATACAAGAGGTAAATGCAATCTTTAAAGATCTAGGAGAGCTTGTGAATAGACAGGGTGAGCAATTAGATACAATCGAAGACAATATTCTACAATTACACGGAAATACTCAACAAGCAGACCAGAAATTAATTAAGGCACATGAGTATCAAAAGAAAAAAGGAAAATGGACTTGTATCCTCTTAACCGCCTTATGTATATTCGTATTGGTAGTAGTTTTGGCAATACTTAGCTAAATAGAATCAAAAGAGAGAACACTAAGCACAATAATTATATATCACGGATCAGATAAAAACCGAAGTAAAAGAAAATAGCCTCCCATAACCAGAATAACTTCAAATATAAGCTAAATTTAAATTTGCTGTCATAATTCAATCTAAAGGATCCATTTCAAGCTCCTCGTCATCATAATCCGAATAATCACTATCATCAGGAGTAGTCGCTTCATCTGCATCACTGAAGCCAGCTTCCTTGCGCCTCCTTAATCCACTCGAGTGGTTCAGAGAAGTCTCAGCAAACGAATGATCCTCATAGGAGTCTGCAAAATGGTGATTAGCTTGTTTGGCTTCCTCTAGTTTCACTCTACAATAGTTTGCTCCTTTCTGCAAAATGGACTCAGTTGCTTCCAAAAGCTTTTCTTTATTGCTCACGACAGCCAAAGTAGCTCCTGTAACAGCACCGAGACCAAGAGCAATCTTGACAGATATTGGAACTAAAATATTGTTAGCAATCGTAACACAGTTGATGGAGCTGATCTATATATTTGCCCTTCTTCCTCAGGTTCTAAATATCCCATTAAGAATAAGGAGCAAGACACAAATAGCTTCACATAGACCACAATAAACAAAACTACTTACTGAAGTAAGGCATTAATTGAAACCTTTCTTTCTTGACGTGGAAAAAGACTTAAACGTCAGCTTAGCTCTCGATAACGGATTGCCCCAGAAATCGAGAACTGAAGAAAACTAAAAAGAAAGCATTAAATTTAGAAGAGAAACGGAAAAATAGTAAAAGCAGTGAGTGTATTTGGCAGGTTATATTCTACTGATAGCTTACTATAGTGTTATTAAGAAACGATGAGTCATAGTACTAAGATGATAACCTGTGAACATGTTGCGAAAATTTCTGCCCCTATTTATTGAGATATAGGTAATGAATAATACATTAGCTTTATTGAGTAGAAATCGATGACTCAAGAAATTGTATTAACGAGACCGTTGGGATTGTGTGAACACTTTCTTCGATCTAGAACTGTTTCAGGGTTTTATGTCAATTTTGCTGTTACTGGTACTTATTCTTTGGACTTGAAGGAAGACTTGAGCATTGTATTTAAAAGTCTAAGAAAAACTATTCTTGATTATCATATTTTGATTTGTAATGTCTTTAAAGATACTGATTTGAACGATTGCATACTCAAACCCATAGAGCTGGCAAAATTTAGCGATATCGTGGTTATCGAAGATTCTGATGTGTTTTTAGATGGAGAAGACACAATTAACGAAAAATTCATGAAAAGAGTCAACGAGGAAAAGTTTGATTTGTACAAAAATTCACCTTTATTCCGATTATTCATAATAGGGAGACATAATCTCTGTGCTGTCTTTGAACATACGATCGCTGATGGAGTGGCTGGTGCTCTCTTTCACGAGCTATTTTTGGAGAATCTAGCGTTCGTGATGCAATTCAGCAACAAAGAAATTTTAGAGATTGACTATGGAATCAGTGAAGCTGACTGTAATATAGAATTTGCTTCTCTATTTAACTACGAAGCAGATTTTAAGTTTTTGCGGCATTCGTTACCTCCGCCGATTGACATCTTCATGGCAGATCCGAAGTTAAGATATGGCGAAGCAAATTATTTTGACAAAATAATTCCCGACAGTCATCCAGATAAATGGGAGGGATTTCATCCAGCAGAATTGAATTATTCTATTGCGTTTAAATTAGTGAATTTGACGCCTTCTGATCTTAAAAGTGTATTATCAAAGTGCAAAGATATGAAAGTATCATTAACGGCATACTTCTGCGTTGTCGCCGCTCTTACCTTGCAGCCATTATTTGGAGATAAGAAGCACACTTCTCACAGGGTTGCAATATCTTTAAGAAGGCACCTAGATCTAAGAGGCGTCCCTACAGAAAGCCAAAACAATTCAAAATGCTTTAAGCGTAAGAAGTTAGGTTCAAATGCATTTGTAGGATTGCCTGAGAATTTTCCACCGTTTACGGACTTTTCCTGGGACATGGTGAAACAAGTTAACAATCATATAAAACTCGTGGCTACTAATAATAAAGTTTTCAACACTCTTCATAGTTTTCAGATAAATTATGATAAATTGGGTGAAAATCCTAGCTATTTTGAGTCAACTCTTGGTTATCCAAAACAAGATGCTACAAAGATCTCCAACTTAGGGTTTATTAACTTTCCAATTTACCAAGTTGTCAATAATGATTTGACTATAGAGAACTTGATATTTTCTCAAGATATGTCTCCCAATACAAGTGAGTTCATGTTTAATATAGTTTCAACACCAATAGGTGGCATGAATATAGTTCTTAGTTTTCATGACGATAAAATTGATTCTACTGGCTCTATGATATTTGATAACTTGGTCGTTCAATTGAAAAGAGCTATTCTTCAATACTGCACTTAGAATTATATAGTCATACATAGTTCAACTCTTTGCACGTGCCATCGTAGTCCGATTTCTTGATAATCTATTCAGATACAACTGATTGTAAGTGTGATTAGGATAAAGAGTCACATTCGTGATGAATTATGATGCCAATACGTATGAATTGCTTGACGAAGATGTTGCGGTATCAGATGGCTCTAGGAAGGAATTGAGATCCCGAAGAACAGGTTCATTTATTAATCAGGAAAGAATTAGAGAGGTGAAGCGATTCAATGATTTCAAGACTATTGACTGGTTAGAAGATGAATTGTGTACCCATAAGAAACGTGTTCAACGAGCTCAGAAACAAAGTGATCGTGCAGTCAGTTTTAAGGACAAGCTCTTGTCTACCAGTCTTAACTGGGTCATACTCGCTATAATGGGTATTATCATTGGAATAATTGCAAGCATTTTGAATATTGTTACGGCTTGGTTGGCAAGTATAAGAATTGGACGATGTAAGAATCATTTTGACTTGAACAAGAGTTTCTGTTGCTGGGGTGAAGGTGAGGAATGTGGAAGATGGATGGAATGGTCGAATCATATAATCATCAACTATAGTATATACATCATCTTCTGCTTAGCGTTTTCTTCTGCAGCTGCAATGTTGGTTATAGTGTATGCTCCTCCTGCGGCAGGCTCTGGTATATCTGAGATTAAGTGCATAGTGTCAGGTTTTGTTACAAAAGGATTTTTAGGTTGGGAAACGTTAGCAATAAAAACCATAGGCTTACCCTTGGCAATTGGCTCTGGATTGAGTGTTGGAAAGGAGGGCCCAAGCGTTCATTATGCTGTCTGCGTTGGGAATATGGTAACTAAATTAGTGAAAAGATACAGAAGAAGTGCATCCAAAGCAAGAGAATTTTTGACAGCGACATCAGCAGCAGGTGTTGCAGTGGCTTTTGGGTCGCCAATGGGGGGAGTTCTATTTTCAATCGAGGAAATATCATCTGTGTTTCAATTATCTACTATCTGGAGATCTTACTTTTGTTCGCTTGTGGCTGTGACAACAATGGCTGCGATAAATCCGTTTAGAACTGGTCAATTGGTTATGTTCGAGGTAACATACGACACCGTCTGGCATTATTTTGAAATACCTATGTATATTATCTTGGGTATCTTTGGTGGCTTGTATGGGATTATCGTTTCGAAACTTAATATAAAGGTAGTATCATTTCGAAAGAGATACCTTGCCAACTTTGCTATCAGAGAAGTTTTATTTCTTTCATTATTGACGTCATTGATATCATATTTCAATGAGTTCTTGCTTCTAGAAATGACTGAGTCGATGCAAATCTTATTCCACGAGTGCGATAAGAATTTTAAGCATAAAATTTGCAACCCAGAATCTAATAAAATTAATATATTCTTGTCATTGATATTTGCTACTATTGCAAGGATGGCTTTCACCATAATCACGTATGGTTGTAAAGTGCCAGCAGGAATATTTGTTCCCTCCATGGCTGCGGGAGCCACTTTTGGAAGGGCCCTTGGATTGATCATGTCAAGCTTGCACCAAAGATTCGAAGACTCTGTAATATTTCTGACCTGCTCCAACGGAAACAAATGTATAATTCCAGGTACTTACGCCTTCTTGGGAGCTGCTGCGGCTCTCAGTGGAATTACTCAACTTACTGTCACGGTTGTAATTATCATGTTTGAGCTCACTGGAGCTGTGCGCTATATAATTCCCACCATGATAGTGGTCGCAATTACTAAGAGTATCAATGATAAATGGGGTCATGGAGGTATTGCAGACCAAATGATTAGTTTCAATGGCCTTCCAGTAATTGATTCAAAGGAAGATTTTTCATTTGATGCTACTGTTGAAAGTGCTATGACTCCTGTCGTAGTAACTTTTGTCTGCGACGAAAGCGATTTGATTACTGTCGGTAAGCTTAAAGACATATTAAAAAGGACTCCTTATCGAGGATATCCCATAATTCAATCTCCAAGTCAACCCAGAATTGTTGGATATATCCTACGCTCAGAAATTTTAGAGATATTACAAAGGAACGAGGAAGTTGATGATAACGCACTTTGCAACTTTGAAAAAAGTACAAGGAACTCTTCCAATAAAGTCGACTTTTCATCAATTATAAATCGCTCCCCCTTAACAATACACATTAATACGAGTTTGGAATACGTTTTTAATATTTTTGCACAAGTGGGGCCCAGATACATTCTTGTGGAAAAAGAGGGACTATTGGTCGGAAACATAACGAGGAAAGATATTTTAAGATACGGACATACTCTCCATTCCTTAAACAATCCGCACACTTCTACAACACTGGATATTTTTGAAGAGAAAGTTTGGAATCTCATGCAAACTATGGGAATGACCTTTAAAAAAGGATTAGGAAAACTTATACATAATGATGAGAATAGATATTTAAGAATTTGAAAAGAAAAGACTTGATAGTCTCAAATTCAAGCATTTGCATAATTTTAATCGTCTTTCCATTTTCCAAAGGACTTGTACTCAGAATATAAGGTCTTAAAGTAAATCCTACCGGGACCATCTAACGACGCATTCAATAGATTCAACTCTTTTGCTGAAAGAACATCAAGCACACTGTATATACCACTTGTGACAATTTTGATTACCTTTTGGTCAAAATTGTAATTCAAGCTGTAATAAATGAAGTTTAGTAATAATACATGTAAATGTTTTCTTAAAGTTCTTCTGATAGCTGCAGAAGTCGAATTTAAAGCATTCGAAAGGCTTTCTCTCCCCAATTTTGAAGGTTCACAGATATTAGTGAGCAAACGGGAATATGCACTAGCACACTCGACGTCCCTTGAAATAGTAGTATCACCAGATTTTAATGAAAGAACTTCAAGCAAAACAGCACACAATTTGATGAGTATATGATTTCTAGAAGATAACTTGAATCTATGAAACAAGAGTACTGAAGAAGTTGCTTTGGTAATTTGTTTATATGTTTCTGATTTGAGCTGAAGAGAACATCCATCATTTAACATAGATGTAAATTTCGTTAATAGACCAATTGTACTCTCCAAGGCATATTGCGTAAATAGCCACGTCTTTTCAGTAAGTAGCTTTGTTAAGGTAAATATAATAGAAATTCTTGATTTTTCATTAAGAAAATCAGCCTTCAACAGTAATACTGTCAACGATTCAACGAAGTTAGATATACTGTTCTCGGTATAATCTTTAGGAAGACAAAGAATAATGGCGTTAAGAACTGTGATTAAGGTATTGATGTCCTCCGTATTCGCTTCCCTTAAGGAATACAATAAGAAGTCGTAGGTTTCAAAATATTCGTCACTCCTCAAAGAAGATAGCCTGGAAAGAAAATCTTTCAAGACATCTTTATTGTCAGTATAGTATTTCTCCAATGATATGAATAAAGCCAACAAGTAAACGGAATTATCAAATGTTGGATACATGAATTTTGAAAGAGCACCAAATACGGCTTTTCTTAAGGAATTTAGTTCCGGTGAATCCTTGGATACCGACAAGTTTAATCCAAGTGATTTGGAGGACCTCAAGACATCCGAAGAAATAGTAGAATTGTGATCTTTTAATTCATAAAGCGTATTCAACAACCACTCTATGAAAACATAATCCTCTTGTCTATTATTTGATGTTATTTCTACTAATGAATTGACAACAACCTTGACAAACTTTTCACCAAGCTCCTTGTATTGCAAAGCATAGCTGTCGTCAGTTGAACCAAATTCATAACCTAACTGTAATATTTCAAGGGACATACCAAGCTCTGCTGAAAATTGTGACTCAGACACCGTATCATAATATTTCCACAAAATCTTAAATGATGAAGTGATGTAACCTTGATTTTCAGCAAGGCCGTAATGATGTAAATGATTTTGCCAAATAGTTCGAAATATCTTTAATGATTTATCTTTCAAATCATTTCGTGTATTATTAACGAGTTTTAATGTATTAATGAAGTTCGTTTCGATCGAAGAAGTGAATGAGGGCTGAGACAAATGATGACCTAGTGAATTTATTGCAGCATCCTGGGAGGCCTCAGACTCTGGATCAAGCGCCATCAAATACACTTGCTCGATTAACTTCTTCTTAATTCTCTTTCCAAAGCATTGTATTGGAATAAGATGTAGAAGCGAAAGTGATTTAGGATCCAAGTTAACTCGTTTTGAAACTTCAAGAAGTACAGCATCAGTTATCATATCCTGTTCAAAAATGATAGAGTTAGATTCATGAAAGAGATCCGTGAGGTCTTCAGGTTTCAGGAGATCAAAAAGTGACCCGACTAGCCACTGAATTTCTTCTTTCGAAAAGTAGTTATTAATTACAATAACCCATCTCTTGAATATAAATTCATACTCCTGGGGATTTTCTTTAAGAAACTCTAAGAAATGAAATTGAAAATCACCTATTTCCTTCTTTGATCCTGTCAATTCAAGAAACCGCAATACACAGTAATAATAATAATTGTCAGAATGATTATTCTTTAGCTGTTTTGCAATGTTTTGGCGAGAAATGCACTCGTCACCATATATGCATAATAAGTAGTAATAAAGCTTCCAATCTGTATCAATAAAGAGGGCACTATTGTCCAATATAAGCGATTTGATGGCATTTTGTTTTTGAAAGGAATTCTTAAGTAAACCTTTTACTACTGAAATAACCAAGGTCGCAACCGCTTTCTTCTCTAATGGCGGAATATCTAAAATACTTTTAAGTTCGTGCTCTGTCAAACGGTCTATTTTAGATGCAATTATATTCATATAATCTTCGCTGGACCAAATTTTATTATTAGCAATAGCTTTTGGCCAGATCAAATGAAAGAATTGCGGTACTTCTCTCGCGTTAATATATACCTCAGCCAATGACTCACCAATGCTCAATGCAATATCTCTTTCTATAGCTTCTACCGGTATTATGGTAAGAATTTGCTCGGCTTTTTCAATGGCCATCTCAACACCTACTTTAATTAAATAGTTCACCAATGCCCAATTGACATCTATAGGTTTCCGCATATTGATTTGCTTGTCATAGATCGAAAGAAAGAAATCGCCGGATAATGGCATATTTGCATCAGCCAAAGTTTTAAGTAAGGGCTCAGCCAAATCATGCAAGCTTTCTTTTGATGTTAGTAAATGATACAATTTTTCACATAGAGAAATATCCTTATTGGATAAATGGCTGATAATCAATGAGAATAAATAACGAAGCGACTCTAGTGATGGTGTCTCTATCGTTGAGTTAAGCATTTGATTAGTATTTGATTCCAAGTGGGATATGTTTTCTTTGTCGAGTACAACTTGTTTCAATATTTTATTTAAAATCTTAGTTGTCATGCAGCTCTCAGTAGAAGTGATAAAGTTTAATGTAGAGGGTAGTGCTTCCCTGAAAAACTTTGCTGTTGACTTTTTAGATAGCTTAAACTTTACTGACGACTGCGGAAGTAGATAAAGTCTTTCAATTATGGATGTCCACTCATCAGTAAATTTTGCAGATTTAATATATCGAGCATAAGATGACAATAAACTTATGGAGAGGTCGTTATCCATTTCGATATAGATCTCCTTGATTATTTGTTGTATTACCTCAAACGCCACATTAATCAAGTCTGTTGGAGAATTATGTTTGAAAAGATCCACGAACAAATCTATGAGCTTTACCTTCTTAAACGTCCTATTTCTAATGCTTCTAGTCACCTCGTCTTTACTTAGATCTTGCCAGACTTGGCCCAAAAGACTCCAAGCTTGGGTATTATATTTCCACCTCTTAAATTGGGGCGTAGAGAAGTCATTTAGTCTATCACATAGCAATTCAAATACAAATCTGGTTTTTCCTGGAAAATATACCTGTAGCTCATCTCTGATCAAAGATGATGCAGTTGATAAAATAATTTCAACTGAGTGATCTTTCGATCTCAAAAACTTGGTTATACCCTCTGTGGTATCCTTGGTCTCCATTTGGGTCCAAAATGTGAGCTGAAGCGTATATATTTATGTCTATTTTGCTCGTAAATGTAATGAACCATTTTGAAAATTTCTATATGGACTCCATCGCACTGAGATAACTAGAAGCATGGAGGAACACGAGAGGGAGCAGAATGGAAATCCAAAATGGATGTTTGGCAATAGTAGGAAACTAATCATAGCATGATAGGGACCTACAAAAAGACAATCATCGATGAAGAGAGATTACAATAACTTAATTCCAAATAAAGTAATGTTATAATTGGCTAAATAAAGAAACTTAAATTAATAATGTTTCTATCTTGTCCTTGATACCGTAAATTTGGTTCTTGATTGCAGAGGCATCATTTGTGGTGACAGAAGCCGCTATGACAGGTCTCGAAACACCACATGCTCTACCTAAAGCTGTCTTCGATGGAACAAAAACGTAAGGAACGTTCTTATCTTCACATAACAAAGGAAGATGCAACAAGATTTCAATTGGTTCGGTGTCTGCAGCCATAATAATGAACTCTGAGATACCTCTGTTCAAAGTTTTTGTTGCCTCATTAGCACCTTTTTTCAATTGTCTCAAGTTTTGGGCTTGTTGAGTGACATCAAGAATTTGTTGTGTCAAATTCGAGTCAGCAAGTGGGAAGGCTTTAGGATTAGTTGACATTGTTGCTAAATAATTCTTACGTTCTAGGCTCCTTGCAATAAGCTCACCAGTACTAATTCTAGTTGAACGACTTCTAGGACAATAGATTAAAAGCTCATCTCTTCCTTAGTACCGCTTCGCAAAAAAAAAAGTTTCTGTATTAGGACTCATAATTACGCCTTTGAGCGTATATACAAGTACACTGTCCTGTATATTCTCCCTCGAAAAAATGGGCTCAGCGAGTCTATGCCCAATAAACTGATACTGTCCCTTTCAACGAATTATTGATATATCACAACTACTGTGGAAGACTTAATCCAACAAAGTTGATAATATTAACGATCATAATATATATAGACAATGTCTGATTTATGGTAAGTAGATAAATTAGCAATGATTGCGAACAGGTGCTGAGTTTCAAGGGGTAGATCTTTGGAGGGCGGGATATGGTCATAATGAGAGAGATTCATCAAAGTAAAGCTTCGGACCCACGAAAGATACAAATAATTTCATTTAATCACGCCCTTAGAAACTTGCGCCCTTCTCACAAGCTTAAAATTCCATGCCTTGTTAGCCGTTTCTCGCGTCCAGTACTAACTCAGTATTTAGTCCTGTTTATGCTCCATTCTTTGGTGCCATTGGCTGTGCAGCTGCCATCGTCTTCACCTGTTTCGGTGCTTCATACGGTACTGCTAAGTCAGGTGTTGGTATTTGTGCCACATGCGTCTTAAGACCTGATTTATTGGTCAAGAATACCGTTCCAGTTATTATGGCAGGTATTATTGCAATTTATGGATTGGTCGTTTCCGTTTTGGTTTCAGGTTCTTTGAAACAACAGCAGGCGTTATACACTGGGTTCATCCAATTGGGTGCAGGTTTGTCTGTTGGATTATCAGGTTTAGCCGCTGGCTTTGCCATTGGTATCGTTGGTGATGCTGGTGTCAGGGGTACTGCTCAGCAACCAAGATTATTCGTTGGAATGATCTTGATTTTAATTTTTGCAGAAGTCTTGGGTTTGTATGGTTTAATTGTTGCCCTTTTGTTGAACTCAAGAGCTGATCAAGATGTTAAGTGTTAATTTGCTTCGAAAGGGTTGCGTTAAAGACCTTGTTTCTCAATTTTCACATTAACTCATAGACCTTTCGTCGCATAATTTCTTCTGTAAAAAAAGAACCTTTTTATTTAAATGCTCTTGACTCTCTTCCAGGCTCTTGACTTCTTGTCATAAATCTACGTATGAGGATTCTTTGTACCTTTATAGAGAGAATGAATGTTCTTTTAAGAGTGAATAACATTGTTTTCAATTCTTATATACGCATCTAAATAAAATAAGTCTATTTATCTATGTATACTTTACCTATTTTGACAACAATTTCATTTCGAAGACGTTTTAAAAGCTCGTGGACACTTTTCGGAATGCTGGTCCCAGATGATTTCAAAATCACCCTCCAATCATAAGGTTTGGTTTCGCTTTCTATATTCGCTATCGCGTATTTATACAAAGATTCCCCCTCTTCAAGTTCTTCGTCCTTGACCTGAGACTCATAAGAATTTATCAATTCTATGATAACAATGACATCTGGCAAAGTGAACTTATAGTATGAACTAATTAGAAAAGGGAGTATTTGGCTCAACAATAACGGACAAAACTTCCTTGGTAAGTGATTGAATCTTATCAAATGTATTAATCTGGATAACCTCTTAATTGCAGAATTGCTCTGATTATCTTGTCCCAAACTTCTGTAAAATTCGAATAGAACAGCATATGGTGCTAAGCATTGCTTTATGACAGGATGTATGTCGAGTTTATCTGAAACTTTATGTTCTACAATACCATTGATGAGTTCATCTGCAACAGGTCTGTTATTCAACAAACTATCTTGAAAAATTAAATCCCATGCAATATAATGAACCTTCTTCATACCATCAATATTGCTGGCTCCGTTGATCAGAGTTGGATCGTAGCAATTGACAAACATGTTTAGACTTTCTAAAAGAAGACCTTCTTCTAATGACTTTAACCCGTGCAAGTAATATAATTCCTTCGCCGTCGAAACAAGATTAAGCTTTGCACATATCGTCAAGCCCCATTCTAAATCGTCATTCGTTCTATAGACATATTTTGGTAATACCTCTGCGACAACTTTTCTGTTGTTAACAGATAGCTGCTTTGAAGTAGCAATTTCGGGGTTAAGTAGAAGACCAATGCCAACAGGGATTAAGCTATGCAAATTCAAACAGTTGTAGGCATGAATCATTAAAAAATAATCACTTATTGTTTTCTTATTGATGAAGCTCTCTAGGGAGTCAAGATCAGATATTGAATAATAGCTATCTAGGTATCCCTTCATTTCAAATAATTTGGAAACGTATGATGAAGTGGCGGGATCAAGCTTGAAAATGGCCTCTAGGACCTTTAAAAAATTTCCTTCCATGACATCAACATAACTATGTTCAACAATATCAAATAAGTCATCACCATCGCTCGATATAGCAGGTGGAAGCTCACTAATAGCAACCTTGTAAAACTCCTTATAAAGGTTCTTATCGTCCCTGACTTGGTATAACGCCAATGCAGAATAAATTTCATACCAATTATCGCATAAATTCGATATGGTTTTCGGTAATCCAGTTAAGATGCATATAAGGTCGTATATTTGACCTTTAATTATGGATAACTGCGGCAGAGTGATACCTTCAACCATTTTAGAATAGATATCCCTGAACTCACAACAAGCTAATTTCCACTGAGGAAATTGGCCCTTTAATGACATTGTAGAATAGTTTGATAACAAAGTTTTGAAATCAGATATTACCGTGTATAACTTGGGCTCACTTTCTTTTAATTCTTCATAATTTGAGTGTGCAATTGCCTCACCAGCCTGAGTAACCATCCCACGCAATATGAGTTGACTTATATACGTGTTCCAAAACTGATGATGCAAGTAAGGTTTTGGGCTGTTTATAGCAACTGATTCTACTAATTCATTATCAGGCTTAGCGTCGTACTTGTTGATCCATTTTGATATTAATTCTGGTCTCACGTTGATGTCGGAGTAAAAGCAATTTGCCTGAATACACTCTAAAATATTCATTAAAAACTGAAAATTTTCTAAATCTTCATCTTTATTGTCACTATTGGAGTTTGCAATCGAATCTTCTTCATTATTTCCGTTAGGGCATTGAGAAAGCTCTTTAATGAGCCTATCAAGGGCCTCTATTATTCTAGTAAAACTATCACTTAATTTTTGATTTTTTACTTCTTTTGAAGCATTAATCCCTATATCGTTTGAAGAGGTGATTAACCCAATTGGCTCGTTCTCTATATCCAATTGTCTATAATCTTCAAGTAGTTCCTCTATCACCTTATAAAGACCATTTACATATTTACAATAAATTTGGGACCATTGGTTCTCATTCAAGCTTTCCTTATAAATCACTTCATCAAACTCAAATGGGGGAATTTCTCCAGTGTCTAACCATTTCCTTAGGTCGACTTTGTTCGCTTTCACTGGTTGTTTCATAGATCCAAGTCTCATTTCATCATTGCTCAGTGATTCTGATATACCCTCTGTACCTGATGAATTATTAGTGCTATCATCAGGAATCTCTAGCATTTCAATGTCTTCGAACTTGTTACCCGACATTTTACTATATTACGAGATTATTTTATGTATTGTTCTATTGAAAATTATATAGGATATAATTGTTGATGTTTCGATAAATATTGTGCGTGCGAATGATCAACATTCAGAATCCATCAACTTCTAACATTAATCTTTGCAACATGTGCTTATACTTATAGCAAGTTTTGAGCTTTTGCTTCAGTTTAGGTATTTGATACTGAATATTTTCATTTCTTGACTCAACTGTACCGAGATAATCGAAAAGTAACCATCTTTTAATCAAACTAGCATCAATTAAACCAAATTGTCCTTTAGTTATGTACTCTCCAGAAGCCGTTCTCCGTAAGAGTCTCCAATCACTGGCAAGCGGAATACCAATAGAATCATTTTCTGCCCCTTTAGTGATACTAAGTAATTCTCTCTGACATCTAAGTAGGATATCTTCTATGTCATCATCATAATTAAGATTACTTAGAAGGTATATGGCCCCATTGCTAGTTCCAATGACTGCTTCTGGTTTTGTTAAGCCCATCTCTGAAACGGTTTCACTGTCACCCTTCTTATCACTATTGAAGGAGGGAATAGCCTTTACAACATTAATTTGGTCTCCAATGTTACATGCCATAATATTCTTTGTCTTAGTGATTTTTTTTTCAGTATTCATTTCGAGTAATGCAAGGTTCCCTAAAGAATCGCCATAAGCTAATTTCTGGACTTTGTTCTGCACTTTGCTAGATATTAAGTCAAAACTGGTCAAGAAGTCCGGTTCATGTTCGCAATCGAGCTCTTTAATACTCACTTGAGAAAAGTCGTCATCTTCATTAGTGATGCCACCGAATAATCCTTTTAGCATGTCACCAAACACCAAAATACTACCCTGATATGACAGTCCTAACGAGATAGTCGGAGGTTTGAAGCTACTTGGAGAAGCAACCCATTCTAAAACATCTGAGTCACCCCGTAACGTAAGCTCGAAGCAAATATTTCCTGACACGATGAACGAGAGTTTATCTTCATAGACAGGAGTGATAGATTGTAATGAAAGAGCCGATGAACTAGATAATCCTGCAACATCTGCTTTAGGAAGCTGTATGATTTTGGAGTCTTTCACGTGGAATAACAAAGCAAGCTCATTTTTGTTGGAACTATTACATAAAGCAATGAATCCATTTTCAATTACACTGGAAGCAAGAATAATCTCTGAATGTGAAAAAGGAACTAAGTCAACTAGGTCCCAAGCTTCCTCATGAGGAAATTCAAAAATATCGACTTCTTTCATAGATAAATTATCAATAAGTTTTAGGCTTGAGAACTTTTGAAGCTCTTCTGTTAAGTGATGCGGTCTAAGTGTAACAGATAGTACAACCGAATAGTCACTATTAGGAATATTGCTAGATTTAATATTGAGAGAATTTGAATAAATTGCACGTTCGCTAATACCAGAGCTTTTGTCCAGGATTTTGTAAATTTTCAAGTCTCCATTGTCCAGTATAGTCACAAATGCAGATTTGGTCAAGAATTTAACATCACGTAAATCTGCGAGATCAGTCAACTCAAAAATCTCATAAAACTTTAAATAGGGACTGTATTTTGAAAATTTGGCACATCTGCCATTGAATAAAATGATCTCATTTTCCGTGTTCTTTGTTATTTTCATAGGCAAGCCATTGAAACAGTATTCTTTTTTTTTGAAGTCAATTAATTTGCCTGTTTCACAATCATAGCAGGACTGAAAAAAGTATCCCTCGGAAGTCAGCACATGTACCCATATTTCTTTGAGGTTATCGCTACCATATGAGAGAGCACAAGAGAAGATTGAGCCACTTTGTGTCAACTTATCGTTCACTATAACCACATTAGCTACAGAGGAAATTCTTTGCAATTCAATGTGACCATCCCAAAAAGCTATTAAAAGCATTGCCTCATTGCTTCCTAACAGTACCAAGTCATAACTTGCAATTTGTAATTCCAATGGCATCTTAATCAGGTGAAGGAAAACAGGACCTCTGAACATTATTAATTCTCTGTCCTCTGTGAAGAAGATAATAGAGCCGTCCTGCAGCACATTGCCCTCATTTATATTATATACAAAGCTTTTATCACCAATCTCAAGTTTTGAGGCACCCAACTCAACATTTTGACCATCTATGAAATCAGAAGCTATTATATCCTTAGGAACCTCGTGAATCACAGATAAGGCAAAAGTAGGTAGATCGACCTTCAAATAGGTAAAAGCATCTTCACCGTGGAGTACTTTAATGGTAAGCGAGTTTTGATTTTTAAGAACAGATAAAAACTCACCGCTGGAGCAATTCATATTACTTAAAAGGCTGCATTCCAATTTATTTTGTTGTAATCTCCTAAACTCACCACTTTCGTACCCTCCTTGACAAACAAAGGCAGAAACTTTGTCATTTTTCTTTGAGAACTGTATATCTAAAACTGGAGGAGAGGAAGGAAAGAACTGGTTGATGTTTATAAAAGGCGCCTTTGGCAAGATTTCAAATAAAATAGATTGCGATAACCTTGATGACACGAAAAATACGTTTCTAGAGATATGGTTGATACTATTAGGTATAGTACTCATTCCTAGACTTATCATATTAAATGAATTTACCTTAACCAGTGTATTACTTTTTTTCTCTATGTTGATATAGATCAAATATGTCTTTCCAGAATTTGTAATTGCCAATATCCGTGAGTCATCTATTACTAGACAAGAATTAAAACTTTCGTAGACGCCTACATCATTCGAGTCTTGTGATATAGACTTCGTGACTACGTCCTTTTCCGGACTGTAAACTGTTGAAGAATCAATGCTATCAGATAAATTTAAGTGTGCAATTCCAGGACCTGGGAAGTAAAAAAGATGTAGACAGTTGAAGACCATAATTCCTCCTTGATTAAGGGCGACCATATTAGACTGAGGTAGTTCGAACTCTTCCAATTGTTTCGTTTGCGTTAATATCATTTTCTTGGTATCAATCTTATAGTATCTAATCGAATAGTTGAAATTGAAATCTCTGTACAACATTGCCAATGAGTTAATATCTTGTTTCAATAATGCTAGTTTTTGAACTACAATACTTCCAATCGGTAACGTCTTAATTTTAAACAAACGCTGCTCCCCTCGTTTTATTCGCTTGTTTGTAGAAGCAGTAGGGTCCTGTACCACAAATAGCTGGATAACTCCTTGAAAAAGATGAAGTACGAAATATGATGGATGGTTCAGAGGATCCACCACAATCATGGGTGATTTTTCTAGTAATTGCTGTTGTCCACCTGCATCAAATTTTATATTTTCAACTTTGACAAATTGTTGGTCATCGTAACTTATGACTAACAAATTAAATGTATCTGTTACGATGATAACAACTTCTCGAGTCCAGCCTACGAGCTTAATCTTCTCTAGAGCTAAAATTGAAACCTTTATATTCAATGAGTCTCTGAGCGAGAGTATTATTTTACCGTTTGGATCCTCCTCTATCGCATAGAACTCCACCTGGTTCAACTTCGCAATCACTAAGCATTCTTCATCTTCCACAAAAAATTGAGCAAGAACAGAGTGATTGATGCTCTTAGGCAGTCGGATCTCTGATATCACATGGACCATTACAAAATCATAACCATTTACTGAATTTAGTAATCTCAAGAAGCGATTATATCTTCCCGATTTCAAACCTTTCAACTGAAGTCTGATATTCGATGGTCGTGCGATGATGTATTTATAGATTGCAGCTATTTGTGGCTGTAACTGATGTTAAAAGGGAAATTAGCAACAGAATTTTTTAACGAATTGGCTGGCAATTACTTCAGGAGAAATTTAAGGGACTTTTAGACTGAAGCTCTTGCATGTGTGATACCTAGTTCGCTATTGCCGATGGTTCGTAGGTATAGCAGTGTTTCGGCTGACTTTCAATCGAGGAATAAACGTTTGGAAGAAGGTAATTCAGGAGCGAAATCTTCCTGGAGGTGGTTTGATCTTGTAAAGTCAGCACCAGCAGTACAAAGTCTGGCTTCAAGGACAGAGAATACGAAAAAAAAGAGCAAGGAACTGGAAGAGAAAGAAACAATCGTAGGATGTTGCCACTGTTGCGGAATAGTATTGACCTACCCCAGCGACGCAGGAAAGTATAGGTGCTCAGTCTGTAATACAACAAACATGTTAGCAAGTCTCGAGTCAGTTCTGAAACTGCGCCTAGCTTCACAGAAGGGCGATGACTTTCCGCATGTTCTTTCTTACCGCTATGTAAAGAAGTTGGTTGATAACTGCCTTGATAACGCTAACACTTTGACAGAAGACGGTCAGCCGAAATCTACCCATGAAATATTTGAACCTCTCCTGAACTACCTATTAGGGGCATTTAAATCCATAGAATGCCTAAATAACTCTTTTAAAATTAACAAGCGCAGTACGCATCTTCATTATTCGAAATTCAATTTAAACAGAGAGGACATTAGAGCAACTTTTGAGCTACTATCTAAACTACCAACGAGACGGCCTCTATATTATTCTTTGACTAGTGCTTCGGAATCCTTAAAAAGAGTTTACATAACAAGCAATAGTCCTAAAGATTTGATATGGATATTAGTTTTATTTGAGATTCCCTTCCTCAGCCGAGCATTAGTTAATAACCATAATTCTATTGTGGATGACCCCGAAATAAAGAACTTATGTTATGATATATTGAAAAGATGCTTAGGGCTCATGGCTAACTTAGGTTGCACTGTTGCAGATAATTATATCACGAGCTGGTTCTCTTTATTGACAGGTGATGAATTTATACAGAAAGTCGATTTGATAAATTTGTATATCACTTTTCAATTAAAAAGGTATTATTATATTGCGAACAACCCAGAGTTGCTGAGAAGAAGGTCTACTAGTGCAGTGCCGTCGAGCTCCAACAGAGGACATCCTTCTGATAATGAATACATAGAAAGTCTTAGGATCAAAGATGAATTGCAGCTGGTACCTGAAGGGAGAAGTAGTATTTTCAACATACCCGTTGCTGAGAGCATTGGGACATCATTACCTCTGCGGACTAGTAGTAAGAAGAGAAATGACTCGAAGATTAAAGTCCACCAATATGGTGGTGATTGGCATATCAAATCTGCATCCATTGTTTTATTAGCATTTCTAAGAGCAAATTCCATAAGACATGAGAAAGTTCCAATTCACACATTTTATAATTCGTTAGTGGATTTCGTGAATATCAAAATGGATTTCGATTCATGGCAGAGCACTAAGAAAACTTCAAAGACTTCACCGGCAAAATCACAATCTAACGTTCCGGAAATACAGACCGTGATAGAGTATATTCATGGAGTCTCTCAGTTTGACTCCTCCTCATACTTCTTCTGTCTGTACCCATTTTTAGTTTCTCTCGGTGCTAAGATATCTGTCCTCGAATATGAAGCAAGGCGACAAATGGAAAGAAAAGCTGAGGAAGCATTTATCAACTCTTTAGATCGAAAGGTTGCTATTGATGTTTATTTCAAAGTGAAGGTTAGAAGAGACTTCATTGTTCAAGACTCTTTAAGGGCTATTCAATTGAACCAACAGAATTTGAAGAAGAGTTTGAGAGTACAATTTATAGACGAACCGGGGATTGACGCTGGTGGGTTGAAAAAGGAATGGTTTCTTCTACTTTCAAGGGCTCTTTTCAGTCCACAAGCAGGAATGTTATCGTGCATTGAAGGGTCTAATTTATTATGGTTCAATATCGTGCCTATTGATAATAGTGAAATGTACTATCTCTTTGGAGTTGTCTTAGGACTTGCGATATATAACTCTACGATTTTGGATTTGAACTTACCAATGGCCTTATACAAGTTACTTTTGGGGAAAACCGTTAATTTCGAGGACTACAAACAAATCTTTCCTGATTCTGCTTCGAATTTGAATAAGTTGAGAGATTTCGACGACGATACTTTGAGTGAATTGGATCTCACTTTCGAAGTTACTTATTCTAATCTTTTTGGAAGAAATTATACTCAAGAATTGATCCTGAACGGTTCCAATGTAACAGTCACGGCAGCCAATAGAGACAAATATATTGAGAGATATTCGCAATTTTTTTTGTGGGATGGAATCATTCGTCAGGCACTGACGTTTGTTAGAGGATTTAATAATGTAGTTGGTGGTAACGCTTTATCGCTATTTCTGCCAGAGGAGATAAACTTGTTAATATGTGGTAGCAGTGAGACAAGAATCGACATCGATATTCTCATGTCTGTTACGAAATATATAGGGTGGCCAAATAGGAACGAAGCCATCGCGTCTCCCCTAGTGCAATGGTTCTGGGAAATTTTGAGATCTGCTTCATTTAGCTACCATAAGAAGTTCTTGATATTTGTGACAGGATCTGATAGGGTGCCTGCCACTGGTTTGCAAAACTTAACTTTCAGACTTAGCAGAATAGGAAAGGACTCTAATAAGCTACCAATAGCTCATACCTGTTTTAATGAATTGGCATTATTCGATTATAGCTCGAAGCTGAAATTAACTACTAAATTGAATGTTGCAGTTTATGAAAGTTCAGGTTTTGGTATTAAGTAGCGTAGCATTTTATTATATTTTATTAAACATTTTGGTATCAAGTCGTGTATATGCGATTTTTTGGCGCAGCCAATAAAACAAATTCAAAATGAATTTTTCATTACATTTTATATAAAACACTAACTCAATAAAAGTACTACTGTTGACAAGCAAAAAAACTTGTGTAACTGAATATCTTACAACACATATACAAGTAAATGATGTTTCCAGCCGCATTAAGATCTATGAGAGTCGGAGGAGGATTAAAAGGTATGTTTCATCTATTGGAGAATTCTGCGAAATTCCGTGCTAAATGAGAGGATTAAGTAGTAATAGAATGTAGAGTAATTGGGAACTGCTACAACAAAAACTTAATTCTTCAGTTAGCGTGAGACAAAGCAGGGTGATATTATTTATTTGATCTATTAGACTAACATATATTTAGCTACTTCATTTAGAGCTTTATCCTCATCTACAAAGGCATTAACTACCTACCAACAACCTGATTATTCTAATTACTTGAATGAAAAGGGTAGTGATAAGAGTAGAAACTTCACTTATTTCATGGTCGGTTCCATGGGTTTGTTATCAGCCGCTGGTGCCAAATCGACCGTCGAAGCTTTCTTGTCATCCATGGCGGCATCTGCTGATGTCTTGGCTATGGCCAAAGTCGAAGTGAAGTTGGCTGCTATTCCAGAGGGTAAAAATGTGATTGTAAAATGGCAAGGTAAGCCCGTCTTCATCAGACATAGAACTGCAGATGAAATTGAGGAAGCCAACGAAGTTGATGTGAGTAAATTGAGAGATCCACAAACCGATGCTGAAAGAGTCAAGAAGCCAGAATGGTTAGTCATGTTGGGTATCTGTACTCATTTGGGTTGTGTTCCTATTGGTGAAGCTGGTGATTTTGGTGGATGGTTCTGTCCTTGCCACGGTTCTCACTATGATATATCTGGAAGAATTAGAAAGGGTCCAGCACCATTGAATTTGGAGATTCCTCATTATGATTTCACCGATGCCCTGACTTTATTAGTCGGTTAAGATCTTCTGTACAGCATATACTTCATGAATTTTATGGAAACAGAAAACTACAATCAAAATTGGAAAAATGACCTTTTAAACAGATAGAAATCATAGAGCTTATATCAAAGGGATTTGGCTCTTAATATTCACTAAGATGATCTCGGTATGTACTCCTTTTCCAAAAATTTATATATAAAGAGTAATAAACATATTTTTGACGAAAAGAATCTAACCGTAACTAGGTAAGATGTTTGGCTACAAATCAGGAAACTTATCTAACAAAGGCTTCAACTCGTCTGGTGTTTTTGTCCAGATATTGTTTTTGTTTATATGCTTATCCGTCTTTATCTTTTCGATGGTTAAATCTTCGATCAAGCCTTCTATGTCATCTTCTTTAAATAAGTCTTTGAAGTCTTTGATCAGATCCCGGAATTTTGATCCCAAATCTTTAGGTAAATTTCTAGGGTTATAGTCTTCGACGAATTTGAGTCTATAAAATACACTCCAGTGTAACGAGACGTTCTTAGGGAGTTTCCGGTGTCTTCCAAAATTGGGAATATAGACTCTTCTCCACTTGCCATCAGTATTTTCAATTTTATATCCAATTGGCAATAGTTCAATTAGCCACCAAAAAAGTGATGTCCAAAGGTACTCATCACACCTGGAATCAAAAAGCCTTATGGTAAATTTAGGTAAAGGTACTGGTGTCGTGGCCTCTGAATGTGTCAGAGGCTGAACTACGGGCAATTTTGGGCTCTTATCAATTCTTGGACCAATTTCAATTTGTTGTACAAGTTGCTGGAAATTTAATTTTCGATTTTTAGATCCTATCCTTAGCGTCTTTTTGATACGTTCTAATATACTTACTCTATAGTGCATCATTGGTTGTTCTCTCTTTGTAGAAAGTAAATCGTGATGACATGAAAATAGACTAGCTGTGACAGGATGTTTTTCATTGAATTCATGTATTGAGCCTTCTTTGAATTTTATTCCAAATTTGATGGCTTCCAGTAAGATCCACCGCAAGGGTATATCAGATAGATACTGCCCATTTAGATCCTTCGGCCAACCACCTCCGCAGTCGCTATGACTGCCACTAAAAAACAATTCAACAACATCTTCAGATGGTATACTTGGAAGTCTCGATTTTTTAACACTGTTAACAATATTAGATAGGAATTTACCGATACTAGAGAAAGAACTTTTCTTATTTTGATTAATTCTATTATGCGTTAATAGTGGCGAGTTACTATTAGTATCCAGGGAAGTTTCCATCTGATCACTTTCCATATCTTCACAATCTTCACAATCTTCGCAATCTAGATTGAAGAGGTTTGGAAAGTAACTGTATGGTTGAAACAAAACTTGCTTGTATTTTCCACGTCTTTCATCTATGCTTACTGCATGTCTCACATGCTCGACAATAGAACTTCTTATTGTGAATGGGAACAAACGATCCCTGAGTATCCCAACAGAGTTAACCGAGTCCCATAGTCCCATGAAATGAATATCAACGTCTTTTCTTGAAAAAGTTTCCTTAAATTGGTCGCTTAAAGATATCTCACTCCCTTGCTGAGCAGGTTGCCCAGCATACTCCCAATTAGAATATAACTCCCACGCTGTTGCCGTCATCTCTTCTAGGCCATTGTTTAATAGTCCAACTCGTTCAATCATTCCTGCTAAAACTCTACCTGTGAAACTTCCACGGCTGAGATAATTGTTAGTGGTGTTTTCATGCATATCTCAAATAGTATTACTTGCCTAAAACCTATGATATAAATCTTATCCCCTTTTTGATAGAACTTCATCAAGAATGTGTATGCTGCTAGAACGTGCCTTTCTAATGTGAATGCAAACATGGCATCAAATTTGTTACCTATTTTGCTAAGCTTAGATTGAAAGAAATTTGGTTCCCGAATATCTGTTGACTCTGCCTTGAATTTGGCCCCAACACCTGGTTGATAGTAACATAACTGTGTGGCCGTATCTTTGTCTAACATTCTAAATAGTTTTAGGACATTCGTGTAAGGTTTCAACCCAAATTCATTTTCGGTTCCATCCAAGCATAAAACCAAGTTTACAGAAGAGTCACTTCTCTCCCTATTAATGCTTGCTGGTTCGAAGTTTTTACCTTTGAATGATATGAGAGGTGATCTGATGTCAACAGAATCGATGAAATTCATTTTAGAATGTAAAGCTTTTAAGGATAGGTCTCCTTCTTTTGTGGTAATATTTCGTCATATATATGAAATCAAGCTGTCTGTTGCAAACTGATATTTCATAAGTAATGTGAACTTAATGGTTGTCAATGCAGTCTTATAACTTTTGCAGTCAGAACAAAATCGTGAATTGCTGCAAAGTTTTTAAGCTCGCACTCCTTCAAAAATGTTACAGAGTTTATACATAAAAATGACTTTGTGTTATTCTTAAATCAATCGTGTACCTAAATTTTAATAAGCTAACTGTCTATTTCATGACTAAGCAAGATGAATTGAAAGCCCCAGAATCGTATACCGACTAATACGTATTACCTCTATACGTCCTTGAAGTGTCTTGAAATGGATTTTTTCTTTCGTAATATTCTTTACTTTCATCGTCGACTTCAAGTGCAGGCTCATACATTCTCTGAGGTTGACTCCGTTGGAGAGGGGGTCCGTGGGCATACATATTAGGATTAGTATAATACATTTCTTCGTCACTCCTACGAGGTCGACGGGAGCCACATCCTGCGCAACAGCAACAGAATGCTTGAACACAAGTTACGCCCAGGACACAGCATCGGAAAATTGATGATAATATCCAAATTAGAAGCAATCCTGCTAAAACTATTCCAACAATAGCAATAATTTTACATGCACGGTTGTCCATGCAAGTATCCCAAGACTTGAAAGCGTCAGCAGTGGAAGTAACGTTTCCTGTGAATGACCTGGCCCATAGTTTAGGACATATATCTAAATTCTTTGGCACCAACATTTCTTTCGATTCTTTTTGTGTTTTAAGTGACTTGCAGCTGTTTAATCTCTCAATAAGCGAAACAGTCTGTTTTTATTGAATTTGAATTAAAGAAATATTAATGCAATTATTTTCAGTAGAAATATTGAGGGAGAGATTACATTGGTTTATTAATGTAAAACCCCATATATATTTGTTACAGATGCGGCGAAGTAACGCGACTTTTGTGATTAAATCAAGGCTGGGCATTTCTTTGTTTCAGCCTTGCTCGTATTAAATACAGGATAACGGATCTAATTTTAGAGTAAACGGTTCGGGCTATGTATATATGATGATCCCAAGACTCCTTAATTTCTGAATGGTCGTGACATGTCATTTAAAGTACTTAAACATGTCCAATAGGGGCGATGGTAATGATCTCCGAAACTTGATACTTCGCATTTCAATTTCAAGTTCTTATGGAGCAATGCTGGATTATCTGCAACCTTTATAAAAACCTGGTTAATTGATTGCATAAGATCAAAAGCCTCTTCAATTTCCAAGACTTGTAGAAAGCGGCATATCTCATCATTCGTATTAAATTCGACGAGGAGGTGGGCATCTGATTGAGGATGCAGCTTCAAAACCAATTTAAAATTCGTAGCTTTCAAAGTTCTATTGTAAGGTTTAACAAAAAAAGGACTATAAGGCAAGCAACCAACTATATATGCATCAACAGCGTATATCTTATCCTTCTTCTCGATAGCCACATCAAGCGGAAGCGATAATATTTGTTCCACCTTAACTTTGTTAATAAGAAAGCCATCTAGAGACTCCATATCAAGTTCCTGAGGGGACTTGGAGTCGCTACCGTGATTGTATTCTTTATCTTCAAGAAATGGTAATGAGGAACTCTGGCTTTCGATCTGAGCTTGACTTTGTGCAAATCGTTGACTGCATTGTGTTTGAGTGCTCACGGGTCCTTGGGTATCATCAACCGAAACATGCTGGTGGTATAGAAGATTCATACCATTGGGCACTTTCTGTAATTTTTTAGGTCTTTCAATTACATTATGCTTCTCGGAAAAACCATGTTTGTTATTATGTTCCAATATTTGTTTATCAGTCGTAACGTCAATATCCCCCTCTATTATACGAAGTATATCTGAGCTACCACAAACTCTTGCATATATGAACGGACTTGCCGTTTTCCTAAAATTCTCTAGTAACTTCGTTAATTTTCCGCGTTCCTTTGGGTTTGTTGACGGATATAGGTGATTTAAGTTCGTTGAGTTTATTATCGCTAAAGACGCGTAAGAGCTTTCCAATTTACCTTTGTAAGACTTCAACGTAAATGTGGCCCTTGCAAATACCCCCTTGTCCTCAAAATGACACTTATATTTATCAGTAAAATCAACATCTTGCCCCTTCAACCCAAATGACTTCTTTAGTTCACTACTCACTGAAGTAAACTTAAATGCTGAGACACTCATAGACATTAACTTTTCCACATCATAAACTCTTGAACCATCCTCCAAATAGTACTCTCTTGTAACTGCAGGTGATATCAAGTCAGTATAGGCTATTGCAGCATCTTTAACAGTAGTAAAATCCGTAAAAACGAGAAAACCTGGTCCACTTCTTTTCCAGGAAGGACTTCGAAATAGGGATAAACAATAAACTGGAAGGGAAACCTTAAAAAATTCTGGAGTTTCAACACCTACCTCTTCTGCCAGAGGTAGCTCAGATAGCGAATGTATATCCAAGCAATCCTCCATGCTTCATGCGGACTGTCAAGAAAGTACACTAATGATACTTTCTTTTTTTTTCACACCTAAACTAAGGGCACGCTATCGGTATTTTTTTTTTCTTTCATATATTTGGTTGTCTTAAACAAACTGAACAGAAGAAAAGTAACGGATGAACTGTAAGTGAGAACTAATGTGCAAATTCTAACTAAATTGATACTAAAACCATTAAGCTTATAAAAAGAACTCGAAGTTGGCGAAATCTGTCCGTAATCTGACGAAGGAAGAGTGTAGTAATTCCAGAGTTCCGACGAACGCCGAGGAATACTTGGAAAATGGCTCCATTGATGAAGAATCGGGTGACAGGTGGCTAGGGTCTGATCTCTCAAAAGCATTGAGATTTTATCAGAAGGCTTACGAATCTTACTTGCGATCAATAGCGGTGCAACCGACTAATAATCTTGATAGCTACTATAATGCATCGAGACTCTTGTTCCATGTCTATAATCAATATTCAACTTCAGAGGGTGTTGTACTAAGTGAATTGACAAACATTGATGAAACTATAAGAGGCGGGGAGAACTCCGTCCTTCAAGACTTGCCTAAAATTGTGGTAGCCCATGAACGAGCTTTAGAAGTAGCTACTCGCGACCACATCAGTCCACCAATTGATCTTTTGTTCAATTGTGTTCAAGTATACACTGAAGTTATTGAAAACGACAATGATAAATTAAGCTTTGACGAGATAATGCTGGTAGAATCTAAGGCTCAAAATTTGCTAGAACACTTGCTAACTAAGCAGGTCGAAGAACTACAAAATTTTATCCGTGAACTTCAGAATATTGATGACAGGCCTACTATATTGGAAGACACAAATGTAACGAAAGGGGAAATGGGAGATTCGAGGGAAGAAGAATACATGAGCGAGGAAGTATTGCAGCCACCAGATATTTTAGAATCTGTGATTACTGCTTATAAGTTAATAAACTCAATATTGGAGCATGTTTCAACTTCTGATCAAATTCGTATCACATTGGAACAAACAGATCAATTTTTACGAACGTGTGATAAAATTGCTGTCGATATAAAGGAGAATTTTGACACCCTGAGCAACAAGCATGCCGAAATGTTATCATCAATAACTGATGATCAAAATGCCGAACTCGAAATCCAGATGAGGTACAGGAAAGGCTTGCTTTTATCTAGCTTGGATGACATATTAAATTTGTGGAAACAAGCCGAGCTATCTAATACTTGTGAAAGGTACATGACAGCTGCAGACAATATACAAAATTTTATAGATAGGAATGATTTGAGCTTAGAAACAGCTCATATAAGCCAGCAGTCAGCAAGTGTGTTCTGGAGGGCGCTTTCAGAGATGTCGAGGAACTTTAAGGCTGCTCAAGATTTATTAAATGAAAATTTAGCTCACGTCCAGAAGTTCCCAAGTGGGAAAGCAGAAGGCCAAGGTGAATTGATTCTGAAGGTCAGTAGTATTTTGATCGCTAGGGCTGACGTTGACCTACAAAGAAGTATGATTGACTCTTATGAGCCCTCTTTGAAGAACAAGAAAGTGTTAATGCAGAATTGTAAGACTTTATTGATAAACGCGATGAAGATATCTAATACTCCAGGTGGCTTGAGAGAAAGAGCAAGCGAAAAGTTGAAGAGAGACCAGACAAAGAAGGATGCAGTTTTAAGAATGTGTTTGTTGGAAAACAAGAAGACAGAAACAGAGCTTGACGAAATACTAGGTAGAGACTTTTGGAAAAGGGAATTACCAACCCTACTCGGTTTAGACTACTACGCAAAGTTATATAAATCATAATTGATTGTAGTATGATAATTTAATTAATGTACATTATTGGGAAGCTATAAATATTCGTTTAATAAATAAGAAAGGAAATCGTTAATAGAGCAGACGTTTTCAACTCATCCGGCTAATCTCGTCATATCACTGGAATATCAGTAATATTATTAACGATAAAAGCAGCATCTGCATAGTCCCCAGGAGGGTCAGTAGCAGTAGTAGCAGCAAAAATTGAGCTGTCAATAAACTGTAATGATATCGAATGAGTTCTGCAACTGTTGACAAGGACTTGTATCAAATTCACTTTCAACGTGTATAGAATAAAAATAAACTTCATCACAAGTCAAGTTAAGAAGATAGTCGGCTTATCTCCCAACAGTGTAATATATCTAAGAATGTAAAAGACCACAATTTGACGTCTCCGATGTTATATCATAGATGGCTTAAAGATGGATTCATATAAGTATAAACCACGTTTAAAAAGTCGAGAGGTGCAAAATTTAGGTCATATAAATTCCTGCTGACAAAGAGGTCGTCCTTTCTTTAAATAGAGTAAACACCGATAAACTGCCTAAAAGGGTAATTCCCGATAAAATGGAATAAAAATTGGAATACACTATATACAGCTATGTGGTATTACAAGATCTACCTAATAAGTTTATCAAAAGCAGGAATCAAAGTTTGAGCTAAGGCAAACGAAAAAACTAATTTTGGGCCAGTTGTCAACAACTTAGGAGTTAAACCCTTGAAAAAGGATGTTATCCCTTCGTTTTTAGCCATATTCTTTAAAATTGTAAAACCCGATTCCGGATTGTCGAAGTTCCTGTTTTGAATCCTTGTTTTGATCACATCAAGAGGAGCAGACACAATTAATGAAGCAGAGGCACCGAAGATCGAAGTGATAAAATTTTGAGTCCATGTTGCTGTAGAATAATCCTTCAAACCAAAGATGTATTCCTTTGCAAATGAATTACCTCCAAACAATGCAAATGATCCAGGTGCATTTCTAGCCGCAGTCCAGCCCCAACCTCTATACAAACCAAAGCCTTCATCTCTCAACACTTTAATGAAACCTCTACCACGAAAAGATTCAGGATTAGTTTGACGCTTGATTTTTAAAACATCCAACGGTAATAAAACAACCTCCCCAATACCAATCAAAGATCCTGCACTAGCAGATAACAAGGCCTTACCAGTTTTAGGACCAAACCAAGCCTCGTAATTGTCTCTGAAATTCTTAGTTAAGAACTCATTTGCAAACGGTTGACCTCCATACTTGTAGACTCTTTGCAAAATTTTGTAGCATGCGGCATAACCCAATCCTGGAAACAAGGTGAATAACCTAGATGATAATGCTTTTGATGCGTGCTCTCTAAAGATAACCGTGTTTAATTGGCTAGCAGATGTAATCTTTCCTTGGTTTGACATCAATCTCTTGGTAATGGTATCCACCGGGTGAAAGACGGCGATCTCACATATCCCTGCACTTGCAGATCCAAATACTCTGGCTGCTCCAGACTGTTTAGTATCCGTGTGAGCTGGTGACATCTTCTATTCTTTCTTTGGCTCTATATGTTCACCTGGATCTATCGTCCAAAATGAGGTTGATTCATGAGGATTCAAAAATTTTCACACCGCGCTAAAAAGGAGAATTTCACGTGGACTACCAAATTGGGATCGTTCAAATTTTCAACTATCAAATACTTTACAATCTTGATAATAAAGAACAAGAAAATTTCGATTCATAAGACAGGAAAATCCACGCACAATCAACTTTGTTTGTCGAGAAAATAGTTGGGGTTATTGTCACAGACTATCAGCGCAAGTATGGTATCAGATTCAGCTATAGTTGAAGACTATGCTCTTAGCTTAAATGAGTTGACTTTCAACTCCCGTCCGATAATCGAAAACTTGACTACAATAGCGCAAGAAAATACCAATGTTGCAGATGGAATAATGAATGCCATAACTACAAGAATTCTTAAATGTATCCCTGAACACAAATTGTTTGCTTTATATTTATTGGACTCAGTTTGTAAATATGGCGGCGAGCCTTATAATATCTTGGTTGGGGACGATATTTTTAAGTTATTTAGTCATGTATTTATGTTAGTTAATGAACAGACAAGACAAAAACTTATCAAAATCTTTGAGATCTGGAAAATCACAAAAAGCAAGGGCTCTGATAGTCCCTTGTTTCCTAAAAGTCAATTGGATAAGATACAAAATTTCTTAAATCAGGCAGGTTACTCAAATAATACTAATAACTTGACCAAAATATCGTTGATTGATGACATAAACACTTTGATCCCAATATTTCAGAAAAAACTTGTTCATAGCAATGATCCTAAGCTTAAAGATCGATTTAAAGCATTAAACCAACTAAGAGACCTATTAATAAGCCAGCCCATGAGAGCTAATGAATTACAAGCTGTTCAACAGCAACTAAATGCTATAAAGCAACAGGAGCTAAACAATAATACGATAGTACCGTCTTCTGTTGCAGCACCTAGTCCAGTACATTTACCCCCTATACCACCTAAACCCGTCAGTAATAAAGCTAATGAGGTGTTCCCGATTTTGATTGCATCCGGATTGGTTAAGGTAGATCAATCTTTGATAGCTGGTTCCAGGCCTACATATGAACTAGTTTTCCCGAAAGTCAAATTTGAGCCGCCAAGTAATCAGCTACCTTCTACGAACGATTTACAAGATATTTTAGTTAATTCTACCCTAATTAATAATGGAATCCCACGGTCCGCTTATGAACAAAGTAAAGTCGAAGAATTGGCAAAAATACAGGTTCAAAGCAGCAAGGATCTTCAGTCTTTTGTTAGTAACAATGTACCTGCTAGCTCGCTTTCTTTATTATATGATAAAAAACCTTCTAAATGTGGCATATGTGGTAAGAGATTCACAACAGATGAAATGGGTGCCACAAGGAAGAGATTGCATTTAGACTGGCACTTTAGGGTTAATAAAAAATTATCTAGCAATTCCTCTAATGTTCAAGCAAGAAATTGGTACTTGGATGATTACGATTGGGTGAAGTTCAAAGATGAGAATCTCTTGGAATATTCAACAACCGTATCCAAGAATACAGGTCAGGATTCGATAGCTAAACAAACCGAAAATAGTCCTAGGCCATATGTTATCGTATCATCTTCTGAAACAAACATGGTAAATCAATGTCAAATTTGTCGTGAACAAGTTAAGGCTACTTACAATGATGAACTTGGGGAGTGGTGCTGGCTTGATTGTATTAGAGCTCCTGGAGAAAATAAAAATAGTCGTAAAATTTTCCACGCTAGTTGCTTTAATGAAGCTAATAGGAAGAGAAGCGCTGATAATGACTTACATTCGTCCCTCAAGAGGGAAAAAACATAATTACAAGATTGAATAAATAGTAAATACATGTAAGGAACTTTTCTTTCACTATATACTACTTTTGTCCTAAACACTTCAAGATGTCATCCCAGACTTTTGCGGGCTTCTGAGAAGCATCAACACCGCTCCAAATACCTGTTTTTTGATAGTACTGAACAATGGGTTCTGTCTGTTTGTGATACGTGACCAATCTCTTCTTCAATGCGTCCTCATTGTCGTCGGATCTTTGCACCAATGGCTCACCAGTCACATCATCTATCATATCCTTCTTTGGAGGATTAAAGAGCTTGTGGTATGATCTTCCTGAAGCTGGGTGAACTAATCTGCCGGTGATCCTGGCAACGAGGAGCTCATCATCGATTTTGAGCTCAACAGCATTCTCCAAAGGAGTTTTTCTTTCCTCCAACATGGAGTCTAATTTTTCAGCTTGAGGAATGGTTCTTGGGAAACCATCCAAAATGAAACCGCTCTTACATTCCTTGTTGTTTTCCAATTCTGATTGAATCATACCAATCATTATCTCATCGGAAACTAGACCACCTTGGTCCATAATCTTCTTAGCTTCAGTTCCAAGCTTTGTCTTGGCTGCGACTTGTGCTCTCAACATGTCACCAGTAGCCAAGTGACAAGCACAGAACTTTTCCTTCAAGTTGGGCGCTTGAGTTCCTTTTCCAGCACCTGGAGGACCAATCAAGACCATTCTGATGGATTTAGGAACAGACGGCACAATCCCTGCCTTTTCTTCCAAGTACACAATCCTGTCCTGTAACTTCTTGACGGTAGCCTTAATATCTTCCATTGACATGATAAGTGAAGTGATACTATTAATCCGAGATGGGTTGATAATATATCAATGCTAAATGTGAATCAACTTTACTAAGTTGGCTAAATAATCAAGTGTTTCTAGTCCCCAGACTTCGTCGTTGGATCGCGCACCCAAATCGCCCATTTTGAGTGGACGACTGTTAAGAAATTTTGGGTACCCAGTGCCGAAAACGTGACTAGGCACTTGATGTCGCTAATCTCCATGTTATTCTCCCGTGATGTGTCACGTGCTTCAATTGATCGCTATCTTTTTTTTGCACCTTTTTTGCTTGCCGAGCTTCAATACTTTTTTATCACATGCTCCACTTGTTGCAACATGAAGGCTTCTGAAGAAACTAGCTTGAGAGGGGTGGATCCCCATTTCAAACATGAAGGATTTAGAGCTCCATAAAACTGATGTTGAATCCAAATTCAAAGGTAATCGTTTGAAGTCTATAAAAGATTGGCGAAATTGAAACCAAAAGATTGAGATAACTCAACAACCGAAAAACTTAAATATGAAAATGATTCTGTTTGATGGATTGGGAAAGCTTCTTTCACTTCCTTTTCTCTTGTTGGTCACTTTAATTAAGTTTTACTTAGGCACAATAACATACAGAAAACTCTCTAACAGTTTATTACAATGTTTGAAAATGACGACTTTCAGGCTTGCTTTATCACTTGACGTGAGCGACTCCTACTACGTGTCTCCATTTTCAACTAAATTTTTAATCTCAAGTGTCGGATTGCGATTCCGAGCTTTAACTTCGAAGCTTCCTGGCTACGGAAAGAGATATGACAGAAATAGCATTTGGTTGGTGAGGCAATCACGTAGATCTCCCAGCGACCCAATAATCATATACATCCATGGAGGAGGCTTCTTTTTGGAGACCCAGCCCCAACAACTTGAATCAGTGTTGAGTATTTACAGCTTGCTTGAACCTTCTAAACGGGAGAAACTTTCTGTCCTCGTGCTTGATTATAAACTTGCAAGCGCAGGCCATACATTTCCAGTTCAAATGACCCAGTTGCATGAGACGTATTCGAAATTAACTGGAGAAGATGGCAACAGCAACATCATATTAATGGGTGATTCTGCAGGAGGTAATCTCTCTATTTGTTATTTACAGTATTTGAAGAGCTTGTCTGCGCCAAAGGAACGTTATCCAACAAAATTAGTCCTTGTGAGCCCTTGGGTTAATATTACTCCAAATAGTGATCAGAATGTTCCTGGACGCTCATTTTATGACAGTGATTCATTCGACATGATTAGATTCAAAAGCTTTGAAACAGAACATAAGAAACATCAAATTATTGGCAGCTGTAAAGAGACAGATGTCAAAGTATCTCCGCTAACCTCTGGGAAGAGATTAAAGGATGACTGGGTACATATTCCTACCTTGAATTTGCCAGAATATGATGTAATTCTTATTTGCGGGGAGGATGAAAGCTTCAGAGATGATATTTTGGAGTTTGCTGAATTAGCTCTCGAGGTACCTTACTATTCTACTTATCACTATGGGGACTCAGACAACAAAATAAGTAAGAAAATGGAATACCATAGAGTCAACAATCCTAAGCATTGCAATTTTTCATTATTTGTGGAACCTTGGGGTGTTCATGACGCCTCAATGTTCTTTGAAAATCATTTGTTAAGTAAAGTCAAAGCAAAGAAGGTTAAAAGTTTAGAAGATGTAGACAAAACGGAGTTCTTTGGTTTGTATAGAATTATCGAATTTTTGAACAAGACTCTTTGAAATATTATTTATATGTTCATATATTAAACATCTATACCATAAATGCAAAAAAAAATTTAGTGTTGAAATGTATGAATTTCTGGGACATGTTCTACTTTTACCATTGGTCTATAATCAGATTTCCACATCTGTGAGTTAACCCATTTATAACATTTCTTGAAGTCTCTTGGGACTTTGACTTGTCCCCCGTCTGGACTCTGCTCATGCTCAACTCTTGCAGTGCCTTCTTTCAAAGCTTGTAAGATAACAGCAGTCGCGACCTTACCACTCACAGTATGAATATCTTCCAACTCCGGTAACAAGCCATTCTTAGGGCTCGCCATCTTGGGCGATAATTCTGCTAGCTGATCGACAGCTGCAGAAACCATAGTATCGGTGATGGTAGAACATCTTGAAAGAACTGCACCCAAGCCAATTCCAGGAAAACTGAAACAGTTATTATTTTCAGAAATAATGTAGCCATCAACCGGTTCGAAAGGAGATCCTGTGGCCACTAAAGCATTGTTATCAGTCCATTTCATTAAATCATCCGGGAACGCCTCGTGTAATCTAGTCGGATTGGATAATGGAAATATAATCGGTTGACGATTATGTTTGTACATCTCCTTTACCACTTCTTCGGTGAATGAGCCGGGCCTTGTGGAACAACCAACTAAAATAGTTGGTTTTACTTTTCTAACGACCTCAAGTAAACTCTTGGTATTTATTCCTTTCCAATCAGCATCGTCGTCTGCGTACACTTTTTGTGCAGCAGAAGCATCATCGAAAGACTTCAATATTAAGCCAAAGCGATCCATTGCATGAATTGAATTTCTTGCATCCTCAGGTTTGACTCCATGAGCAACCATATGATTGACAATTTGATCAGCAATACCCATTCCTGCAGAACCTGCACCGTAAATAAGAACCTTTATGTCTTTCAAGTCTCTATTTGAATACTTTAACGCAGCAGTGATAGAAGCCATAACTACTGCACCCGTACCCTGAATATCATCGTTGAAACAAGGTAAAAAGTTTTGATATTTATTCAAAATTTCTCTACCAGTGCTAACTCCAAAATCTTCAAAGTGTAAGATGGCACTGGGAAATCTTTTCTTGATTGCATGTACAACTTTATCCACAAAATCATAGTATTTTTCGCCTCTGACCCTGTGCATTTTGTTTCCCATATATAATTCATCAGTCAAAAGAACTTCATTATTGGTTCCAACATCTAAGCCTATGGGTAAGACTCTACCTGGATGTACTCCAGCACACAATGTCATCAAACCCAATTTTGCAATTGCGATCCTAACTCCTCCCACTCCTTGGTCACCTATTCCCAAAATACCTTCACCATCAGACATGACAATGTAGTCGATATCTTTATTCTCACCGTAAGCTGATAGTCTTTCATCAATTGTATCAGGATGATTTATGTCTAAGTAGCAGCCTTCGGGTCTTCTAAATCTCTCTGAGTAAGAAGCAATAGCATCACCTTCGGTTGGGGTATAAATGATAGGAAGCATTTCCCTGATATGGCGACGGACCATCTCATAATACAAAACTTTATTCTGATTTCTCATTGATGTACAAAAATCGTTCCTAGCTAAAGGCGTTTTTAAATATCTAAATTGCTGATAAGCTCTTTCAACTTGTTCATCTAAGGAGTTCACCCTAGATGGAAGTAATCCCACGAGTTCAAAAACTTTTCTTTCTTCATGCGTAAATGCAGATCCCTTATTGAACAACGAAGACTGTAATAAAGAAAATCCTGTTAAGTTGCACTCAATTGGACCATCATTTGCCAATCTCGTAGTCTTTGGTTTTAAAGCTGCTATTGCTGCCTTTATACCAACCGGAGTTTTAATGGTTTGAGTGGAAATCGAAGGACCGCCTGAGTTCCAACGAACTTGATTGAAATTTTTTCCAGAAGCCTTAAATGATCTTAACATTTTAATGAAAATTAATCGAATTCAACTCTACGGTTCACTGATCTAATTGTAAGATTTTTATGTTCCTATCAATTGCTAAAGGAATCTTAAATTGCTTTTAATATATTAATGGAGCGATGCTCCCCGATCCTTTGGAACAGCTCGCGGTTTCCCATTACCTAAAACATACAAAGGGTCGCAGCCACATGCATACACATAACACCGAGAAGCCTTTTGACATAAAGTATATAAGCCAGATAGTTATACTGCTTTAAAGCATTAAGAACCCAGAGAATATTGTGGCTCCTATACGATCTTTGAAAATTCGAAGAATTAGAGATTTGAAGCAACAAGACGTAATTTTCCTTATAAACGAGACATATTTAAACAAGTTCAATCGTAGATCAGTATAACTTCAGAAAATTCATCGTACCTGTTAATGATATAATGGATTCCATTAATTATCACGAATCTGACCTTTGGGAAGTGCTCTGAGTTCGGGATTAACTGGGAAACAGCTCGTTTAAAGAGATCTGCCGCTCTTGAAACTTTGTTCGGCAACTGATAGCAAACTTGATGCAGGTCTAGCTTGAAGTAACGCTTTCCTCTACCTTTCGCCAATCTAATAATCTCGCTTCTGACATCATCTTTATTAGGAGATATATTAGTTGCGCCAGTGACCATGTTAATCTGTCTCATACAATCATAAGTTCCGTAAGGATCCAGCAAAGATCCAATCCAAACAATCGTTTGAAGAGAGTATTGAAGATGTCTGAGACCATCTTCAAATAATGAGAGATCTTTGTCTATCTCCGAAGTAATGTAGATGTCAGTTATACTCTGTGATGCTAAAGAAGATAGAAACCAATTTACCAGCGCGAACGCAAAAAAGCATTTCCCTGTCGATGATCTTATCCAAAGTGAAAGTTTCTTGAGATTTATCAACAGTGAAGATATCAAGAAAGGGCTCCTATCGAAATAGTTCATACTAAAACTTGTAGATTCTGAAAAAAATGATAGTTCCAATTTTTTGATGCAATCTAGCTTGATCAAGGCTTCAATTGGCACATCTTGCAATGTAGTCCTTGAACTAAATTCTAGGGTAAGGTTTTCGATGTTTAAACCAGAAATCCCTACTTCAAGTATTGATTGCAAAATTCCGGCTACATCTCCTGAAATTTCAAGTGCTGATATATTTGGATAGCAGAGTTTTAAATTTTGCAACCATTCTTTGGCGATTGCATTAACATGAGCAATTTTAAAAGATAGCCTTGTTACAGATTTAGGTACTTCCGGAAAGTCCATTTCAAGATCCTCTTTTATTGTAACCAACGAGTCACAAATCCCAAACTCCGTCAAGTAGTTCAGGTATTTGTTATGAAAATGAATGTTCCAAAACTGTCTAGGAGTCATTTGGATAGCTCCATTAAAGTTTGTTCCTAATGTCAGTTGCTTAGGGAAAGACTCAGAATATATAACTTTATTAGAAAAGCGATGATGCAACTTCTCCTTGAAGGTCTCCGAATATTTAGAGTTTCGAAGGATGATTTTTTGAACCAATTTTGAATCTAAAGCGTTCTCGTTAATTAGCTTGGCAAAATTTAGAGGTGAAATAATAGTATAGTTTTGATGAAGCTTGAATATATCACCATAAGAAGATATGTCACCATATCTATGTTCATTGACCATAAATGGTGGCTCAAAAGGATCTCGCACATAGATATTCCTTAACAACTTCTGCCTACCGATAACATAAAATCGCTTATCGATTTCCATAATTTTCAGCACCTCATATTGATTAAAATTATCAATAATCTTCAAAAGAAGCTCATCTGGAAGGATTAGGAGATTGGCATGAGGTTCTATATTTTGATCCTTGTCAACAAAATTTTTTTGTACCGAAAGATCGTATTCAATAGTCTCTGATTTGCTAAATATTGTAAAATCTCTCCGCATTAACAAGGAAAACATAATTCTGGTAAATTTTAAATCAATTTTGTTAAATAACCTTTCAAGTCGATGGAATGAAATATATATAAAGCACAAGGTTCCAATAAGAAGAACATATCGATACATTATTTTTTTGATAGCTTGAAGCTAAAAATATGAAAGTTTTATTCAAAAGGCGGAGATGGATGATATGATTTGTCTCGAGACAATCTGTAAAGCAATCAATTTTCATATAACTAAAAGAGCTCAATTTTCTACCTCATAGAGGGCCCAAAGCTCCCAGAGCTAAATAAAACATGTAGAGATGCACTTAGTGCTACGGTTAATTAATATTACATACTTTTCTTCTATACTGAAAAATTAGTCATCTGCTGCCCATGGTCTACGATTCAACCTTTGGCTTCTTCCTTTGCGAAGGATGCTGAATGCTACTGGTAGCATCTTCCTTTTGCCTTCTCTTTAATGGCTTTTGAAGTTGAGGAACAAAGCAGCTTGTCCTACCTCCGATAGTCTCATGATCAACAGTATACCCTTCGATGGTTCTAGCTTTCGGAGCCTTCCTACCCTTTCCCCAGCGATAAAGCATTAACCAATTATCAGGAAAGTTTTTGGAAATACCCTCAAGTCTTACGCTTTCTTCACAAACATATATGAGAGAGTCATAAAGTTGTTTAATAACGGGATCTATCTCATCTGAGTCTTTATCTAGTTTATTGGAAATGACTTCATTAGGATTGATCCTAGCATGGTAGCAAATCTCATCACCAACCCAATTTCCGACACCAGCAAAGAAGGCTTGATCAAGTAATAGACTTTTAATAGGTTTTTTCTTCGACAAGATTAGTTTATTGAAATCTTTCAAATTCAACCGGGGTCTTCCATGGTTATTCGGGTCAGGATCGCCAGATTTAAATTCATCCAAGGATACTACTGTAGCAGGTTTTGAATAGTCTGGCCCTAGCTCAGAAAGTGGTTTTGTATTTAGAAGCTTCTGGTCAGTTTGCACCTCCGGCCCTGTTAAGAATCTAACGCGACCCAACCTCCTAGGATCTACAAATGCCAAATCGTATTCTTGAGAATCCTTTTTTAATTTCATTTCAAATTTAGCGAATCGTGGTGGCCATAAGGAATCGTTGTCATTCTTATCAGAAGAATCATTTGGATTATCCTCTTTCCCTGCCTCAACCTCGTCCTTAATCTCCAGCTTTATAGCAGCCTTTTCTTTCTCAATCTCATTTCGAACTTTCTTATCTCCTCCGTTTTCCATTATTACCAAGTTTGAATGAATATTCTTAATTTTTATCATACCAGTCATTCCAAAATGCATTAACAAAACACCTGTTTCTTTCGAATCAGCTAAATTTAATCTTAACCAAAAATATTTTCCATGACGCCCAATTGAATTAATAGTGGATCCCGTTAGTGAGTTCTCGAGCAGCTTTAATTCTTCCCCTGCATTCGGATTATTTTTCAAAGCAGGAAACAATAAGGGGTCGTTTTTCAAAGTCACAGAAGAAATCATGAATCCTAGAACATTTCTTCTAAGTAAGGCGCAAACATGTGCAACCTATGGCCAGTCAGTAACTCATAGCTTTTATCGAATGTTAAAAAATACTTACTTCGGCTACTTCAGGCATATGATGATCAGTTTGTATCAATTGTTGCAGATGGTGGGTTTAGCTAAAGAGATTAAAAGATCAATTGGGTGGGTCAATTCAACTCTAATGTTGCGATATGGGAAAAGGTCTGAAAGATCAAAAAAAAAAAAATTGCTCCACGGCAGGTTCGAACTGTCGACCTTCAGATAACACAGCGCAAACTATGAGACTGACGCTCTGCCTACTGAGCTAGTGGAGCCAATTTCATGCATCGATTTAAAATACAATTAACAATTACCATGTTTGCAGCCGACGGGTACCATGTTCCCACCACTAATAATTAGTGGAAAATCAACTCCGTAGATTGACTTAATGATATAATAGCAATCTTTAAAATGTCTGTGGTAGATGGTGGGCGAACTACAAATTAAACAGTTTACATTCCAGTAAGACTATCTCCTCTATCGCAGGAGATACTTTCAAAGAACAGATAAAACTTTTATAAAAAGAAAACTAAAAGCCTCCAGTATTTCCAACTTCTTCATATATTCTTGGCTAGTCTCTTTCTTTATAGTGTGTCTTAAAGTAGGGCAACAGAGTACTTCTTTAAAAACATCACATGATCACATGATCAAAGGAGCTATTATCTATTAGACAGCGATAAAACTGAGTCGTAGCGAATACATCTTGTAAAAGTAGTTGACTATGAACAGGCTCTTTGGAACTAAGAGTTCCGTTCCAAAGCCTTCTTTAAATGATGCAGTGAAGAATATTGACGAAAGAATAGGAACGTTCGATGTCAAATTATCTAAGATTAATGCTGAGCTATCAACGTATCAACAAAAGATAAGCAGGATGAGGGACGGTCCTGGTAAATCTGCTCTTAAACAGAAAGCTTTGAAACTTTTACGTCAGAGAAAGCAGATTGAAGCACAAAAGGACCAGTTAGAGAACCAGTCTTGGAATATGACTCAAGCATCGATGACCACTGACAACTTAAAGAACACAATGATAACTGTTGATGCCATGAAAACCACGAATAAAGAACTCAAGAAGACTTATGGAAAAATTGATATTAATAAAATAGAAGATCTACAAGATGAGATGTTAGATCTTATTGATAAATCTAATGAACTCCAGGAATCTCTCCTGACTACGTACGACGTTCCAGACGATATTAGTGAGTCTGAATTAGATGCTGAATTAGATGCTTTGGGTGAAGAAATGGATTTTGAAAATGAAATAGGTGAAGGAGATCTCGGGGCACCAAGTTATTTGAATGAAAATCAACCTGTAGGAAACGATAAGTTACCCACTTTTATTGATGAGCCAGAAGAAAATGCAAAAGAAATCGCCAGTTGAACTGTATATCAGATAAGTACGTAAAATTTCGAGCTATCAATACTATTTACAATTAATTTATCTTTCTAATTGCCATGAAGTAGTTTCCTGTTTTTGCATTACAAGTAAATGTCCAACCGTAAGCAGGGACGTAAATGCACCCTCTTGAATCCAAGACTTCGTATTTAGACAGCATAGCAGAGTCTTCTTCTATCCATTGTTTGATTTCATCGTGATCAATGTATTTTTCTAAGGTATGAGTTCCAACAGGAACAATTCTTAAAACGTGTTCGCCCATGAAAATTGTAGTGAACCAGCTAATTGGATCTCTGTTGATCGTGGAAAGGAAGAGCCAACCTCCTTCATTTAGCCTCTCGAGGCCCTCTGTCAAAACCTTGGACGGGTACTCTACATGCTCCAACAATTCGAACATCGTTATCACGTCAAACTTATCTTCTAAGGGCAAATCCTCTATTGCAGTAATTTCATAAGACAATTTTCCATTGTCTTTGTTAAGAAGAGGATCTTTTTGCTGATGAACTTTTGCTGCTTCAATCACATCCGTAGACAAGTCTATTCCCTTGACAGTGTCTACAAAGCTCAACCTAGCCATGCATTCCGATAATATACCGCCTCCACAGCCAACATCTAATACCTTTAGTTTGTTTTCTTCGAGATATTCCTCTCTCCTGATTTCTTGATCTTCCAATATGCGATTCTTAATAGTGCTCGGTAGCAAGTCTAAATTATATGGTGGAACATAGACTTGTTCCTCAGGAGGGACAGAAGGATCATTTAATGGAATGTAATTCTTTATATTATCATGAATGAAGTCCATTCGTAACAAATTCATCTTATGTAAAATCCTTTGGGGACCATTTACGTCCCACCAACTTGAAGCCAATGCATTGAAATGAGACATCTCGTCAGCAGATGCCGAAGTGGCCCCTTTCAGATAATACATTCGGGAATATGACAATAGGTTCCTCTCTGAAACATAATTCAAATATGACTTTGAAGTCAATCGCTTAGTAATAAGCTTCATGAGTAATATTACTTGATCCTTATTATGTGGACAATTTGTGACTTTTCAGTTGAAAATTAATATTTGAGACATTTGAAGTGCAATGTTTCTTATTTTTAATTACTTTTAAGTATTTCTCTAAAGATGTCTCACGAAGAAAGCCTTAATGGTGGCAGAACTAAGCGTGCTAATGCGGGCTCTCGTTTGAGACATTTGATTGAGCTTGAGGAGCAGGCGGCACAAGAACTGAGACAGCTTTCTCAGTTCATCTCTGAAGAGGATGAGAACGTGAATTTGATATTTCAAGAAGACGAGAACGATGAAGAATTTCAAGAGTCCGAAGAATATTCAGACGAAGTAGAGGAAGTAGAAGATGGAAATGGGGAAAATGAAGAAGCGCCTTCAGGTGAGAACGAAGGCGTCGAGGAAGAGGATGGCGAAGATACTGAAATGGCAGAAGTAGACTCAGATGATGTTCTTTCGCAAACGGATCTGTCGTCATCTGAAACAGATGAAAGCGAAGGAGAGAAAGAACTTCAAAAACAAGAAAAGATGGTAAAACGCCGAAGGACGAAAATGCAAACTATGGTTCCAGCGATCAGAAAACAAGTTGATACGACTACCTCGAAATCCAAAAGGGTCAAAAAGACTCCTTCCACTTCTTCATCCTTGCTCTTTTCAGAAAGAAGGTCGTCTTCGAGGGCGGCTGTGGTAGAAAGTAAAGAAGCTCTTGTGAAGAGACTTAAGGAGAATGAAAAAAGGAAGGCTAATTCCACGCCCGTAGTTCGCATTAAACAAAGGGAATTGACGCAAGAAGAGAAACTAGCAGAAGCAATTGCTACTGAAAAAGCGAATGTGTTATCTCTAAATAAGTTCCAGGAGCAGGAGGTCGAGAAGAAAGAGAAACAAAGACAGTTGATGTTGCTGAAAAGAAAAAAATTGAAGAATGTGATTAGATTACTCAGTGAGGAGACATATATTTCACCATTAGATGAAGTTCTAGATGCAAGAAGGGCTCAAGAAATTTTACGAAAAGCTAAAAGAAAACCTGGCCGTAAGCGTAAAGTCCCTTTGGAGCCAGTGTTTCAACGATTGCCTGGTGAAGTAGACACGGAACTTCCACTGGTAAAAGAGGAACTTGACCGAAAGCGAAGGGAGGACGAAGAGCTTCAAAAAAATGCTCAAAATGAGGAAAATCAAAGCGAAATAATAGATGGAAATGGCCAGGGAAATTCGAAAGAACAAATAGATGGAGATATTCAACACAACAACCTTGAAAACGGTGTTAGCCTAAACGAAGAAACGAATGGGAAACTTCAACAGAAAAATGTTGCATTTATTGCTAGCGAAGTAAATTTGAATCCAAACGGGAATGATGAAAACAATGAAAACGATGAGAAAATCTCGATCCACCACAAAGAATCGAGGGCACCAACAGATGATGCCATATCCCGAAATGATTCTGCTGTTGATCTGAATCTTGACGAAGAATCGTCCCAATGTAATAAATATAATGACAATAATGAGCAACAGCATGCAAAACATGGCGATAAAATTTTAAGTCCTAACAATGAAGGGACAATTGACGATAATCTCAATGTAGCTATGAATGAGACAATTAAAAGCGATGAAAATAATGAAAATTCCCTGAATGGGGGAACTACAAATTATGATGAAATTGTTATAAATACGGCTGAAACAAACCAAACCGAATCCATCAAATCTGAACTACCGAAAGAAAAGAAGGTCACCTTCGCTGATGAGCTTGAAAACGCTTCTCCTAAGATTGAATCGGATGATGAAATGACTCCTGATCCCTCAATCGCTTTGAAGGAGAAAAATGAAGTTTTCGAAGGGCCATCCCAGCGGGTTGGTAAGAACAGTATATTTTTGATTGATTTTGAAGAAGAGGAAAAGACGCTTAAGCTAACAGAATCTAATATTAAATCTATACTACTTGGTCCCCAGTCATTATTGCCGGCCTCGAGAAGATTCAAAGATTTAGAGTCTATTCTAAGAATTGGTAAAGTAGATAATCCTTACGTAGCAGTAAGAGAAGAAAGAGACGAGATTTTGGAGCCAGCTTCAAGCTTGACAGAGAATGACCCTATTTTTGATGAGCTTAATAAATTGCCAAGACTAGGTGTTGCCCAAGCGATCGTTGAAGAAGTTGAGGAGGATGATAAAGAAGAAGACTTTTCAATCAATTTGAAAACTGAAGCGCCAACGGGATTATATCTACCAAATGGCAACAAAAAAAATTGCCTTATATCAGGCACAGAGGTCAAATATTTCGATCCTTCTAATGGTATTCCCTACAACAGTGTCGAAACATACCGATTTTTGAAAACAATTGAGCAAGGCGCTGTTCCATGGTATAGTCTAGGAAATGAACTCAATGATAACGGACCCGTGGATATTTACTTAGGCTCGAGGGTTGGGGCTTATAAGCATGCCAAAGATGTTCCGGAGGGCTTTGATGGTAATTGATAAATAATTGCATTTATAGACACTTTTTTAATTCTAGGAATATCTCTAAATTATCCAATAGCATCTTATACAAGTTTAAAGTATATATTAGAGACTACTATATGACCAAATCTCGATTGTTGTATATCAGTTCGTGTTGTGTTGTACTTCTTTTTCATGGGCAGCTATCAAATCTGCTTGAAAATTCTTTAACTTGTTCTTCAACACCGGAACGAAGTATTTTCTGATTTCAGTGACATGACCTTCGGAGTCTATAGAGAACACATAATCATCATCTTCTTGGTCATGAACAAACTCAGGAATCGTTATTGTGGCATTGAACCCTTCTTTTCCACTAGGTTCGATAAACACTGAAAACTGAAGCAGCATGTCGTAAATGCATATTACTTTCCCTTTTCTTTGGCTCACATCACAGTCACCCAGAATAGATTTAATCAGATCAACAATAAAACTTACATTTTCGTTTTTGAGCTCAGTATTAAGCACATTTTCTTCAAAATATGTCTTAGACCATGGAAGACAGTTTCTATCGACCCAGTGCCTAATTCGAGATGTCAGTATTGCGTCCTTTTTGCTTCTACTTTCAAAACTTTACTTACCAGTTATTGGGATTATGTACAACCATTTGAACCGTTCCACTAAGCAAATATAGTTTTGTAGTTGTAGTACTTTCTAAGTATATAGTTCAAAGAAAGATTAAAAAATCTCGTGGAGTCGCTCAGTTCCATAAAATTCTAGAATATCTAGATCGCACTCTCATTATGGCACCAAATTTAGTAATGTTCAAAAATGAAGATCTCTTTGAAAATCAAAGGGCCACAATTTGTTTAAGAGAAGAGAATAAGTGAGTCCTAGAACAAGACATTCACTGCATTTGCCTACAAAAAGTAGCCCAGAATAGTTGTTTTAAAAGAACTGGGTTTTTTTGTGTTTTAACAGATTTAAAACTTATGTAACATCATTGAAGTACGGAATCCAAAAACCTAATTTAAAGCGTGTTAAGCGACATTAAAGTCTTCGTTTATGCATTAAAAAAAGAAAACGGAAGGTTGAATAGCTGCGTGATATATGAAGTTCTTCAGATTCAAAGTTCAATCTTACGTCTAAGTATTTCCGTTTTCAGCAAGCTTTCAAGGATTCTTTGGAATCTTCTTTGTAGCCAACATCTAAAAGAACGGAAAATAGCTCTAATTGAAAACAGAAAAGAAGCCTCAACACTCCTAATTATAAAAAACATGTCTGAGATTACAAAGCGTCCTCCCCCAGGTAAGAATTTTAAATAAGCTACAATAAATTTGTCGTTCAGGGATCAGCTGATTAGTAGACTGACGAGGAGCCTAAAGTACACTTAATGAACATAGTATTGGTGAAACGTTAGGAGCTATATTTAGTATATTTCCATGGATTGAGCTCGTGTCGGCTGTGAATAGCTGCAAAAAGACAATACATTAGATCGGGAGACACGTGAGGTAATTCAAATTAGAGAAATCGACGTTGCTTTGCACTAGCATAACAACACATTTGGTACATGGTAACAAATCCAGCCTGTGAACGAGAATGGAAGATAGCAATCTCAATGAATTGCATAAGTATAAGGGGTCTGGGGATTTAGAAAAATCGTCACAACCTGAGTTTGAGGAGTTGCGCTTAAAGCCAGTTTCTAGTATAGTCAAACGCAAGTTAATTTTGAATGTTGTAATAGAGACTACCCTTTCAATTGTATTCTATCACTACTATGAGAAAATAGAGGAGGTGAATTTGTTATTGGCTCCAGCACTTTTAGGTGCTTCTACCGCGGCGTTAGCACAGTCTTTCAATCAAGCCCAAAAACTAAAATACAGTATAAATCGAGTTTTAAAGTTTACAGTATGGGGAATAATAAACGGAACCCTTACGGCTCTATGGATTAACTTACTAATGCAGCGTATAAAAAATCTTTCGTATAGAATTTTAGTTGACCAATTGCTTGGTGTGCCAATTTTTCAATTAATCTTTAATGTGCTAAATAGCTTGTGGGATCAAGGAGAACTTGGAAGTAACACGAGAATTAATTATCTTAAGGCACTTCGGTATAGTTACTTTTTTTGGCCATTCTTTTCGATTTGTCTGTTCCTTTTCTTTCCTCAACGAGTCATGTTTCCTGCAAATTGTTTGGCTAATTTGATATGGAATCTTATATTAAGTATGATAGCATAGACTCATATCATTTCCCAAAAATCAGATTGAGGTGCAAGTTACATCCAATCAGACATTGAATGAATGCCATCTATTAAGTTTAAGTTTTCAATGCATTTATAGATCTATATATCATAGCTAATAAGATGGACAGTTTATTTCGACTTAAAAGACTTTAACGGGTCTGACTTCCTCCCTGAAGGCTTTTTTTTCCTATTTTTATGTATTCGATTCTTATGAAAAGGCACATATCCGATTTTTTTCATGTTTGACCTTGCACTCTCAGGTAAAAGATAATCAGGCACTCTTTTCAAATGAGATTGAACACGAGCAGAATGCAATTCTTTATCATGACGCAAAGTCGCTAAGTCATTTGGATTTTCTTCGAAAAATCTTTTTAGTTTATCTGAATTAACAAGCTCTTGCTTCAACTCCCTTACACGAGCCTCTCTTATAGCAGTCAGAGTCACAGCTCTAAAAGCATCTTCAGCTCTGTACCTGAAGCCTTCCACCTGGTCCATATCGAATTGATAAGGGAGAAGTTCGAAATTGTTACGTGCTTGTTGCTTTATTATGCGCTGTAATATTTTTTCATCTCTCTTGGCTGTGTTCAAAGAAGCCACCTTATGTTTACCAAACAGCTTCGATGGGATTATGAAAGATAAAGCAGTTCCCGATTTTCCTGCTCTTGCGGTTCTACCAATTCTATGAATATATGCCTTAGAAGTCACTGGTAAATCAAAATTCAAAACACACGCAACATTGTGAAAATCGACTCCCCTGATGACACCATACTCTTTATCTTTAACACTTTTTTTAGCCTTTTCTCCACCATCGGAATTTGTAGTTGAATTTTTCTCTTCTTCATCATCATCTTTTTCCACAGTAAAAGTATTAGTTTCGTCCGTGGCAATCAATAAATGGTACACATTCTTATTGAATTCTTCTACAACATGTAACCTTGAATTGACTGGCAATTCACTATTCAAAATACAACTCCTTATACCGAATTGTTCTAAGAACAATTTCAAACGATAACCACGATCAATGTTATTCACAAAAACTAATGTTTTTCCTTTTATCAAATTCAATTTGAATATCACATAAGCTAATAAAAACTTATCGAACTCAGTTGTAATAGCGTAATATTGAACTAGGTTTGATTTCGTGCTAGCATCATCGTTCAACTTAAGGATTGCAGGTTTCGAACAAAATTTTTGCTTCAACAGATCAAGATCGTCATTGATTGTTGCTGACATTAAGAAGGACTGTAAGTTTCGTTTATTGGGCAAATATTTTTCCAATTTGCTCAAGTCATCATCATAACCAAACGAGAGAACCAAATCAACTTCATCAATTACAATACTGGAAACTTTCGACAAATCTAAAAGATTAGTTTTAACATTCTTTTCTAAAGACTGAATGAGCTTTGATGGAGTTGACACTATTATTTGTGGGGCGTTGACCAAAAGCGAGCTCAAGACTTGTTCACTCAAGTTCGTAGATAGATCTAAACACTTGATTTGGCTATTACAAAACATAACCAACTTGTCAATGAACTGAGTTACTTGATGCGATAATTCCTTAGTAGGCACCATAATTATGCTCTTCACTTCATTTTGAGTTAAGTCTGTGTTCAATAAATTTTGTACTATTGGTATGCAGTAGGCTGCCGTTTTACCTGAGCCTGTTGATGCCTTAGCTATAATATCTCTCTTTTCGCCAAGGGCTAAAGGAAGAGCACTAGATTGAATCAAGGTAGGACTTGAGAATCCTAAATGATCAATGGCTTGAAGCAATCTAGAATCTAGATTGAATGATTCCCAAGTTGTTGATTCATCAAGGTAAGCATCAGAGGCTGCAGCTTGGTTCTTTGCTTTTCCCATACTTCAAGTGTTTTGTTGAAGAAGAGTCGTAGCACTGATTCTACAATCTTTATACAATTTTTTTTTTTTTTTTCTTTCTCGTCTTAATTTATCGAGTGCAGTCGTGATGCCCATCGCAATTTTTCAAAAACGGGATCGATTACAGAAGTAATCAAGCTACAAAGGCCACTTTTCGCAATACAACAAGATGAATCTTAGTAAGTGAATACATAAACTAAAAGATAAAAACTATTCCAAACTCCATTTATTTTATCCAGACTTAAAATGAACTCTGGATAAATTTAATTTCAATAACGGGCGTGTGGCGTAGTTGGTAGCGCGTCTGCCTTGCAAGCAGAAGGTCACTGGTTCGATTCCTGTCTCGTCCAATTTTTTTTTTTTCGGTCCTTGTCACATTTACTTCAACTTTTAAACCAACTTTGTATTATTTGCGAAATTCGTTCTATAATTTAGCTTGTGCTTATTTCTACTTCTTACTGTACAAAAATCTATAAATTTTCTATAAATGATTATTATTTTGAATTTTTTTGAATTTTTTACCTGATATGTGAAGAAAAATATGGCTAAGGTTCTTCTTCAGCCTCAGAGGAGCTCTTTCTAGCACTGGAACTACGTCTAGTCACAATTCGTTTCAACTGAGAACCAATGAAATCAGCCTTCCTTGGCTCAGAATAATCGGTAGCGGATGTACGAACCGACGTTGCATCGTTATCTTCTAGTCTTTCATCAATATCATTCGTCCCAGAAGCAATACTTTTTTCTCTTTCTAAAGGTTCACCCATTCCATAGACTGGGAACACGTTCTTGGGAGATCTGCCAAAAGATCTGTTAGTGGCTGCAGTACTAAATCTCGTCAAAGTGCTTCTTCTGGAAGCCGTGGGACGTAGACTTGTTCTAGATTGATCTTCATTAGGATATAACGTCTGAGGAACGTAGTCCTCTGCTGAAGTATCAGTACTGGTGCCGTCTGGCGCGACATAAGCTTTTTCATCTTCCTCCGGGATTGACTTCTGTCTTACAACTCTTGAATCCATATTTAATTCTGGCTGCTCATCTCTTGCCTCATATTCAGGTAAATTCAACTTTCTCATATCTTGCTCCACGACGTATAAGTGCAAATACCATACAATAACAATTCCAAAGAATGAGCCTCCAATAATATTACCTAGTGCGCCTGGTAAGAAAACTTTCCATGCCACCGTGGCAACTGATACGGGAGCATGATTAATCAATCCAGAAATGAGAATGAACATATCTGCAACCGAATGCGTAAATCCCATTGAAACGAATGTAAAAACGGGAAGAGCCAATAAAATAAACTTGACGTGCAAAGGTTTAGCCATTAACTGCAAGTAGATTGCGAGTGCAACATAGAAATTTCCTGCTATACCCTTCAACAAATTTTGCACAAATGAAAAATCCGCTTTCTCTATAACAAGTTCAATGGATCCCTGTACGAAGCTCGGATCCTGACTGACTTTTGAATAATGACATATGACATAGCACACAAATATATTTCCAACTAAATTGAGCCACCAGCTCACCATTAAGCTTATTAAAAGATCCACGATCGATACTGCTCCTCTCACAAGACCAGTGCTGAAAAATAATATATTTGAGTTAAAGAGATCTACTCCCATAATCACAACATAAAATAATCCTATGGGATACATAAGACCCTGTAGAATCCTTACAATCGAAGGATTGTTTTCGACCAACAGATAAGAGTATCCGTAGATCATAGAATTAAGCATACCCCCCGATGAGAAGAATATACCCCCCATTAAGGAGTTAATACATAGCGTGAGGAACAGTTGACGGGACTTCTTCATTGCGGTGGCAACCACAGCAAGGGCACCTTCTCTAGTGGACAAATATAATGAATCATCTCCCATTGCTGCTCAATAGCAACACTATCTGTAGATTATTCCCAAAGGAAGTTCTTTGCAAATTCCTTTAACCAATATACCGAGGACTGGGAAAGGACGTTATGTCCTATGAAGTGTTTCTCGTTTAGCTGGCTCCGAGGTGCTCCAACTCTTCTCTGTGATGGCTTAATCAAAAGTATGGTACGATAGCCTTCGGTTTTTCTCAAGTTCTAATATCGCGCGGACCTTAATCCTACAGAAAAGGTAAAAATTTCCTGCTTTCATATAGTTATACAGTTATATATACATGTATTATTAATGCTACTTATTTATGTCTTGATCCTCCACAAATAATGAGCTATTTGATATGGCACTTCTGAAATCGAAGGTCAGGATAGAATCAGGTCCTTGCAAACTCTCTTCTGTTCTGCTTGAGTGGACTGCAGAATTTACAGAATCGTCAGATATTTCAGTATTTTTGGAAAGCTCTGATGAAAGCAGGGGTATGTCTTGCAGCACGTCAGCCTTAATCTTCTTCTTTTCAGTGGCCCTCTTCCCCCTTGATAGCTTTGCAGCTTCAGTCAACTCACGGAACTCACTTTTGTAAGCATGCATCCACTCCTTAGGCAGAAAATCCTTATCAGTAATACATTTTTGGCTCAAGTTCTTACCTCTACCAAAAAAAGTAGAAGTACTTTGGTTATTGAAGCCTGAGTTAGATAATTCCCATTGGTTGAGTTTTTGTCTCAAAGTTTTCTCAGGTACTGGACGATTACTATCTGAATTAGAATTGAACAAGACATAATAGTAATTATATCTCTGCTCCAATTGTGATCTCGTACCTTGGGTTGAAAGCTTCAAGCTTAACAACTTATCCTTAAGCTTAGATGTAGCCAACGATGCATAATCCAATTTCGGTAACTTCTTAATATTGCTATTGTGTTTACTTGTTTCCTCAAAATAAAACTTTGTATGATCAGTGTCATCCTGATTTATTACCAGATCCAGCGACAGAATTATTGGCCTATCTCTTGGCTGGAAAAAAGATGTTATTCCACTTCTGTTCTTGTACCTCATAGAATGACTCTTGTTCTGCTGCGGCGTTGTGTTGGAGTGTGCTGTCTTCGGACGCAAACCCTTCAAACAATAATCAATGTGAGTCGCCTGGAGATCCCTTGCCAGCATATACTCAGAGCAAATTGGACATTGGACCTTTTCATCTTTCGTTGGTGTTGCGATTTCGCTTTTTATTAGTATACTAGGTTTGGACTTCTTGGAAACGTTATTGGAGTTCATATTGGAATCGTCATCTGATAGTATTTCGATCACCTCGTTTGCATCCAAAGGTCTTTTTTTACTTTTTGGTTCAGCCCCTGATGTGCTTGAGCCTATCAGATTTCTTCCCAACAAGTGTAATAAAGCTGGTCTGATGTTAGCGTAGGATGCAACAATTTCCTCGAGTAAGATATCTCTTTTCAAATTGCTCTCAAACTGTTCAGTTTTACATAAGGGGCAATGGTTCATCGTAACAAGATATTGACGGATACAATGAGAACAGAATGTATGATTGCAGCTTGTGATGACAGGTGCCTTCAAAAACTCCTTACAAATATAGCATCTTTGCAACGAGTCAAGATCGGCTAGTTTTGGAAGACTTGTTGAAAACCAATCCGATGGGTCAGATATATCATTTGTATGCTTATTAATAAAATCAGGGGACATAAATATTTGAAGGTTTTTCCTTCAACCCTAGTTCAATATTAGAAAACCTTTGATAAGATGACTTCACCTTATTACGAGTATTTTTTGATTACGCGCTATGACAAACATTTACTGAACATGGCTCTGTTTCTTAAAATATTATATTCTATACACACTAGAAGTCAGCTCTATAAAACCTTCATAGGGACTGCCAAGAAGGTTTATTCTACTAGCTTCAAGTTAGTTATAATCCGCAACACCTACGTGGTACCCCTAACTTTGCAATTCAGGTGCCAAAAAAAACTTAGAGTTCGTCATGTACCATGCTTGAAGAAGAAATTTCCGGACTAGACGAGGTCGATACAATCTCACTTGAGGTCTGAGCGTTTGCAACAGAGTTTTTATCTTCAGCATCTGACTCGACTGAATGCGATACTTTCGCTGCAGAGTCGCTAGACGTAATGGAGTCGAAAAAATCATCTGCTTCTTCAGATTTATCTATTGTTAATGTGCCAGTTGATGCTCCACCCTCTATATTTAAGTCTTCAGAAGCTGGGAGGGGGGTTGTTACCTGATTCACTGAAAAGTTCGTAGTAGAAGAGTCCAAAGACGATTCCAAAACAGAATTTTTTGATTCGATCATTGATGTGTCAGTGGCTGACATAGTAATATCCGACAGTTCTGTTTCTGCATTTTCATCGCTTTTGATATCATCGGCACTAGCTTCCGAAATACTTTGATCTTTAGCAGTGGATTCGACAATAGGAGATGCAGAAGAATTAACAAGTGATTTAGAAGTCGTTTTGTCGTCAGTAGGATCCACAACTGAAGTGTCAGCTTCTAACGATATATCCGTGGACAAGTTCTCAATATTAATAGCGACGGGCTCTTGTACAACTGGGTTGGGCTCACTAAGCTCAACATCATCGACTGATTCATTTACAATATCAGGCACGGTTGAGTCAATAGATGATGTCGCGGTCACAGAACCGTCTTTTTTTGAAATGTCAGAACCACTGAAGGTCTCAGAGTCTGATTTTTCTAATTGCCCATTGCCTGAAGAGACCGAAGCTGAAGGACTTGCGGTGCTTGCTATTGATGTAGCCGTGTCGGTGATCGTGCCTAAAGACAACGACACTGCTTCTGCAATAGCATCAGTGTAATTCAGCGCATACGCGACGTCATCTAAGACACCATCATTCTTCAGTTCTTCTAAAGATGCGTCATTTGAAACACTTGTGGTATTCAAGATATGGCTCTCAGAGTCCGATGATCCCAAAGTCGAATGATCTAAATCTTTACTACTTGGTGATGTATCCAACAGACTGAGAGTTTGGGAAGGCTCAGAACTCGTTGAATGTTCAAAATCATGTTCAAGCTCATAATCTCCCACTGAGATAGGTTCATTCTCACTCAAAGATGAATCCACACTTTTTGTAGAGATAGAGGTAGGCACACTTGTGAGGGAAATCTCCGAGGAGCGCTCCAGTCCCTTATCATCTGCTCTCTGAGATTTATCAGAGCCAGAGTCTTTAAAGTTTGAAATTTGAATGTCCAGAGGAACGGGGTCATCACTAGAAGTAGGGTCATCCCATTCATCAACCTTGAAATATTCCTTAGTTTTATCATCCCCATCTATATTTTCTTTGGACAACTTTTCTCTAATAACTCCATAGTATTGCTTTCCATACCTCTTTGAAAGAACGTATCCCTCTTGACCATATATTTTAGCATACTTCATTGCAATTGCGCCGTACTCTTTGCCATAGAAAAGTCCTGAGTCTGCATATTTCTTTGATATTTCAAGGTACTGTTCTAATTGTCCATTCTCGTGACTAGTTTGTAAGAATATCGCTATAGCCGCTACCAATATAATCATGAATAAGTATTGGAATAAGGTTCCAATAATAGACTTCCCAGCTCCAAAATTATGAGGAAGTTTAATTACATGAAGAAGATTAGCCGCACTTCCAGATGCCAATTTAGAGCCATTGGGTGAAAAGGCTACCGTAGTTATTGCGAACGGGTGCAATTTTTTATAAACTTTAATGACTTTAAAGCTGGAGATATTAAGAATAGTCACAGATAAATCATTACCAGCGACAGCAATCAAATCTTTGCTTGTAGATATATCCATGGCTACTATGGCGCTGAATTTCTTTGAAACTATTTTCTGGCTTAAGATCTTTTTCTCAGTGATCGAGTACTTTATTAAAACCACAGATTTAGTTTTTGGTTTGCTTGCAGCAATAACAACAGTAGAGTTATCGAGAAATGCAACTTTCAGTAGATTATAATCTTGTAATTCCTTTGTTAGGGATTTGCTCTGTAATGAGGAAGATATCACATTGCTTGTAACCGTAGATATAGTTTCTATTGTCTTAGATGTAACATAACATAAAGTCTTACCATCATCATGTGGACTCAAGTTGAAATCTTTTATTTCAACATCAATAGTCGGTGCATATTTGAAATTCAATTCAAGGGTTTCAGTATTAAATACAAATATAACTGAAGGAAAAGATGATGTCATCAAGCAGCCAATTGTACTGTTAGAAGAAAGTCGAACAATTTTTGGGTAATCATCTACGTCTCCCTTGATCTCTGGCTCCAATTGTGCGGCATCCAAAAATCTCAAGTGCTCCTCGCCATTAAATATATACTTTCTAATGTTATTGTTCATGTTCATAGTTTTAATCAATTGTGATGATTGATTACAGCCAACGAAAACTGAGAATTTATTTTCATTAGTATCTGGTATTCTGGCGATATCCAAACTTTGAGGAGAGTCTTCATTTGAGGGCAAGGTAATTTCACGAAACTTTTGAAGTCTTCTATTCGGTTCCTTAACGTTAAAACTACACTTTATTGCGGTTATTTTATTAGGAATACCATTATTACCTTCTCCACCACCACCGGCCACCAAGATAGTTTTGTTATTAATAAACTTCAGAGCAAGAATAGGATATCCAACATCTATGGTACATGAATCCTTTAGTGACATAATCAGGCTCCCTTAGTAAGCACAAACAAAAAATCAATCTCTCTTAAATGTCACCGAATCTAAAAGATTTCTCTATGTTTGATACTTGTCCAGATACGTGTCGCGTTGTTTAATCTCAGCTTCACATAATGTCGTAACCGTAAAACGACAAATTTATTGAATGTATTTCTATGTGCACGGATCGAGTCAGACGAGAGATTATTCTTACCACCCATGAGTCAAAAAGCCCTTACAATACTGTCACATGTTGTTCATGGGTATGTTGGTAATAGAGCAATGGTATTTCCCTTACAATTCCTAGGATGGAACGTTGATGCAGTAAATACTACGAATTTTTCTAATCATCCTGGATACGGCAAGTTTAAAGGAGCGATTAGCTCTTCTCAATTAATCAAGGATGTCTTGGAAGGATTAAAGGATATAATAGATTTTAACATAGAGTACGATGTCATAGTGACGGGCTATTCCCCGGACGAAAAAGTTCTTGAGGAAATTTTCGATCAGTTGTCTTCGATCTATAAAAAGCTGTATCATAAACATCCTGTGTGGGTCGTTGATCCTGTTTTAGGTGATAACGACAAACTATATGTTCCAGCAGCTATGATACCTATATATCAAAAAATTTTTGCTAGTGGCTTTGTCTCACTCACAACTCCCAATCAATTTGAATTTGAGCTTTTAAGTGGAGTAAAGATAGAAAATTGGGAGACGCTTAAAGAGTCAATTTTGCGTTTCGAATCTCTTTATCATATACCTTACATTGCAATATCGTCTATAGCGATAGAAGGAAATTTATACTCGGTTGGATTCGCAGCCAAAACTAAACAAATATTTTATTTTCCAATAGATGAGATAAAGTGCAGATTCAATGGATGTGGAGACATTTTCACTGCTCTTCTTTCACACAGTTTCTTTGTGAATGGCAGTTGTTTGACAGCGGAAGTCTTGGGTGACGTAACTATCAAGCTTGGGAAAATCTTGAGACAAAGTTATCATTTTGAGCAAGAAAAAACACTATCGAAAGTTATAACATCAGTCAAAGATATCCTGGTTGTTCATCTGAGGGATTGCCTATTGCAAAATAATACAAAAGATATTATTAATAAAGTGTCTTTCATATAATCATTTTATAGTCATTCAGTCATGTTTTTATAAATAGAGAGTTTTGCGCGAAGCAGAAAGTGAGATAATCATAGCAGATAAGGACGTTTTCCTTTCATTAGGGTGAATATAATAATAACTACTTACGAATCATAGGACCTTGTATTCACGTATCGGCAGTAGCGGAGATTAAAGTAGCTTTAGTATCTCAAAAATTTCTTGGGTTAAGAAGGGAAGAAGACATTAAGCGTCGCCACTGTAATAATGAGTTACACATGTGCTTCGAAGTTTCAAAAATCAAATAATGTTAGGCTATTGCGATCAATTATTGGGATAATAATTGGGTTCTTGGTTATCTTAGGTATTAATAGACTGAGTCTTTTTGTCAAGTATTCTAAAACGTTTACAAAGAATCTTGAAATAACTGATAATATTCATGATACTGAACGTAACTACGAGTTTCAATTAAAGCATATCTTCCACCATGGTGCTGGTCCGAATAATTATAGAATTCATAAAAGGCTTGACATTACGGAGGATTTCCTTAAAAAAAGGCATCACGATAAGTTTCATCTAGAGAGAGTGTCGATAAATGGAGAAGACTTGAACGATGTATATAACCAATTAGACTGGCCAGAAGTCCATAAGGGAGCTGATCCCTTTACGATTAAGCTTCCCATTAAAAAGTCTTTAACGAATGGTAAAATCATTCGGCTTAAAGAGCGTCATACCCCCAACTTTCTTGATTCATATTTGGAATATGCAATGAAAGTAAAAGGAAATCCAAACTTATTAAATCAGATCAATTTGGAGTGGGACGATGAGGTAGAAATTCCAATACCGAATGTCGAGGACAAGGATACAATCGTATCGTTAGCTACGATATCATCGAATGCATATGTTAGATTTCCAAAGGATGATGACGAAAAAAAGAAGCTGGATTGGACAGACGTGGGAGATTGGGATCCAGATCGAGATAATGAGGACATCAATTTTGGATGGGAAAGAGATGGAATGAGAGGGCACGTTTTTGTAAGTCAAGACAATAAAACGGTTGTGATTGGCATCAAGGGAACGTCTGGTGCGGGCCTCCCAGGAACGGGAGAAGATGTGACGGCACCGAATGATAAAATAAACGATAATTTACTATTTTCATGCTGCTGTGCCAGAGTCAGCTACTTGTGGACAACCGTTTGTGATTGTTATGAAAATACTTATACATGCAACCAAGATTGCTTGGAAAAGGAGCTTACGAGAAAGGACAGGTATTACCAAGCAGTTCTAGATATATACCGAAATGTAACAAAGATATATCCTCCCGAATCTACTGACATATGGCTTACTGGCCATTCGTTAGGAGGGTCCTTAGCTTCGCTTCTTGGGAGAACGTATGGATTACCGGCTGTCGCATTTGAAGCTCCTGGTGAAATGTTGGCGACCAAGAGATTGCATCTTCCTCAGCCTCCAGGGCTTCCCAGCTATATGGAAAACATCTGGCACTTTGGGAACACTGCAGACCCGATCTTCATGGGAGTGTGCAACGGTGCGTCAAGCTCTTGTAGCGTGAGTGGCTACGCTCTAGAAACAGCATGTCATACGGGAAAGCAATGTGTTTACGATGTAGTCACTGATAAGGGATGGAAGGTGAGTATCTTGAATCATCGTATACATACAGTTATCGACAATATCATATTGGAATACAATACAACTGCACCTTGCATACCCCAGCCTCCTTGCAGAGATTGTTTCAACTGGCGCTATACATCACACGATGACTCTGAAAGCGACGAGCCTACACTTCCTAACCCTTTAAGACCTTTACCTACAAGTGTAAGCTCCTCAAGATCAAATCCAGAGTGTCACATGACATCGTCACCTTGGATTTCTCATAGTACTTCTACCTGCAGTCCAACTCACTCTTCCCCCTCCAGGCCCAAGAAATGTCTTCACAGGACATGGTATGGTTGGTGTACCGAATGGGGCGACGAGGACGGTGACGACTAGAAAGGGTGCACCTTTATGCAGTCATATGTTTCATTACTTCACACTTTTACACGTCCCGGCCTATATCCAGTACTTCCTCAACCTTCCAAGTGTTTGCCGACTGGAACAGCAATCCATGTACAATGCACCTGAAATTAACAGCGTCCAGCAATATTACGTTAGATTAGGAATATTGTAAATATATATCCTGTGTATAAGCTCCTCGTAGCCTGTCAGCCGCTTATTTCTGCTGAGAACTTGGCCTAATTAGGAATACTTGTCATATTAAGTAACTACTGTTTATAATAATAGCTTAGTTGTTTACCAGGCATATACAGGCACACGGGTCAGGTAAAGCATACAGAAGGAGGATGAGCTCTTTTGCTGTTTTTAATGAGCATAATTTCACATAAAGTCATAAAATTTTAAACAGCTTGTTTTCTTTGAAATATCTTAGAATATTGCCGCCTCTGAGGATAGTGCTAGAGGTATAGATACGGGACAATGAGATTTATTCAGACGTTAATAAATGAGATACTTTTGGCGGGTACAGTGTTACTCTTGCTTTTTACAGTTTTGATGGGTTCTACGAACCACTTTCCTTTCAACGATTTTTATTGGCTTAAGGCTGACACATCTTCTATCAGAGGTGCGCCTAATGAATCTGCGTGGACTTTCTGGGGAGTTTGTAATGTAAATGACTATTCCCTGTGTTCATTGGGCCCGGCTTACCCAATATCCCCCGTTGACAACTTTAGTACTACAAGAAATGTTCCCAAAAAATTTGTTACCAACAGAGATACATTCTATTACTTGACAAGGTTTTCTTTTGCATTTTTGATAATTTCATTATGTTTTTCTGCAATTGCGTTAATAATTGATATTTTGGGCTTCTGTTTCCTTATAATTGACTTCGTCGTTATTTTTTTGATCATGGTTGCTCTTTTCTTTTTAGCTGCACTTGCTGCATTTCAGACAGCTGCTGCTGTTTTGGCTAAGAATGCCTTCCAAGATGCTAATCTCAGTGCAAAAGTTGGTCTTAAGTCAATGGCCATTTTGTGGGCAGCTGTTGTCTGCTTGGGCCTTGTTTTCTTGAACACTTTATGGGCTAATATATTGAACTCCTACCAGAAACATATGTCTAGGGTGAGAGCATCTACTACCCAAGAGCCAATTCCTGTCGAACAGTCAGGTCCTGTGGCTGACGATTCTTCCTTTACCAGATCTACGCCTGCAGCCCCTGAGACAAAAGAAGATGGCGGTGGTATTAGATTCTTCAAAATTAAGAGAAACCACAAGACTTCTGATGAAGAGAGTGTTTAATTGAATCTGCTTAAGCTGAATAGCATTAGATACTTGAAAGAGCTACAAAGACAAGAGTGTTGAAGTTACTAAAATGCAATGACAAAGAATATAGAGTAGCCTGGATTTCTTTTATTTTTTTTTTCTTATTCTTCCTTTTCGAACGTAAGTTCGAAGTGATATTGGCCCGTGGCATTTTAGTCTGGAATGAACAAGCGCTCCCGCTCCTGCTCTTTCAGTATTTCTATCTACATACTAGACCGCATTCTTCGCGGAGAAAATGTCGAATGGTGAAAGACCATCTTAATACCATGAATAGCAGATTACATCTGCAACTATTTGCCAAGCCTAATTGATAACCTCTAAACTCTGTTTTTATTTGTATTATACACTAAAATTAATGTCATACATGCTAAGCGAAAGATTTCTTACGGTATAGTCAAATTAATCACAAACACACGACACTTCCATATTAAGAAATTTGCTGTATCATAAGAACTTACTTAATAATAGAAGCCTACGATTGCTTCAAATTTCACTTCATACAATGTCTTCTTGTTACCAGCTCAGTTGTGATTTATGCTTATATCGCTTTCAGTCTGCAACTTTAAGCTTTCCTCGAACTAATCACGACAGATTAGCGAACTAAGACAATCCTTCGATTCTGTGTACTATACAATATCAGTCTAGGTTTCCTTATCTGTTCCCAAGGGCCGATCCCCCAAAATTTCTTTTGATGTACCCTAGCCAACAACGCCGTAGAGGGTCTGATTTAGTGAGCAAAAGAATGATAGCCCCGCCATCGTGCCGGCCCCTATCCCTATATGTACACTAGAATTTCGTATATACACAGAAAAACGGCGGTACCACGAGTCGCAAGTAGCTTCGGACCGATAATTTTATTAAGATATTTCCGAAGGTAATCAGGGCGTAATTCAATTCTGGTTAACTCTATTTTACATCATATTTTTTTAGATTTTAGCTAATTAATAGATATAAAGTGGCTACAAGTTACCTTTTGAGTCGAAATAGAGCTACCTGTTACATATTGCTAAGTTTCTTCACTCAGCAATAAATTAGAGCTAGAAGAACTTGACCTTGTCGAAGAAAATCTTTCACTTAGGAAGAACTGCGGGTCTACTAATTAGCTAAGCTGATTACGAAATGTCTGAACTTGAAGAGAAGGAAAAGCATCGTGGTCATCAAAAACCTGTTCCCCATGACAGTTCACATCATCCGTTACACCATCATGGCTTAAAAGGGTTGTTTAAAAGAGATTCAAATCAAGTTGACAATAAAAGGGACATATCACCAACTTTATCTCATAACGGATTATCAAAAATCTTTCATCATCATGAAAATAAAGCAGATTCAAACGCCTCTCCAGGGAAGTTATCAAAGACACCAAGTATGGCATCGTTGAAACGGAACAATTCAAGCTCATCAGGAACAAAGAGTGAGAAGGCTGTTTTGAATAAGGCACAAACATTTGCACACATTCAATCTTTGAATAATAAGAATGCCGCAAGGAATCACAATGCAGCTTTCCGTAATGATAATCCGACACACCAAGAGAAGATCAAATATAACCCGTTTGGCTTAAATAAGTCACCATCGCAGGAGATGCCCAAAAATAGTAGTTTCTACTTGTCTGGCAGCATTGATGGCCAAAGAATCTTGGGCAATCCTGTGGCTGACCCGAATGACTATCTTCCTGATGATTTAAAGCAAGAGGATGTTAACTTAAACCAGTGCTTCGAGATTGAATCTACTTCGAAAAAGATTGGATTTGGTGGTTCGTCTGATGTCAGAATAGTTAATGACATACATAATAAAAAAAGAATTTTTGCTATCAAAAGATTTACCTTACTAACTAAGGAAACTGACGAGGACTTGTACCAGAGAGCTAGCAAAGAGTTCATTATTGCTCGTAGAATGTCTGAAAGCAGGCATGTTGTCGAGACTATTGCACTTCTAAGAATACAATCTCAAGGTGATATAACGAGAGGATGGGGTATTATATTAGAGTATTGTACTGGAGGAGATTTATTCAATATGATTGTAAAACCTGGATGGAAAAAAACTGGCTTAAATGAAAGATATTGCTTATTTAAACAAGTTGCTTATGGACTCAAGTTTTTGCACGATGCTGGAATAGTTCATAGAGACATGAAACCTGAAAACGTGTTGATCGATCAAAATGGAATTGCAAAGTTGTGTGATTTTGGTGTTAGTGATTATGGAAATGAAGTCCCTGGGGATTTAACATCACCAGTGAGGCTGTCCACTGCATATGTTGGCTCACCTCCTTATTCGCCTCCCGAAGTTATGAAATTAAAGGAATTGAGTGGTTCAGAAGCTAAAAATTTTGCTTATGACCCATATGTAATGGATCACTGGGGACTTGGTATGTTGCTATTTTGTATTGTCTATGCTAACGTTCCTTTTCAATCTGCATCAGCAAACGACCATGGTTTCAGGGAGTTCAGATTCAACCACAATAGATATGCTGGAGATCATCCATCTTTTAAAAATAACAACGATTATACGAAGGGTCCAGGCACTGAATTCAAATGGGCTTCGCAATTCAACAGTACAGGCGGCAGTAGGGTAGCATGGAAACTATGCGATCCTTCTCCCTCTAAAAGATATACCTTAAAAAATTTGTTCAATGATCCGTGGTTTCTAGGCTTAGAAATGTGCATATATGAGCATCCTGATCAAGACGTTAATCCATTTGTGTTACCGGGAACGGGATCCAATTCAGCAACATCATCAGCTGTAAGCTCGAGGGCTCCAACAAGAAAAAACACTTTGACCCATAATCATGACGAAACTGATTTTGGTTCAAGAACTCCTCCAAGAAGCATGCTAGATTTGACTGATATAAAGAAGGTTAATGAAGTTGGTCATGTAAGAAAAAATGTGAGCAGTAAGGCTAAGGATGAAAAAGAAAAAGAAATTGAACATGCAGTTGAAACAAAAAAGACCGATGAAATACGTGAAAGGCACAACAACATCCCTCACGATTCTTCCAATCATTCCCAGAAATCAGCCTCATCGTTGACACACGGATCCTTCCCTTGGGAAAATGTGGACTCCTCTCTGTCTGTCTGTCACTGTTCGCACAAGACTAAGGATATAAATAATTCGCTGGTATCGAATAAGGGCAGTCAAGGTGAATTTTCGGATATCATTCCGAAGATAAAATCGATGTTAAATTTTTCTGGTGAAAGTGAGATTGAATCTTCCCAGAATGATGCAATGCTGTCAAAAGAAGATCAAGGTCGTATGAAAAACGGGATGTCTGATTCGTCTTCTAATTGCTCATCTTCATGTTCATCTAACTCACTGATTCAGGTAAATAAGTCTAACGATCAATCCGATGAGAAGCTGGAGAATAAGGTAGATCACGAAGGGAAGCAAGAGAGCTCTAATGAAGATCAGGATGCCTCAAGGTGTAACTGTCCCTGCCACAAGAATGAGTCGAAAATACGTCTGAATTCTCTGGGATTTCAACCGAGAGTATTGAAGCCATGTCCCGACATACGATTAGAAGATGATGGAACTTGCGATTTGGGCTACAAGATCAAGAAGCATCATCACTTAGATGTAAGCTCGGTTGCGATTTCAGGTTCTTTGACGAAACGTTAGAAGCGTAGATATATATGGAATACAGATAACTTGAAACTTTTCTTTACGTATTTTACTATAATGTAAAAATGTACATTTCTTAGCTATTTCTAGCTAAAATTACCCAATCTTATTTGATTAACATATAAAAGAATGAGGTTGCTTAATTTAAGCTTCCAAGGCAATTCTACCCTTTGGATTGGTGACTTTAACACCCAACTTCTTGGCCTTACCAACAATAGCAACTCTATTCCTAGCAGAGATATTGTGGGCAATTTCAGCAGCATAAGTCTTGGTGTGCATTAATAAAACGTCCAAGTCTTTCAAGTTCTTGACTAAGAAAACCTTGTGACCAGATGGAATTAAATGTCTGGTTTTCTTGTTAGAACCATAACCAATGTTAGGTTGAGGGATAGTTCCTCTGAATCTTCTTCTGACACATGAGTCGATACCCTTTTGCTTTCTCCAGTTCTCCTTGACACCTATGATTCTGTCAGATTGGTGTCTTTTGAACTTCTTGTTGTACTTCTTAACGATCTTTGGGTGTGGAACAGAATTAGCCACTAAATATGTTAGTAAAGTGTTCTCAAACGCTAGGGAAGCAAGTTTGACATGAGGGAAGTAAGAAATATATAATGGATAGTTAACTTTTTCTTTGAATTCACATTTTTCAACGCTAAAGTCTAAACTTGAGCAAGCCTATTCCCGAAGCAATTACAGCCAAGTTCTCTAACTCGATACAAGATCTCTAAGATATGCTATGATCTCATCATCAACTTTCTTCTTTATACGTTGACCAAAATTCCCTATCATTACTCTCATTCGCCATCAATACTCAGCTGTCTTATATGAGACTAGCCGCAGTCAACATTGCTCTGATGGTTTCTTAAACTATACATACTCTTCGTTCGTATTATTCAATCTATGAAACTAACTTCCTTTAACGTGTATAAAATTTTTCACTAAATTTTCACCAGTCCTGTTTCCCTACGACTGCAGTTCAGAGCCGGGTCTGCGAGCAGGAAACAAAAAAAAAAAAAAAAAAGACAAGGAAAAGTAAGCGCACTACCAAATATTCTATACCGGACTTTAGTAGGGTTGTGGCCCGAGATGGCTCGTGAAAAGTAATATGCAGGTTTGCCAATTGACGGTTCAAAAATGGCAAGAGATGCGGAACTCGTATTTCGGATTCGTAATTTCGCATATACTACATGAAAGCACGAACTCTCCATATTAACGTATATTTAATTTCAAGCTAAGATCTCTTAGATTTCCTCTCTAATAATTTAGAAGTAGGCCTATATTGTATTACTGGTACATATATTCTTCTTGTCATCCGTTTCTCTGCTTTCTTTCCGTGGATTTAGCAGCTTAGGAAGTAGTTAAGGGTCCTTAATAGTACACCAAGAACAATGTACTGACCCTATACAATTACACTTAGCTCATAAGCTTGTATTACCACCTGAAAAAAAGGCTCGGAGTTATTGCTTCATAATACAATTACATTTTTTTCGTACTCATTGGTATCATATCGATATCAAAAATTAATTTTGCTGTTTCTTATAATATCCATAAAACCAATTTATAATAACAAACTTTTATGTTATATCAAATTATATGGTTTTAGTGCAAAAAAAAAAAAGATGGGTTAACATGTCAAGGGTTATCTGCGAATCTGTCTCATAGCCCATACCTATTATCGTAAATATCAACTCTTCTACGTTGATTGCAAGTAATGAAGATATCGACAAAGTGATAACTAGTGACGCACATTCTTTCACGCCTGATACCAATTATTGTCAGATATCAGCAGTTTTTGACGTTAATAATGTATTGACAGATACAGTCAGAAAAAGAAGTCCATTCTTACGTTATTAGTTATTTGAAGAAAAAGAGAAGTGATGAAAATTTACATATTTGAACAAAATATGTATCTGAACATAGTTGTCTTATAGCTGACAGAATATTAAGTATGTTAAATACCCAATGCTATATAATTAAAATTAGCTGAATTAGGTACAATAAGTTAATATATATATATACATATTACTTTATGAACCAGCATCAGACCTGTCACTGCATGCCGGAATTCGCTTGATCGCTACCTAGAACGGCAGCAAAACAAAATAGTGATATCACCTGTATACATAAAACTAATAATAAATTGCTAGAAAGCAGATGGAAATTAACAGAACAGATTTGATCATTAACTTTAGACAACTGGCCTCGTACATTGTCGAACTGTACTGAAGGTAATGGCCAACGACATTGCTAACAGGCTCGTTGTAGCCATTCTCAGCTTAATGGCTTGCTGGATAGCAATATGGTACTTGGTATATCTAGTGACAGGTTTTCATTTAAGGTATATAGGTATCAACAATGGAGTCTATTTCAGCAGAATTACATTTCAGACGCGGCGGTTCAATGTGTATCTCGGGTGCCTAAGAATCAGACTCTGGGGAAACTCACGAATGATTATCTTGGATGATTTGACTGTAAATTTAAAGCGTACAGCTGGTGGATCATCAAAGTCCTCAAAGAGTAATACTAATGAGGTGCTTACTTTCTTTCCTTCTAATTGGCTTGGGAAGAAACTAATGAGATTTGTTTTGAAACGAATTCCCTCAATTAGTTTGGAATTGCGACATATGGAGTTTCTACCGTCGCCAAAACATACTGTGATACTAGAGTATGTAAAGTTCAACCTCAATACGAGGCTCAGTAGACGTTATTCAGAGAGGCTAAAGTTCTATACGAATCTTTCAACTAGTAGGTTGATACATTCAGTCCTCAGACTAGAGAAATCAACCGAACTCACAAATTGGTCCACAATTAAACTTCAGTTCAACTTCCTGGTAGCTTTGGAAAATGGAGAGATGAAAAGTATTCGGCAAAAGCTTTCTGTTGACGATGTTAACTTACTGGTTTTCAATTTAGTGAATCTCATGTTGCAGGAGCATCTGGAGTCATGCGCAGGTGCTTGTAAGCTGAATACTGATCCACCGACGGAAAGCTCATTCAGTAAGTCAAAAAGACTTTATAAAGCAGTCCATTCTATCATGTCGGAATCGGCTTTGCAGATAGAAAATTTGACTTTGCTGCAGATTCCTTTCGCTACATTGGATGATAATCAAAATTTTGCTGATTATTTTCAGTCCTTTATGCCTAGGTCATCCTTGGAAATCAATGTAAAATCAATATTATTTAATTTTGCAAAATTATATGATGATTCTGCGGGTTTTGAGATATTATTCGATCCCCAGTACGATGAGCCTTTTCATCTTTCTGGCTCCGTACAATTGTTAGCCCTCAGCTCTTCAGTGCTCTCTGAGGATACAGATTTCTCAACAAAGGATACAGATGAACTTTTGAACATTCCAAATGTTTCATTCACCTGTAAAACCAACATTCTTGACCGTTTAGCAAAAGGTGACGGCTTTAAAGACTGTGCTATGGAATTTTTTTCATCAGCAAGTAGCCCTATTCTCGATCTTGATGTGAATCAATTGAGCGAAGTGTTTTATAACGTGGTATTACTTAAGAAATATTTAACACTTGAGAAAATTAGAAGCACAGAACACGATCATGAATTGGTAGGCCAATCTTCAAGCTACGACCTGACAGATGGTGATGATACAAAAGTAGATACTGGAGATGAAGAAAGTATAGAATTAAAAAATAAGAAATTGAATCTTGATGATGGTCGGGAATCGCTCAAGAGAAAATTCATAAGTTTGCTCAATGAATATTTTCCGAGCTTAGATATGAAAGTAATTATAGAACAGCCTCGATTTATTGTGCGTTTTAACAATGAAAAAGAGTCAAAAAATCATTTATTGAATTTCTCTTATTCGTTGTTGAATTTTCATTTCCTCACTACAGATGAAAGAGAATACAGCGGGAAATGTGATATCTTAAACCCTTCCATAATTTATCAAGAAAAAGAAAGTAATGAGTCGTTTTCTAGAGGGCGAGAGAAGCTTCGAAAAGAAGTTTTCAAGATAAAGACGCTTCTGATAAATCTACATGTGTTTAACGACCTCTCTGTAAGGCCCGTTTTAGATGTTAACGACGTGATGATTAATTTGATTCATTTAAATACCTTGGCAGGAATTAGTAGCGTTATAAATGCTTTTTCGGAGAAAGCAGAGGAATGCTTACTGATCGGGGTATTAAATCAATCATTTAATAAAGAATTACTGAAGTTCAAAAATTCTAGGTCTCGAATAAATTCAACTTATAAGGCTCCCTTAACAGAAGTCATATTTAGGCTGCTTCCAGGATGGCTACTTGAATTCACAGTGAAATTTTCGGTGGTTGAAATTTTTGTTGGATCCCGTTCCATTTTGATACCGAGCGAACTAGTCTCTAACTCTAGCAAAAGTGACTTATCCACTGATATTAATTCAGATAATGGAAATTTGAGAAAGATCAAATTATCAATGCAAGAATTCATTTTACACACTCAACAATCGAATGAGAAATCTTCTCTTTCTTCTCCGACAAGCAGTGCGTCGCTGCACACTTTAATTTCATCCGAAGATAATTCATCAATATTCTGGTCGGTTGATTTTACTATATCAAAGTTTATCATAAGCTCAGACTTGAGCTTAGCTGAAGGTTCTGAGAAGGTTCTCTTTGCTTTGCCTTCTATTGTCCTCGATGTGTCGGCTGTAGAAACAAACTTCAAGAATAATTTGAAAATTGGTGGCAATGTTCACGATATCAATGGACAATATGATCGTTATAAACTTTTTGCAATTATTGGATGTGTTCATTTGATGAGGCTGTTTATTTTTATTCCATTCAAAGCTATTAAAGACAAGTTGGATCGAGATTTAAGCGTAATGAAATTTTCTATGAAACGAAACCAAAAAACATCATTCTGTTTGAAAGAGCAACTTTTAGTGAATGTGTCTTTTAACAAAATTGATTTAGCTCTTCAACTAGCTGACGATTTTAAGATGAGGTGTCAATCATTTTCTGGCAGCTATAATTATAGTCAAGGAAGAAGTGTCATTGCTATAGATTTCACAAGAATGTTGGTTAACTCGCCTTCAACCAAAAGTCACTGGAATAGGATTTTGTGTGTTGATGATTTGAATATAAAGCTCAACGATCCTCATCAAGAATCGAAGGTCACAGTGTTATCTACTTCCATTAGGTTCATTCAGCCTCATAAATTTGTGGTATACAAGCTTTTCGATAACATTTCGATAAATATCAAGATTGTAAAGTTTTTGATCTCTTTCTTGAAAGATCATGATACTAATCGAAAAAGAAAAATTTATCCTAAGGAGTCTAGGACCTTGCAATTACCTAAGATGAAGCTTTTGTCAAAGAAACTATCATTCTGGATGGAGGATGATCCTTTTGAAAGTGAGTTGAATATGATTTATCAGTTGGGTATACTTGAACAACGAAAAAGAATAGAGTTAGTGGATATTTTTAAAGCTAAAGCAAAATCTAAATCTGATGAAAATCTAGATAACGAGCATTATATTTTAAATGAAACTATATCTAATTCTTGGATACGAAAGGTGAAAGTTTACAAGGGTTCATTGAGGGATGAGTTAGTAGAGCAGCAAAGCTTCTTGTTCGGAAATGAAACTAAAGTACCTAAACGCTTGAACTCGGGTGTTCTTTCATATATGAGTCAGCCACCATTGTTTTCGGTTTTAATGAACAATGTCAATTTAGATGTATCATGCCCTGAATTCCCTTTACAAGAGTTACCAAACTTTTTGAATAGGATGGGCCAGGGTGTGCCTGTTGATACGCGGTATTCTTTGATGATACCAACTTTTGTTAGCCTTAAATTGAACGAACTAAGAATTCATTTACGTGATTATCCTTTGCCTTTATTACATATTCCAAGAAGTACGTATGAGAATGAGCAGAACTTTTTAATGAAGGGCCATTTAGTGATTTCAGAGGCATTAATTCGCAAAGTTGAACATATGAGAAAATTGAAATTTAATTTAGTCCCTGATGTATCTGAAAATGACGAATATCATTCTCTTGTAATAGAGAAATCACTATCAACAGTAAAAATGTATATTGATTTATACAGTAACTTTATATCTGATAGAGCAACTAGGTTTGTTTGGGGTCAGTCTTATCAATTTGGAATTCAACAAGCAATGTTGAACTTCGATCAATTTTCAAAGCCTCCTGTCGATCCTTCTTTAAAGCTAGGCTTTTGGGACAAGATGCGGCTAATATTGCATGGTAAAATTACAGTTGAAACGGAATCTAGTTTAGAAATTGCTTTTAAAGGTTCACGGGATCCTTATGACTTATTTGAGACGGCATCTGGATTTATTCTCTCATTTTCTGACCGAGTCGTATGGAACATCAATCAAAATGACGACTCCAAAGATTTCTTCGATATTCAATCAGAAAAGGTTTCATGGTATATTCCAAATTATTTATCAACAGGGCTAATAAGCTGGTCGCGGGATAGCAGTCAGTTTAACTACCTCCCAGCTAGCGACAACTTGATTTCTTCATGCTTTGCTTATTACTTGAACGATTATCTGACTAATCCAAGCGATCTTAAAGCATCCTCTACCGAGATCTTTGAAAAAAAGGTATTAAAATTGAACGGAGGAGTACATTTTAAGGTAGGTTTCTTACTACAGAGAAAGAAAGATGACGGATCCAAGACTGAAGACAAATTACCACATTGGCGGGTGAACTTATATAATCCCGCGTACACGAAGGAAGGACATGACTCATATAAAGGGTTCAGAACTGATTATATCCATATGGCTTTTTCTTTGTTCGCAAATACTGAGAATAGTTACAATTCATTGCATTTGAGTCCTGGTACCTTCAAACAATTTTTCAGCTGGTGGAAGCTATTTAGCGGAAATATGTCGCTTCCTATTAGAAGGGGTTGTCTTTTTGGTGAGCAGAAGAAATCTATGAAATTTTCTGAACATTTATCCACTAATAAGTTTCAATTTAAGTTTAAATCTTTATTCTTGACCCACATATATCGCGACGATGCTTTCAACGGAGAAGAAGAAAGAATAGATTTTATTGGTTTGAAAGGTAAAATGGACGATTTCATCGTTGACCTCCATCAAAGAAAAGAAAAAAGGATTGCAATGCATGAAGGGTTTTCAAAAAAAGATATCTTAAAGATGAATTTTAATTTAGGAGAGGTCCATCTTTCAGGCATTGATTTGAGATGCATGCATGCTATATTTTTTGAAAAGTTCAACGAAAATAAATCAAGAAAGCTGGAACTGGATTCTGGGCTTGATAAAAATAGTACTTGGTTTGACATGGATGATTTTGATGAAGCATATGTGGGGTCACTCACGTATGTCAAACGCAAAGTCATTATACATCCGCTCCTTTACTCTAAGAGGTTTTCTTATTTTAGGGATACTGAGCATGATCGAGATTCTTCTGATAAATCGGAGGAGTTTGGAAATGAACAAGTTCATGACTGTTTATTGGATCCTGACAATATATTTCGATCTCAAATAGACTTGTATCAAGATAGAATCAACTTGCTTCGAAAAGAACTGGAAGATTCGAAGCAAAACACTGATTATTCTTTGCAAGAACGTATTCAATCATTGGAGTCGGACGTAAATAAAGCTAAACATGAAATGAAAACGGAAAATAGAAAAAACTCAATAATTTCTGCTTCATCAACAGAAAGTTTTCACAATAAATTTACTTTGATTAGTATGCTTTTAAAATGGAACGTGAACAGCAGAAATACAGTTCTCAAATACATTCACTTCGTTCAACTTAAAAGCAGCCTTGCTAAATATTTATCTTTCGAATCAATTAGGACTCTCGAGAGTATCATTGATCAGAGTGAACAATTCCTCGATGAAGACGCTAGTTCCAATATTAGATCTAGTATTCTGCAGTTAAAACTGGAAAAGACATTGTGTATGCATGATGTAAGTTGCGAAGATCGACTCAATGATTTCGACAGCATTTTAAGGAAAGTTCTGGGTGAAGAGACGATAGCAGAAGATTATTTAATTGACGTCATATCACCACAGATCCAGCTACAAAGTGAAGATATACCGGACTCGGTAGTATTGATAGCTGCTCCTACTATTAATGCCAAAATTGTTTCCGTATACAATCACTCTACTGACAAACTCCTTGTTGATGCTAATGAGCTTGAAACGAGATATGGAGTCTTCCTTCATGATGCGAACATTTTTGTTTTAAATAGAAACAGTGCGGAAAATTTCTCAAGCCTAATATTAAGTGAGAAACCATATGGGTCTGCTACTAATTGGCCACCTTGGTTGGGACTTGAAGTTTGCAAAAATGGAAACTTCGCTGGTAAAGAGAACTTGTTGGTAGAAAACATGTCCATGATGATAACATACGAGGAATTGAAACCTTTAGGAAATAAGCTATCTAAATCCAATGAAAGCAAGAGCAATGAAGAAGAACAGGCTCAAGATGACAAATATGGTTCCTTGAGTACGCCTAACAAATTGCATATTGATGTACCAAAATTTGTCATTACATCTACTGCAAGACAGTATTTCACTCTATATATTATTGTTTTGAGCTTATTATTTTACAGTGAGCCTATGAGTAAAACTCTAGGAGAAAAGCTTCAAAGGTTGAAATTCTCTATAGGGTTTCAGGATTTGAAGTCATTGAAAGATCGAATATCTAAAATGCATGAATATTATAGAGTCATGACTCTCATTTCCCAGAGTTATACATTCAGACAGAATCACTTAAATAATGATAGTTTGAATGATGCATCAATGCTCGCTATAGAACGTGGTAACGCCGTAACTGAAATTTACTTGTTGATGAGCTCCATTCTCAGTGGAGAAATAAACACGCTGGAGACAGGCTCTCAAAATAAGGCTCACTGGTTTATTCGGACGGACCAGCTCATCTTGCATTTGCTTGAAGATAATAGAAAACCTATCATAGACCTTGCTTTGGCTAAAGGGACATATAAGCGCCTCATTAAAGAGGATGGTGCAAACCACAATCGTATTGAGATTTCCGTGATGCAAGGGTTTAATTTAATTCCAAAAGCTCCTTTCCCATCTCTACTTGAACCTTTGGAAGTTCCTGGTAAGGACCTGAAATTGGACAACCTCATTACTGTCGATTGGTCAATGAAAAGATCTATTGGAGGCATCAGAATCATGGAAGATTTTGAAATAAATTCGCTCCCGATAAATGTCAACTTGGATGAAGTGACGGGCGATAAGTTAATGAAGTTTATAAATCAATCAGATTTAACAAATTTGAACCCTAAACCACAAGCCAACGATGATTCAGAAGATGATGATTTTGATCAAGAATCAGAAATGGATGGAGATGGTATCGTCGAGGGCTTAGAAGGTGCTGATAAGGGCAAAAAGGTTGATAGTTCGGCTAATAGAAGTTTTTCGAGTCCAAGGTTAACCCAGAGGACGGTCAACTCAGTTGGCAATACATTTTCCTTCTCCAATGAATCATCCAATGATGAGTACCAAGAAGAATCGGATGCAATGCTTGGAAGATCGAAAAAGTTTTTAAGCATAGTTTACTTTAAACTTCATCCAATAGCACTACTGATATCTATAAAGCTTAAAAGTGGATACAAGAGGCTTCTTAATGTCCACAAACTATTGATAGACCTTCCAGCGCTTGTTATACGTGGTCAAGTTCTTTCGATGTTAGACATAATGAATCTACTAAAAAAGACAGTCATTAGGACGCTAATTAGACATAGTGGACGTCTAATCAAAAATAAACTCACTTATCGAAAGAGAAGATCTAGAGCATTAGTGTCTATCCCTTTACGCCCTCTAAAGAAATATGCAGAGTTCACCAATGTCGCAGAACTAAGAGACTCTAATCATTCTAAAAACGATGACAAAACATAAATATTAAGTTGTAACATTACAAATACACATAATTGAGTAATTTAAAAAGTATCAAGTAATTAAGTCATACATGCTGTCTCTTTATATCATGCCCTACCCCCTGGTTTCTCGTTTTCCTCTTCGACTTCTTCCCTCCGCCATAATCATCATTTTCCGACATATCATCGCCACGCATTAAGGTTTGTAGGTCATTAATAGCTAAATCAGACGTTTTGAATCCTGGAATACCATTTATAGGAGTTTTATCAAACTTCATTGCTTGTCCTAACATTTCAGAATCCATTGCTTTAATTAAATCAGGGGCCAGAGCCACCATTGGGTCAAGTAAGCCAGACGGAATTGCTTTCTGCGCAGATACCTGGTGCTTTCCAGGCAAATCCTGAATATGATTTCTATATGATTTTCTCAACTTTACTCCCTTGCTTCCATCTGGATTGGTTCTTGCAAATGATTTCGCTATTGGTTCAAGATTATATAGCCTCAACAAATTGTCTAGAGGAGAAGGGTTTGTAATTTCGTATTGTTCTGAAGCGAGTTAATACACACGGACTATCTTCAAATAACTAATCAAACTTACTTTTCGTATCAACGAGATAATAACCATCTAGCTTTTGGCGCTCCTCTGCCATAACGTGATGCAATTCAACTGTTCACTATTACAATTTGTATTCGATTATAAAAGCTACATATGCATCTCAATGTGACACAAAGCAAAATTAATATCATCTCTTACGAATCTTTGAATACATATATTGACTAATGTCTAATTGAAATGATAATTATACAATAAAGAGGGTTCTGAGATTAAATCCTAAGTAATTTCGAGCCAAGGTCAGAAATATCATTTTTTGTTTTTAGTTTATTTTATTATCAGATTGAAATTGCACATTAGATTGTTCTTGTAAAACATGATTAATACAATGCTAGTTAAATTCATTCCTTTGGCGACTTATTTTCCAACCACTTCCCAATCTTCTGAATTCTTTGAATCAACAGTTAACTCAGAAGTCTTGGACTGAAGAGTTTCAATATCTTGATCAGCATCTGGTACCTTTTGTTGACTCTGATTAGTAACCTCTTCATCGGACTCTCCTTCGACTGCTAATACATCATACAGTGACTTTTGTGGCCTTTGTTCTGTTTCTTCTTCTTTCTTGTTTGAAACCTTAGCTTTGTTGCGTTGTTCTGGGGCTTGTCCTTTCTTCCATTCTGATGAATCCTGTCTTCTGGGGCGTCTTTCACTTCCTTGCCTCGTTCCCACGGCACTTCCTCTTACCGATGACCAATCCAAGCTCGGATCGTCTTTCTTAGGTCTTCTTTCACTTCTTTCTCTTCTTTCTTTGGCAGGGAGTGATACAGTTGCTGATCTCGCAGAACCCCAGTCTAACTCCGGCTCATCTTTCTTTGGTCTTCTTTCCCTTTCCATTCTGTTACTTTTCTCCCTTGGAGGTAAGGCATTACTTGTGGATCTTACTGAACCCCAGTCAAGGTCTGGTTCTTCCCTTCTGGGTCTTCTTTCAACTCTTTCTCCTCCTTCACCTCTGTCGCGTCTCTCCCTGGGGGGCAAACCACCTGAAGTCGATCTCACAGTACCCCAATCTAAGTCTGGTTCCTCTCTCCTCTCTCTTTCTCTTCTAGGTGGACCCCCAGACATTGGTCCACTTCTTGCAGCTCTCCAGTCCATCTCAAAGACATCTTGTCTCTGTGGAGCTGCTACGTTAACAAAGAGCTTCCTACCAAAGAAATCCGACAAGCTTAAATTTAAGGCTTCTTCCAATGCTTCCCTTGATTCAAATGTAACAAATCCAAATCCTTTTAATCGGTTTGTTGCTGGATCGATTGGTAGCTTTATATCAGTAACCACATCCAACACTTGCATGCGGTCCTCGAAAAATCTCTTCAATGCCTCTTCTTCAACTTCCCATGGTAAATTCCCAACTCTAGCCCTATAAGGCGGTTCGTCAGGAATGGGAAATTCTTTTCTCTCTCTTCTGGGGTCATCATCTCCAAAAGACGACTGTCTATTAAAACTCTGTTCTGGCCTTCTAGAAGGTTGGGCAGATCCCGTGTTAAGTTGTACACCAATAGAAGACATATCAACTTCTTCATCGGCCCACGATCCACCCCCGAGTGAATCGTCGGCCAAGAAGGCGCCTAAGTCCATTTTTACGCTTTTCTTCGGCGGAACTGAGCTAAGTTAGTAAATTGATGTTCATAATTTCCTAAACTATCTTAGGTCTTTGATAAATGACTTACCCATATTGCTATCCTTTATTATATATCAATACTTGATTATTCAATGTTTGAATTGTAAAGAATGGGCATCAGTCTGTAAATTTTTTTCCTCGCAAATTTGAATTAATTATGTAATTTGCGTTTCTCAAGATATCTACAACGTGAGCTATCTATCAAAAAAATTGTTCGAAATTATATTATCAATAAGGATAGAATTAGTAGATTGGATGATATATATTGAGATATAAGAGCAACTTAATACCATTAAAAATTGTTTCATAAAATATATTACATTACACCTAAACCATTTGTTCCACTAAGTTTCTTCTATCGCGGTTGTTCTGCTCCAGTATGTCGACTTCAGAGATTTCAGAATCAGGTGCATGATCCACGTTAGAAGAGTTTCCATTTCCTGTACCTTCGGTCTCCTGCTGCCCAGAAAGTGGTCTCACTTGTTTGTAAATTACTAATACAGCCCAGCTGAAAAAGTCTTCCTGTGAGATCCCCATTGTCCTCCACCACAATGCCTTAACACAATTACTATACTTTTTTTGAGCTATACGATTTGCCTTGTCTTCAATCTGATACTCTGCCATGTTAGGGTCATTTAAGATCATTCTCGCTCTTTCACGCACGGGAATCAAGTCTTGAACCATACTTGCAATTATAGGGTCATTTCTAAGGGCTTCTAAATCGACGCTATCTTCATCACCAGCATTATCATGTTCTGTATAACTATTGTCATTATGTTCATTACCATTAGCATTGCCATCCGTCTCATTATTATTAGAACCCGGACTTTCTACCACACCTCTATCGGTATTGGCATCAACATGAGCGTTATCATTATCATGCTCAACATCTCTGGTTCCAATCTCAGTATTATTATTGGTATTATTACGACTGTTGTTCGTTTCATCTTTGTAAAAATAGTCTCTTTTACACATAGGACAACATGCTCTTCTTTTAGTTAACCAAGGGTCTAGACATTCCGAATGAAATACATGACCACAAATCAACCCTCTTACTAAATCATCATCTTCAATCACCTCAAGGCAAATAGCACAGGTTCCTGAACTGAAATGTAATTCTTCATGCAGCTCACTGACTTTATCCGTTCCAAGATCTTTCATTTCTACTGATTTTGTTTCGTCAAGAACTGAAGAATCTCTAACAGTTATCGAATTACCTGCCGAGTAATCTGTAGTATCAGAGCTAACCATGTCTAGTTGAACGGCCTGATTGTCATTAATTTCAACTACGTCATTGGTTTCGTTATTCTTTCCCGAAAAGATACCACCCTCTTCATGTAAGACGCCATCCCTCAAGCTATGGTCTCTCTCCTGTCCTCCATTTTTCCAATCATAATAGGTTTTCACCGGAAATAATATATTGACTTGCTGTTGAGTAAGTTTCTTCATCCTCGAGTATCTACCACCTCTTCTCCGGCCCCGTCTTCTTCTACTAATAAATATTCTGTTCACCACATCTTGCCTAACGAAATTATTCTCCCTAATATACTCAAGTTGACGTCTAAGATCTTCATTAGTAGTATCTCCTGGATTCAAGTTACTCACCGAAATATTAGAAAGCAAAACACCTCTTTGGCCAATGGGAAAAACGTGAAGGCCATATCTTTGTCTAACAAAATATCTCAAGGTAAAGAAGACAAATAGTGAAGCTATAACCACACCAACAGCAAGGGCCAAAAAGAATAAGACGGTAGAAGGGGTATTTCCAATAAAATTATTATCATAATCATTAGAAGCCCGCTTCAGGACTACTTCAAATATGACTCCCATATTTCAAGTCTTACGTCAAAGACTATGTCCCTTTTATTAAGATTTTCCAAATAAAACAGAGCACGTCTAGAATAGAGTCGTAGTCTATTTGCAAATTAATCTGAGACAAATTTCTTCGTCTATCTTAACACTATGATTCAAGTAATTTAAAAAAAGAATTTTGTACCATTAATTAAAACCCTGAAAAGTGAGCCCAGACAAGGCTGAAATTTGCGATGAACAAAAATGTAGTTATTGTAGGAGAGATCTGTTATCTATGTTCAGATAACTTATTCTTGTAGCGCAGTTAGCTTAATAATGATTCCCTTCTAATGACCTCTTAGATTTTCCTGAGATGAGGAGAGGGGACACTAGTTCGGCTGCGATGGTTTTTTGAATGACAGTTCGGTACCGACAAAGAATAAAATTAGTGAGCTAAATCATCTTTCAAAACTCTATTCAAAATTGAATTGGGAGACATTCAAGTGGACCTATAAAAACGCTACTGAGATAATTAATGGCTCCTCTTTTAAAAAATATATATATCCTGATATGTCAATTATAAAGCCTATATAGTTATCAAAAAAGGATTAAATAACGAGCAACATATCTAATATAGCATCTTACAAGATGTAATTGTGGTGCTTGCTAATTAACTTACAACTTTGGGGCTTCCTTGAATGAAATAGCAGCTTCCTCACCCATAGCAGAAATGATAGTAACCAATAAATCTTTACCTTCATCGAATTCGGATTGAATCTTGTCACCTAATTCGCCTTCTGGAATTTTGACATCGTCCTTGGTGTCACCATCCTGAGTCATCAAAGACAAGTAACCATCATCAATGTCCAATAATTGATACTCTTGTCTAGTGACATTAGGAACATCCATGTTGTGGGTAGATGGAGACAAATCTTCCAATTTCTTACCAGTAAAGATATCCAAAGCGACTAAGTGAACCTTAGCATGACCGTGCTTACCAGTTTTGGAAGTAGACATTTCAACAATTTTACATGGTCTGCTCTTAATGACAACATGTCCGTTCTTTCTCAAAGCAGAACATTGCATTGGGAAAGTCAAAGCGGCACCAGCATCAGCGGTCTCGAAAGTGTGCTAAAGTTAGAGTTAGTATGGTATTCAATTTGTTAAGAATGCTGGAATAAGAAGAAATGAAAAATTTTGCCATGCTGAAAATTTTCAGGGCTAGAGTACGATCGTACGATGACATGTCGAAGGCTTGCAAGTAAAGTTGATCCTATCAAATAAAAATGGGGCTCATCAATCGTAAGCCTAGCGCTCTTAGCAAACCAGAATGCAAAGCATGCTTTACTAAATCCATCTTTATTCTTACCATATCTACCCATGGTAAATTATTCAGGTACTTCAATCCATCATTTTAGTGTCTACTTACTTCTTCTTCAGCCATTTTTGCTATCTTAACTTGTTATTCGAAGTATAAAAACTATTAAATAACTTTTGTTCTTCAAAAGATCTGTAAAATTAATATGTCAATATCCGACACAACAGTTCAGAGTACGCTGAGGGTGGTGGAATGGGTGAAGAAAAAAATTTTGTGATTCGAAAAAAAAAAATCTGAGTATATTTGAGTACAACCTTTTATTACTGCATCTAACAAAGAATGTCGTATTTTTTGGGTGGAAAATACTTGAGGGACGCCTCAATTTTTGCAATTTGCCCCGCGGGCGGGTAACGAAACACAGTAATTGTCAGCACAGAATGGTCTTTAGGCTAACGAATAGAACAGTTTTCTCTCCAATCTTACAATGTCGCGCATAAATGCTTACAAAGTTCTATTCATGTGACTTAATATAATACATATGTGAAGTGAAGGCTATTATGTTCGAATGGCATCTAAGAAAATGACAAGCTAGTTCCAAACTGAAAACATGAGAGATTGGTACATAGTATTATAGCTGTTTGGTCTTTCGCTTGCCATTTGATATAAAGGGAGCTATTGCTTCAGCTGCGGCTGGTCTCAATTTCCGTTTTCCAACATTAGCCGCACGGATAATAAATCTAAGATTCTCCTTTAGTAACAGAATTCGAATTACTTTCGACTGCAGATACTTCTGAGTCATCTGGTGCTTGGCTGCTTGTACGAGAGTTCTCATGAGAGACTCCAGGTTTCAGGCTGCCATTAGTATGCGCCTTGCGGTCTAATCTGATAGCTTCAATCAAATGCTCCCACTTATTTAACAATTCTTCACATTTTTCATGGAGCTGAAAGCTATCTCGGTATGCTAAATTCTCATCTCTTAAAATGCACCTTAAAACCTTATGAATTTTGGTCTTTTTTAAAAGCTCTATGTCCACTGGAAAGTCCACTAATCTGTGAAGTATTAGTCTCGCTACCAGTAACTCGTCCGCAGTAGGAGGAGGGAATTTCTTTGGGTCCGAAGGTGTTACAGGTTGATTTCTTTGTATGAGTGTTCTTTGTAGCTTTATACGACATAACCATAGCTGGTGCTGTCTCTCTTCTTTAGTTTGAACTCTTGGAGAAGAAGCTTTGGGGGCAGGTGTCACTTTTTTGCCATTTGAAGGGTCTACCTTGACAGCCTTTCGTGGACCATTTATAGCTAGAGATCTTTTGCGTCTTGAAATTATGCCATCTTCGTTCTCATCCTTTGGGTTCAACTCATCTTCATTCATTTTTTCAGTATTTAGCGGTGCCTGCTTAGCCGTCGTACTGCTTCCTTTGATATTTTTTGTTACCGAGGACTCTTCGGAGCTACTTCCTTCATCTCCATCCACTTCGTCATCTTTTTTCGAGCCTTTCTCTTCGATGATATCTCCATCATCGTCGTCGATAATAGCTTCTTCTTCATCGTCATCGACATCGTCTTCATCCTCGACATTTTCAGCATTAGAATCATTGGAGATGTTTGGCTCTTCACCTGCAGCTTCTAAAGTACTCATGAAAGCATCAAATGTTAAATTCTCAGCTGCAAGTAAGGCATCATTGACATTTAGTGTGCGGCCCTTTTTAGGCTTCGCTTTTTTTGGAATCTTTTCAAGCTTCTTTAGAAGTTTCTCTGTTGACAATCCTTCGAGGTTCTTCTCTGTCATCCAGTAATAATCCCCGTCTGGTATGAATATGACGCAGTAGTCGGTGGTTTTCTTTTTTGCTTTTAACACCGAAGGCGGTATCATTTCTCGTGGCATTACGAACGAAGGCCAAGCTGACCAACCAGCCATTTTAGCTAAAACTAAATCGCCAGGTTCGAACTTTGGTTTCTTTGCTGTTTTCGGAGGCATACCTTGAATGAATATGAGACGCGATGGTCAAACAAATATGATGTTCTATTGCCCTATAGGCTACGCTCCTAAATCTTCTCCTGACTTCTAGTTGAGTCGAATCGAATATAGATTTCGCTTAATTGTATCCAAATGAATTTGTAACGTGTTTCACTATACAAATGAGCAGGTCAATTTACTATGTTTCTTCTTCCTTTCTTTTGAATAGCAATTGAGAAAAGATTTCACCGTCAGTACAAATGGTTATATTTATGCTCAAAATCAAGTTAGCCTGCCACTAGGAAGTCTAAGCAAAAAAAAAAAGACGTTGTTTCTATATAGAGTAAAGGCCCTCTTAACGGCAACATACAGAAAGTGTTTTTAGTCTACTCGGAGAAGTAAACTTTGTTTATGCACGACTTTTGAAATCTATTAACTCTTATCCCGCAATAATCTAAGAAAGTTTTATCGTTACATGAACCACTAGCTCGTATTCCTTAGTCATAAACCCTAGCCATAACCCAGCGTAGGAGCTTCAGCTAGCCCCACGTATGAATATAATCGTCTTGCGTATTCCCCTTCTGGCAGTTTTAATGACAGTATCAGCGGAAGATTCAATTTAGATAGGAACGAGTTTTGCTGAATAAATCATATCTCCTTTATCTCATTTTAAATAACATATATCTTCAAGCTCAGCCTGTAGCATTTGTAGTCTTATGTAAGAATTTCCTGGTTCTAAAGAGTACGAATTTTTATATAATAGCTGGCGCTTTCGATTCGCAATTTATCTTGAATATTATAATGAATCAGCTGTGGTTAACGACGAGTTCATTTTAACTACAAAAAATATTTTTGAAGATTCAAATTCACCTTTGTCTCCTACTCCGATATTAATACCCCATGTAGTCGTATTAAAGATAGTGTCTTTATTCCTATAAAGCCCTTCAATGTGGAGTATCTGTACCTCTTAACTTCGGATGATAGATTACGATGGATCTCTCCTGATTATATAATCAGGGTCTCAGAAGGCTGCGACCAAATTTTGATTTGGCTTTCTCGACTGGACCAACATTGGAAGAGACTAGATAAGCTTGGCGCTGACTTTAAGAAATAGCCAGAGTGTTAACTGAAAGTTCACGTTTGTTGCTAAAAAAAATCTCTGAGATTAGGAATTTGATCAGGTCCTGTCATCTCTTGCAGAGACTAAAAACACCATTGACCATTAATATCGCAATAAGGTGATAGACCGTTAGGTTAATAGTGAACTAAAAGTGAAAAGCGAAGACCGGCAGTGAAACAGAGAAACCTACTGGATATAGTTCAAGTCTTTTGGCCCTTTATTATTTTACACTCCAACTTGACATTTGAGCTGTACATTTTTTTTTTCTATTCTTATTGCTGCTACAAATGGATAGTTCCAAGTTCCTTAAAAGGCCGCTAGCATCAGAGGATGTCCCTGACCCTGATGCTATAAGTAGCTACTTGAAGCACTCTTACAAGAAACAAAAGATTCCAGATGTTCCAAGATCGTTAAAGCAATCTGAATCTGCTCCGATTTTACATTCGGTTCCTCCAAGTATGATTCCAATTATCCGCCCTCCACTTCATTCTGAAGATTTTTTTACCGACTTAACAACTGAGCTTGATGATATGAAAGTCACCGAACAAGTGGAAGGTATGTTGAGAAAATTTCCTCCCCCCATTCCACCTTATTTACCAGATCTGGTAGCTTCGTCTAAAGGGGGAATAATGATTCCTTTTATATACCCACCCCCTCCAATAATAGATCCGCTGGCCTTGCCATATTCTAAAGAACAAGCTTTACCGAACAGAGGTAAGAAAAAGAATTTGAGGGGTTCCCCTAAGAGGACGGATTCTTCGCCTCTATCTGAACAGGCTTACGTTCAACTACCCCCATTACCCTTTCCTCCTCCGAACTACATGCCATATCCTTTGATATCTGATGAATCAACGTTAACGCCTGGGGATGTCTTCGCGTCCTTCTTGGAAGCGCTGGAAGTTTTGCCGAGAACTGACATGGTTCTTGCGAGTGCTGCAGGATCATTACTTGATATACGATCCCAGGCGAGGGAAGAGAGATTTTCGATTCGGGACTTTGAAGACAAAAGGTCACAAATAGCTAAAAAAAGAAACTTTGAAACTTCTGGTCCTTACAGTGGTGAAGATGATGACCTTTCATCTTCAGCTTTATCGTCGGAACAAGAAAAAGAAAACTTTGAGTATGATATTTTTGCGAGTAATGTGGATAGAGATGATGCCTTCGACAACTATCAGAAAAATGAAAAGCATATTCTGACTCCTAAGTTTGAGCTCAGAAAGATTCCGCCTTCATACATGGATGTTCAACAAACGTTGAGTAATATCAAGGGAGTGAAGAACTCTAAGCTGAAAAAGGAGTACATTGTAGATGATGAGTTTGATGGTGACTTGAATCATCGTACCCAGTCGATTGACTTGGATCTGTTGGTTCCACCAAGCTCAAAAGATGTAGTCTCGGCTAATGGAAGTAACAAAGAAAAGAGAAGAATGAGGCTATTGGGTTACTATGAATCTTTGGAGAACTTGTCTTACGAAAAGCGATATGAGACATATATCTCTAGAAAGGCCGAATTGCTCCAAAAGTTGAAGAATCTTAAGGACTCTAAATTATCGTTTACGAATTCAGATATCAAAGATGATGAGTTGATTCAACGAAATAATGATCTTGAGTTTGTCAGGGATGAGGAATTATTACGTATGAAACTTTCTCACAACTATGAGTCCCTCCAAAACTCGCAAGTTTTTTATCAAAATTCGAATAAAATCTATAAGAACTTAAATTCGTTGATGGTAAACAAGCTACAAAAGCTTAAGAGCTTTTTTGAGTTGCAAAAAAATTTGTTCAACGATATAGTAAAAAACAGTGAGAGTGAAATATTTGATATTCGTAATAAAGAGTCGCAAAGGTTAGTGCAAGGTTCTTCTGAAAGTGACTTTAAGTCGAAGATAAAAGATGCCATCAAACGTACTCTTGAAAATCCTCAAGGAAGTGCCGACTCAGACGCGTTCAACTCACATCATCACTTGCATCATCCCAATACATTGGTTCATGATTTTATGAGCCTAATATCGCCAGCAGAATTTGAAATTATAACTGGCGATGCGCCAACTAACCTTAAGGGTCATTCTTCCAAAGATTCTTTCAACTCTAAAACAGCATCAGCGGGAATTAAACATCAAATTTTTCAAAGCTCATTGTATGACCCGCTTACTTCGGGATCTGATACAAATACCTCAGATGGTGGAAGCTCGACACCTAGCAAAAGGAGAGGGAGAAGAGGTGCTGCGATCAATATTGCAAATGGCACTGGAAGGAGGGTGTCCGAAGAAGGTGAAAGGTCCAAGCAATCCGAGGCCGTGTTGCTTGCTAAGATCATGAAACAATTTAGCGGTCCACAGGCGGCTAAGCCTAACGAATTGTTAAATGATTTAGAACTCTTGGGTATAAACACAAGGTGGCCAGTGCAAAGTTCAAGATAGTCGGTAATCTGGTTGAAATTTATATGATGGGTGAGTTTCATAATTTCATTTTTTAAATTACATAGTTCTATTGCGAAATAAAGGTGAATAAAGTAATATTGAAAGTAAAATATGTTACATTAAGTGCAACAGAAAATAGACAAATATTTGAACAGCGTTAGTAGTAATAAACAGTATTTAAAAAAAAAAATTATTAAAAACTTCGAGCATCTTTGACAACTGCAAGTTGATAAGTTGATAGCACAAGAATAAACGATGGAATACACTTCAGAACTGAAACTCCCTTCATTGATACTGAAAGCATGGTAAAAAAAGTCTTGTAATTTTTTTTTAATAATCTTCGAATTGAGAGTAGATGGCAACTAGAATATTAGAAACTCCGATAATTAAGGGGAAATTACCTAAAGTCTCGGTGAATTTGCCATAAACTCCCAATTGCAGCAAGATGTGGTGCTTCAAAGCATTAAAAATACCACGATATGAATTTAATGTTGTTAAGCTATCATAGTTTTTGGTAACAAAGTAAAAGATAAGTACTTTGACCAAAGCAAAAATAAATGGATCGTACCTGTAAATTCTTGCAATAATACCAGCTTCTTCATCCAACACTATGACTCTTTTGGAAAAATTTACGTAATAAGAAACTACCAATGGGACAAATATTGATGTTAAGGCCCAGGTAAAGAACGTTGAAATCGTGTTGTAGTTCACAAGAGATAACAAATTGGGAGTTGGGATATCACTTTTATCAAAAAATTCAATATTGTCTTTGAGAACTTGGTGAACGAGGGGATTTTCGCTAAGTGCAACCAATGGGATATAAGTATACAAGAAATATAAGAATTCAAATGAAATCTCAAGATAATTTAAAGTAATAGACTTCGATAACTGATCTCTCAATTCATCGTTAAAATCAACCGTGGTGATTCCGACCTTATCAGTGAATTCATAAACTTTAGTGAGAGCTGCCTCAGATTTTTCGATTATAGGATCAATGATCCATTCCTTCAAATTAATTGGTGCAGAATCCTCATAGTCATTGTCTTCTTTTTCCTCCTCAGTCTCTTCCTCCTCCTCAGCTAAAGTTTCTTCATCTTCATCTTCCTTATCTTGTAATATACCTTGAACTGCTAATACGCCATCCTCACCATATTCGCTAATATAACTTTCCACTTTTTCAGTTAAAACCTTCTTTGTGTCTTTCGCAAGAGTAGGAATGTCAAGCTTTTTGCATACATTAACCAAATCCGCTTTCTTATAACTATTTAAATCGCTCATCTCTCTTGATCAGGTATCTCAATTGATTCTTATTTAATGATCTTTCTAGTCGATTCGAACAAAAGTATTCTTAAAGTTGGGTCTTGGTTACTTTACTAATTAGCGCCTCAGAATCCTGTAAGTATTTAACTGTTTGTTTATGTCTAGGTTCTTATAAATTTGATATGTTGTTTTATATGCAGGTTTGTTTGTTTTCTTCCATTTCGAGAAGGAATAGACAATTCCATGTAGTCTCGGTACTCACAGATAGCCCTGCCATCACACCATCATAACAAGAAGCAATCAAGTAGATTCGCAGTAAGCATATCTTCCTTAGCCTAAAAAAAAAATAGAACACAAAGCAAGTGATTTGTTGTTCTTAACTTTTAAAAACATAAGGTTGGCGAGCTGAAAAGGAAAAGGGTTGGGTGATAGCTCTCTCATAACAAATAAAAAGGTAACTAAAGGTTCACATGAACCGATTATTGTTTTTCAGGCGCTTATGCAATTCTCCATTCTTATCGCAAGAACCTAGAGTGAATCAGTTGGGAATACAATATTTGTCCGAAGAATTACAGAAGAAAATATTTCCCAGATCGTCTACGAAAGAGTATTTGAATCCAAAGCGTCAAGACTTTATAGACCTAGCCAAAAAGCACCTAGAAGAAAACCATTTATTAGGGAAGAAAACCACAATCACTGATCCCATACGAATAAAGAATTTTCCTGACTTGAATGGAAAGAGTTTAGATGAGCATTTCTATAAGATTGGAACAACATGTTCAGAGCCCTACAAGTCAATGGCCGATGCATTTTTATTGAACGGCAATATACCCCAAAAACCTAAAGAGTGGTCTTTCCAATCTGGATGGACACGATACGAAAACGGTAAGGAGCCGGAAAATGTCGAGTACCCATTAGAGGACTCATTAGTATTTGATGTTGAAGTTCTATATCGTGTCTCGAAATACCCTGTTTTGGCTACTTGCGTGTCGCTGAAAGCATGGTACGGCTGGGTTTCACCACTATTAACTGATCTCAAAAGCAATTCAAGCCCCGATTTCGAGCATTTGATTCCACTTAATACGATAAAAAGTCCAAAGCTAGTTATTGGCTACAACGTGAGCTACGATAGAGCAAGAGTTCTAGAGGAATATAATATAAGATCTTCAAATGCATTTTTTCTTGATGGAATGGCTCTACACGTAGCTGTAAGTGGTATATGTTCACAACAGCGGCCCATGTGGCAAAAATATAAAAAAAGCGTAACACAAGGAGCCACTTCTAATGAGGAGCTTACAGATGCTGAAAGCTCTCTTTCATACGATCGCCAAATTGCTCAGGAGCTTTCTGACGATCCCTGGCTAGACAAGGGTGCAACTAACTCTCTTGCTAGTGTCGCTGATTTTCATTGTGGCATCAAAATGGACAAATCAGATCGAGACTACTTCAGTGAACTAGACCCGAAAATTATTGTAGACTCATTTAACCAGCTAATGACATACTGTGCTGGAGATGTTGAAGCTACATTTGCAGTCACGAAGAAGCTCTATCCTGAATTTATAAAAAAAGCACCGCATCCAGTTTCATTTGCAGCATTAAAAGTAATGGGAAGTTTGATGTTACCTACAACATCCAACTGGGAAAGTTATACCAGGAATTCTGAGAAGGTTTATCAACAAAATAGAGAAGAAGTGGGTAAAATACTAAAGGAAAGAGCAAACTCTTTGGTGCAATATATAATCGCCGATAAGGAGGGTTTGAAACCTAATTGGGAAGAAGACCCTTGGCTAAGGCAATTAAACTGGACTCTAAAGGAAAGGAGGCTCAAGAAAAATGGAGAACCATTTGCGAAGCAAGCCTATTTGACAGGTTATCCAGAATGGTACAGGGAACTATTCAGGACATCTGTAGATACTGATGGAGTACGAGAGATGAACTTGACAGTCCGTTCGAGAGTTACTCCTCTTCTCTTAAAATTAAAATGGGAAGGGTTTCCTTTGTTGTGGACTGATTCGGCCGGGTGGTGCTTCAAAGTTCCATTTGAAGACGAATTGATAGACGATTTACAATCCAAGAATTACATTAGACCGAAGTTATCTGAGGAAGAGTTTGAAAAATTGCTTCCCGAACTAAGAGATAGTCATCACAATTTTGAGCTTTTTAAAGTTCCTCATCCGGAAGGGTCTACTAAAAGATGTACATCTATCATGTCAAAAAGCTATTTGCGATACTTCGAAAATGGAATCTTGACTTCGGAATATCCGTATGCTCAGGATATATTAAAGCTTAACTCAGCGGCATCTTATTGGATGGGTAATAGGCAAAGGATTATGGATCAGTTTGTTGTCTATTCTAATTCGAACAAGAATCAATTTTGGAGAACAAAAAAAGAAGCCAGCACTCATAAAGACATGGGAATAATTTTGCCAGTTTTATGTACCATGGGAACAATTACTAGAAGAGCAACTGAGAACACCTGGTTGACTGCGTCGAATGCTAAGGCAAACAGGATCGGCTCAGAATTAAAAGCTATGATCGAAGCACCTGAAGGATACTGCTTCGTAGGAGCGGATGTTGACTCAGAGGAGCTTTGGATAGCATCAATTATCGGAGATTCGATTTTTGGAATCCATGGAGGCACCGCATTAGGATGGATGACCTTAGAAGGTGATAAGAATGAAAAGACAGACTTGCATTCCAAGACAGCAGAAATCTTGGGTATATCCAGAGATGATGCAAAAGTGTTCAATTATGGACGAATCTATGGCGCGGGCGTTAAATTTGCGTCAAGATTATTGAAGCAATGCAATTCTAAATTAAGCGATGAAGAATCAGAAAAAATTGCCAAAAACCTATACTCTAAGACAAAAGGACAAACGAGCAGCTCTAAATTTTTGGAAAGAAGACTATATCATGGGGGTTCGGAGTCAATAATATTCAATGCTTTAGAAGCGATCGCAAATGAGGAGGAACCAAGAACTCCAGTGTTGGGGGCAGCAATTACAGATGCTCTAGTGGCCAAAAATTTAAACAAAAACAATTATTTGACTTCTAGAATCAATTGGACAATTCAAAGTTCAGGAGTAGATTATTTGCACTTATTGATCACGTCGATGGATTACTTGCTTCAAAAGTATCAACTTGAGGCAAGGTTAGCTCTAACAGTTCACGATGAGATCAGGTACCTTGCAAAAGAGAAAGATCGGTACATCATAGCCTTGCTTCTTCAGATAAGCAATTTGTGGACAAGAGCTATGTTTTCAGAACTGATGGGAATTCCTGAGGTACCTCAAAGTTGTGCTTTTTTCTCAGAGGTAGATTTAGATAAAGTATTGAGGAAGGATGTTTCGCTGACTTGTGTAACACCTTCACATCCAACAGCAATACCACCCGGAAAGTCTCTTGATATAAGAGAATTATTAAAGATATGTGATGATGGAGAGATACTAAGTTCGATGAAGAAAAAAAGAGCAAAGATGAATGATATAAAATATATAGGAAGGGAGGTTGGGACACCATCCCTAGATCGACATTTGAGCAAACGTTTGAGAATTGCGAAGGCGAAGATGCAAATATCGACAGACCACTTTAGTTGGCGAAAAAGTGTAAATCAGTATATCAGATTAAAGAAGAGTATAGAATTTGAAAAGGAAGAATGCAATGAAAGATGGAACAAAAAATCGGGGAGAGTCAATAAAACTAAAAATAGTGGGCCACCGAAGAAAAAGATAGATGAAATTGACATCAGTGGCATTGGTAACGAGATGCTAGCAAGGGAAATTGAGATGACTGATGCTCACTTCTCTAAAAAGGAGTCAAAAAAGGTTAATGAATCCAATATCTACAATAATAGAAGCTACATAAAGTCGCTGATAGACCCGAAAGGAGAGCAAAATTATCAACCCCTTCATGGCAATCAACAAAACCTTGTAGATAATACAAATGAGAATTTTGATGGGATAGAGAATTTTATCAGATCACCTCGAGCAGAAGTCCAAATGAAAAGTCAATCTTCTTTGAAAGACATTTCAAATATTGAATCAACTTCATTGTTTCAAATAGACTTAAAGCAGGAAAAAATTCTTATTCAGACATTGACTCCTCAAGTCTCTTCAGATCCCCCGTTTAGACGACGAAAGGGACAAACTGAGCAACCTGAACCTCCTTTCAGACGACGACATCAATCATATTTTTCTGAAGTAATAAGCAGCTAATAGAATTTACAACAAAAGAATGAGACACAGGGAAATTATAGAATTACTAAAAACACAAATTGCAGCCATGCTAAATAATTGATGAGAGCGTATATTATCATTGGCAAGATCCAGTATTGGTGCAGGATATAGTATTCATAGGTTTCCGAAAAGCTCTTAAATGCCCGTGCTACTGTGCGTTGTTGAGCCTCCCAGATTTTTTATAACTTTTTTGATAGCCGTTTACCTAATTAATGAAGAGCGTCATATAGACTTAATGAATAACGTTGTTAGATGAAACTACATCTTACTTACTTCGCGTCATAACTTATTTTTCTTTTCTTTTGTGACCTAATTTGAATTCCAAGGCAGAGACAATGTCTTTTTTGCCTTCGCTATAGTTCTTTCTTTTATCGAAACTCAAACATACTCTTATCCTACTACCTCCAGCCCTGTTTATATTTCATTAGCAATGATTTCCCAATGAGTCGGTGAGCCGCTGAATGCGGTAAGTATCTTTCCTAGATGAGCTCTCAAGCCTCACATAAACATATTTTTATGCCCCATAAGGATGTGCAGACAACACCTGTCTGCATATTGTGCTTTTTGTTTCGCAACTTTTGTTGTCTGATTTTAGGAGTGGAGATAGTAGCAAGAAGACTGTACAATAGCTTATGTGTACCTCCCGATGGTACCGATCGTCGCCGCATTTATGTAAAGTTTACTATTATAGAGCATACAAGTGCTAGCCGCTTACTTCCGAATGCCACATCCGAGAAACTTAAACCCTCAGACCGGATGTGGCTATTATTTTGGCCGTTGAAAAACGGAAACTATCCAAAGAGAATAGTAAGGCGAATAAGGAAAATAAACATTAGCGAGCAAAACATTTAGCTGTTGTCCTTATTAGGGACTTTCTGGACCTCTCCTAGGTTGTATGGTGCCACCTCGTTTGCTGTTGTGGTGTGTAGTAATGAACCATATTTGAACAATTGAGAAGAGCTGGCTCATGCCGGTCTGCCGAAGCCGTCTCAAGTCGCTCGAAATTTTTTTTTTTCTCTCAATGCTACCCTGCCGTTAGTAAGAGTCGGGACCGCACTTGATCGGAAGCTTTCGATCGGGGACAGTATAATTAAACAGAATTCCCAGCAATTTCGACAGCAATATTTATTATACTGTTCTTTTCAAAAAGTTTTCTTTTGAGCTACCAAACATCTAGAAATATTCAAGGAAAATGTTCCCAGGTGGTGTCATCTTAGTTTTCGTCTTAATTTTCTTAGCCTTCTGTGCTATCACTGGTGTTATGATCACTAAGAAGTTGAAGGCTAGAAAGTCCAACCAAAGATTTTAAGTGGGCCTGGACGGAGACATAGTTGGTTTAGGTACGGTGAGGGAAATACAGAGATTGGCAAATATTGAAGAAGGATTATCTTATGTTCTACTCATGCTTAAGTGAATTGTCGAAATCTGAAAGCGGCATAAGAATAGTCCAACTTTAACATTTACCTTTCTTTCTGTATTGTCCCGATTGTGAATTGCGCTTGTTGCTGTCCGTTAATCTACGCTGGTATTGTCTTCCTTCCTACTGCTACAAGACTATAATACGAAGAACTTTTGTTTTTTTTTTCAATACAACAAATACTATTATCTATTGGACTTATCTTTATCATAATTTTTTGTTGCTACTAATATAATTATCATTTTTTTTTATTGAAGATTTTGACGGGAATCAAATGTGGGAATAGTTATATACCTTTGTTAATACATGCTGAGTGTAATTACATTAATTATTCTGCCATGCGGGGCTTTAGAAACATAACATTTCGTAGTATTGCTCTTATTACGCTTAAATTCCGAAGTTGATGTTTAGTTGATCGCTCCCTCTATCTCTCTAGGCAAGGAGATTTAACCTTGCTAAAACTTTGTTAAAAGGCTCGATGTACAACAATCTAATGAAACTACAATTTTTTCATCTATCCTACTCTCCGTTTGAGCCATTCACCAAATCGCTTTCGTTCAGCATTTGACTTCGGAACATAAGATAAATCTCGGCTGACAATTGGTTTAAGCCCTAGCTGAACAGCCGTTTCCTTGACACATTTTAATTGTGATAGCTAAGGATTACGGAAACGGCTTTTGTGATTGGTAGAATTTGCTGAAAAATTGATAGGCGAAATCAAGAAATTCCCTCAAGCGACTCTACCCTCTTGAGTGTTTATATACATTACATTATGCAAGCTATAACTCCATATTGGTAAAGATTAATTAAAAACGGTAGGTTTGCTGAATATTAAGGATCAAAATTTGAACAGATTCACTTTAGAAAAGCGTTATATGTTACCAGGCATTTACTTTACTTCGTATATGAAGCATAGTATTAATTTAATATATCTTTTAAAAATTTTGGAGTAAATTTGTAGAAATTTAAAATAATTCAAATTAAAGATCAGTTTGGAAGCAAAATTCGGTTTAAGCTATGCTCTAAAAATGTTTTATTAGTCTATAATATCCTATGCTATGTATTCACTACCGTGCAACTGAAACAGTGATTCAGGTAGCTAAGCTACGTGGAAAGAGGTCCCTTGTTACCTTTGAACTTGTTCATTTCTTGTTCCCTAAGCACTAGCAAAATGCAAATTAGAACTAAGTTGGTTTCGCTTATATCTTCGCTGAATTGCTCAAAAATTCTTATCGTCCCATTTTTGACATATTTTGACAGTACTTTGACACTCTTCTCCTCTTGAAAGGACGCAAAAGGGAAATTGAATGAGGTTTGACCTTCACTGTATACTTGGTTGACCTTCGGCTTATCCTGTCTTCTAACAGCATCACAAAGTTCATTCGCACCATCTATCTCGATTTTAAAGTTTTTAATCAAAGTCTCCCTTTCATCTAGGCGTATACGATCAACTAATGAAGGACTAGATGGACGCATCACATACAATTTAATTGAACCATGGGCAAATGTTGAAGTTGTACCTGTCACGCCAGTTACACGGCATTTTGTGTCCATCCATATGAAATCATTAGACGGCTTGATTCCATTATTCATTATTACTAGAGTCTTCAAGCCTTCTGACAAATTGAGATATAGAATGTAGCAAGACAAGTTATTGGAGAGAACACGAAAGTACGCTTTACAAAACTCAGTCTTTTGATTATCCGCTTGCACCTTATGTATGTCCATAAACAGAGAGTTCTTCTTGAAGACGCTCAATACTGAAGTTGATGTCTGAAGTAGGGGCCTTCCATTATTCAACACAGTAGCATCAGGATGCAAGAATGAGCATACAACAGAAAGTCGTCTAATGAACCTATAACTTTCTGCCAGGTGATTAAACAAATCTCCTCCCATCATAGTAGTGGCGGTGTCACTAATGAAAGAGAGAATATCATCATCTCGTCTAGACCTTAAATCTTGGGATATATCTTCTGCCCTATTAAATGTATCCACATCATACCCCTCTGTATTTTCAGGCAATTCCTGCACTAGTGTTTCTTCACTGTTTCGCCTTATATTCGTTATACTCAGATCCATATCGAATGCTGCTGCAGTGAGGACTCCGTGCCACGGTCGGCTACTATCGACCTGTTTGTGCCTTGGCAGCAGTCTGTCTTCTAGTTTGAAAATTTATTTTGAATATGCAGGCTATCTGAAATGGTCTTCAAACTTCTTTATAAGATGCTAGAGGCCCTTCGAGCAATATATCCACATTTGACTCCAAGCTAGTATTCTCTTTTAAAAAAATGCTTTCATGAAAGTTCAAATCTTAGTCTTCATTGTCATAGTACTTTAAATTGCTTATACTATCATTGAGCATGTTTTAAGAATGCAACCTGATACTACCAAGTTACCGATGTAGTAAAATACCAGCTCTTGCGCATGCTTAGCTGGAAAATTTTTATTGATGAAGCGCCAAGATACCATGTAGGGAATTCGCTAAAAAATTGATATGATTTTAACTTAGAGAGTTCTGAATCTGCTAATAGACCTCACTGCAAAGTTTTAGAGTAGATGCACTTCATATAATGATGAGTATAATATTAATATTACTTTTCTACTGTAATTCAGAGCTGGCACAGATCTTATTATGCAAATGGATACGAGATGGGAATAATGAGTGATGTGGTCGAGTGGATGATATTACTAGATTGTACGATATTATCTTCGATTAAAACGTTTTGAAAACTGAATCATATTTATATGGTCATTTGTACACATCCTTATCCTGTCGCTTTTATTTATCTTGAAACTATGCACGTGAGGGTTAAGGGTTGCAATGTCAAAACTTGCAAAGTGAGTTTCTGGCACTGGCTTCTGGCTATAGTGTTATTATTGTTTTGGGATGCCACAACTATTTTCCCGGCAGGTACTGAATTTATCAAGATGATGTCTTACCGGCAAAGGGCACATATTAATGGAAACCGTTCTTACCTTAAAGACTCAGGAGAGGTACCACTATAAATATACCAGTAATTCGTTATCTTCTATAGACAGTTCTATCTGGGCCTAAGCCAATTAAAAAATCGATGCTCACGAATGGTGAAAAAGTTGCAGCTGAATTACTATTATAAGAAGTGATTTGAACAAAAAATTCCAATCCAATTTAGGATTTACGCTTCATGGCCCGAAGAGTGATTCCCATTTCTAGGCATTCGCACAAAAATCGAATGGAATGGACTAGGGAAGAATAACTTGCAACCTAAATTTCATAATCCTGTATTACAGTCGTCTCATGGCTACTTCAGTTTTTCAGATACCAGACAAAGAAATTAAGTCGTGTATCAAGAAGGTTCCCTCTTAGCTTCAAATTGCTCTGTTCCTGTTTCTTTATAGCATTTTCTTCTGTAGTTGTATTAAGAAAAGTACATAAAATTTCACTTGATTCTTATCGAACGGACTACCTCCACTTTTTTCATAAATATTAAAAAAAAAATAGTAATGGCAGCCAAAGACTTAAGATAGATAAGAGGGTCAAAGTTTTTCATGAACGCTTAAATATCTATTAATTACCTAAAGTTTACGATTTTTTAAGACCGGCTTGTGCTGCCATGACGCTGGAGGTTATCAAATTGAGCACGTGAATGATTGCCGCTACTCAATGCGAATGTGCAACCAAAAAAAAAAGTGAGCCCATATCTTGAACCATGAAAAAAGCAAATAGCTGATTAGCTCAACCAAACATTTTGAACGTATTTCCTAGCCACATGGAGGAAGTACAAGCCCACTTAACTTGAGTTTTTATTATTATGTGTTCAATCTACATTTTGCTGACAAACCCCATTGGTTCTTAAAAGGTTATTCATTCCCAAATGGGGTTAAAGTCTAAAGGAGTTATTCCTAAAGGAGGAATACCCTAAAGGGGTTGGTCCTAAAGGAGCTAAATCTCAAAGGGGTTAGTAAGAGAGCCGTTTTGCTTTTTCGGAGTTGCAACCATATATAATTCCTACAATGAACTATCATATTACCATCAAATATATGAACAGACTATCACCTAGAGCACTCAGATATTAAACACAAGATGTCTCTAAAGGATAATATTAGTGACTTACAATCTCAAAAAGAAGAGAAGATGGAAGACCCAGAACAGGGTAGCGAAGTGAAGCAAAAATACGACGAAGGAGACGCTGGCGATGGTAGCAAAAGGGAAGATCATTACTTAAAAGGATCAAAACTAGCCTTCGCTTTACTTTCAATTTATCTTATGCTTTTCCTTTATGCGTTAGATCTGACAATAGTATCAACAATAATCACAGAAGTTAGTAACAAATTTGACGGATTTGACAAAATAGGATGGCTCATATCAGGATACATGTTGACTATGAGCGTATTCATTTCTACATGGGGAAAGCTTTCAATCATATTTGGTAGAAAATATGCAGCTTATGTCGCAATTGTTCTTTTTGAGGCTGGCTCCTTGATGTGTGCCTTGGCTAACAGCATGAATGTGTTGATTGGAGGTCGAGTATTCGCAGGTGTGGGTGCGGGAGGAATACAGGCACTAAGCTTCATTATAGTGACTGAAATCATTCCAATGGAAAAAAGGCCATTAGCATTGGCAGGAATGGGTGCAACTTTCTCTGTAGGAAGTGTTGCAGGGCCACTATTGGGAGGAGCCTTTACGACTCACGTTACATGGAGGTGGTGTTTTTATATCAATTTACCTCTAGGTGGAGTATCACTCTTGTTATTATTTTTTGCATATAATCCTCCGAAACCTGTTGGAAATTTGAAACAAAAGTTATTGAAAATTGACTATCTAGGAGTATTCTTGTTGACCGCGGGTTTGGTGCTCTCATTACTAGCAATTACATTAGGTTCTGGAAATAAATATGCTTGGAATTCTGCCGCTGTAATTTGCTGCTTTGTTTTCGGTGGTTCAACTTTAATAATGTTCTTTATTTGGAATTTTAAATTTTCACCAAATCAAATAATTCCTTATGAAGTCGTGGCCACTTATCAAGTGATTGCTGCCTGTTTTACTGTTGGAGGAATGTACGGATCATTTATGGGATCCTATATATATCTCGCTATCTATTTCCAAGTGATTAAAGGAAAAAGTGCATGGATGTCTGGAATAGATCTACTTCCCATCATAGTACCTATGGTTTCATTTACCGTGATTACTGGAGTCCTCATTAAAAAAACAAGGTTAGTAAAACCGTTCATAGTTTTCAGTAGCATAATCTTTCCTGTGTCCGTTGGAATTATGTCCCTTTTAGAGGCTGACCTGTCTAAGTCTAAACAAATCGGGCTATTAATACTTAACGGGGTGATCGGAGGAATACAGTTTCAATCGGGATTAATGGGGGTACAATTGGCGGCACCAAAAATTGCTGGCGGGGCAATAACTGCTATAACGTTTAATAACTTTTTAAGAACATTTATGGGTACCATAGCTTCTGAATTGGCAAACACTGTCTTTAATTCTTCTTTTAAAAATAAGTTTAAGAATGCTGTTATGCATCTCCAAAATAGTAGTATAAAGAAGGAGCTCGCGACTATGAGCGCTTCAAAACTTACTACTTCTGCGAAGTCGATCGAATCACTCTCACCACAAGCTCAAAGAATAGTGAAAGATTTAGCCATGGGGGCAATAAAGAATGTATTTTATATGTGTCTTGGATTTGCAGCCATTTCTACTATTTCCAGTCTCTTTGTAACGAATGCAAAGGTTCCGGAAGATATAAAAGATGAATAAATCAGCTACTAGTTACTAGTGGCTTCTTTTATATTCCGAATACCTAGATAACATTAAAAAAAATCATATAAGAAATAATCGTCCCACAGATCCAAGGCATGGTCACTTGCCCATGGAATGGTTTCCGAGAGAGTCTGGGGATTCTCCTTGTAATTTGAGACGGAGAAATTGCACTCTTCACTAGAAATTATATTAAAATAACCCTCAAAGTCCAAAGAAATGCCTTCTTTCATTTCTCTTAATTGCTCAAAATTCTTTGTGTAGTTCTCAAAAAATATGCTGTAACCAAATTTTAATATACTAATACCATAGTCTTCAGTATGTTTAGAAAGAATTAAAGGAGCATTCGATACAGTCTGTAAAAATAATGCGACACCCTTATTTAAGACCACCGGATCATTCATACCCCACGTAACTGATTCAATTATTTCCTCTTTCGGGTTCGACGAGTTTAAAACATTGGACAACTTCAAATCATATGTCTTTCCTTCCAGTTGTAAATTTGTGAACCTAGACATTAATTCCACGCAAGATAATAATGCTCTGCAGCAAACTTGTTTTGAAGCTGCTAAACCTAGTAAAAATAATTGAGACCAAAGAGGTCGAATCGAAATTTTGAATGTCTTCCTTAAAGACAAGAAGAACCCACCGAAAGATACAAGTATTAACATATTATACCTTGCAACTGATTCTTGAAACTTAGTCATTGTCAATTCGTCTTCAAAGTTTTCCTTATCCATGCTGATGACCTGATAACAACTCAGAAGAATAGAAAAAGCAGGAAATATGTTGAAAAATCTGACAACTATATCTTTGTATATTTCAGGATCACATGTATCTAAGCTGTTAGCATAAAAGTCTTTCAAAATTAATTGCGATGAATCAGAGCGGATAAACTTTTTAAGGATAGCTATACAACTGAGCAAGTCGCCAACTGCCACCTCCATTTTACTTAGCTTAGCAGCGCAAAATCTGAATGTTTTAATAAAGTTCACCAGCATATAATTTTGGTCCTCAAATATTGCGTGATGAAAGTAATCATCGTGTATATGAAGAGGGGTTCCAAGGTCTATTGAATTTAACGCATCAATATGAAGCAAAAATATCCAAATATTTTTTATGGTTCTTCTCACAGTCAAGCTCTCTGCGGCATATAAGGAATCTATATTTCGATGAAATCCCATATTTATTGCCATATTGATACACAAAGAATGCAAAAGAGCCCCATTTGAGCCATCTCCACCATCATTATCTCTCATATTATATTTTTTATGTAGTCTCAATAATATCAATGCTTGCAATGTAGAAACAGTTGAGAACTTTAAAGTGTTTCCTTGAAATATCAAGCTTGTTGCGTAGTTGAGTAGCTTATCACTTACATCATACAAATTTTCATTCTCTAGTTCATCTTCTTGTATCGAATATTCTACTAAGATCATTATTAGTGCAATACGTGAATATTGAACCTGTTCCATATTTCGAGCGGTCACTTTTCCATTATTATTCTGAAATATTGCCATGAAATCCTCTAAGATAGTATCTTGATCTATTATAGGAAATGCCCTGTACCATATGCTTTCAAAAAAACGATTCAATAAAGACCAAGTATTTTCATAGGAAGGAAAACATTCCGGGATTGATTCGACATTTACAATTTGTATAATCTTCATATCTCTGTTACCTCTCTTGTTCTCCGCTTTCCACTGCTTTCTTCTTTGACTAATGGAGTTTTTAAAGTCTAAAATAAAAGGAGTCATAATTGGACGGAAGCTTGCCAATCCATAATATACTATTCTCCTTTTCTTGTTATACAACTGCTCAAACATAACCCTTCTATGTACCCGAATCGGTACATTGCCATCCAGGTTTACATCTAAATTTTTTTTTCTTTATTTAAGAAGTCTCGATATTCAATGAATCCATTGCTAACAGATGAATCATATTTGCATTCTTCAAGATTTCGACTAAGACAAGAGCTGCACTTTGGCCTTTTTCGATCACACTTTATTTTCTTCAGTTTGCAATTAATGCACGAAAAGAAGGTTCTCTTACGTTTTTTGCAACATTGTTTTGGAAAGTCATTTACAGTAGTGATTTCCATCATAGATTATGAATACATCAAGAAATAACGTTCTTGTTTTGCACTGAAATAGGAGAAATTATATGCAAGCATAGAGATACAAGATTTGTAATGATAATGAAGATTCAATAAAAGAAGAGTAAGAATTGTAATTGACGTATACTAAATTTATACATTGAGGCGAATCCGGAATCTGGAATAAACATGAAGGCTCTATTTTAACGTAGCTATAATATACTGAATTTTAAAAAGTAGGGGCTGAGCTATCAGCGTTGAAAAAGTATGGCCATCAGCAACGCATTCTGGAAATTAGAATGAAGAAAAATTCTAAAAATTATTTCGACTTGGTCTCTAGACCCAAGGTCGTCATACAAGGGGATTCGAGGACTCTTTGGTTGAAGTCTCCCCCGTCAATGCGGGAAAGAGTACAAAAAAAAGGGGATTGATTTATCTCAATGATGCCCTGAGAGACCTCCTACGAAGAATTACCGATATTCATCAAGGATGCTGAGTGATTTCGAAGTGAAGAATATCCTCATGTTGAATTTCTCAACACTTCGCTCTTTATGACTATGAAGGTGAAGAGTTGAGACATGGTACAAGGATATCATCTTTGGCCGAGCTTCCATTTTATGATCCTAATCCTAAGTCCCGCAGAGATGTTTCCTCAACCAGTTTATGAGCAAACGTTTTAAGTAGCCTGCTAATAATTTTTAAATTAAAAGCTCGATTCTAAATCGTTTCCGATGATGTAAGAATGCTAATATTATCCAAAGCGTATCTCAGAACCTAGCCATTTGAAATTCAAAAAATCGTCATGAGATGTCTAAATTTTAAAAATTTGAGTCTATAATTGAGAGAGGCGTGAAGAATCAAAGCTCGGATACGCTTATTCTATAAATTAAACGGTAGAGAGCTTCTTTGAAAAAAGCTCTTATTTTTTTTTATCTGGTTCTCTTTTTCATTATCTGTATTCTTTTAAGAGCTGCTGCTGTTATGCTAATAAACCTATGATTACATTCCAGTATCATAAGAAAACAGTCAAGGAATAAAGTTTGAGAAATTCAAACTCCCTCTTCCCATTCCAGATCTTGTCATATATTCCTGTAAATCATCAGATTGTGCAGCGACAATCTAGAATAAGGTGAAAAAACTAACAAATAAAAGAAATTTTTATATTATCTATAGTTAGCAAGTCGGCGTATTATAGTCCTGTTTATGCTAGATGTTTCATTCTCCCAAACAAGCACTGAAAAAGAAAAGGGTACTAGAATCGCAGAAGGAGTATTATACACTACTTCTTTACAAGATACTAGGTGCCCTCCAAGCAAGTTTTCCCTTGTTTGGATGCGGAGATGTACTCCGTTCTATATCAAAAGTACCCCAAACGATTGAGAGGCATCATTTGCTCTGTATTGTTTAAATCAATTCTGGGGCATGGTCATTTGCATTTAAAAGCAGGATTCGCTCCTGATGATCCTATTGGTAGAACACAATGTACGTTTGTTAGCAGGATGGGACAAGCGTACTTGTCATATGATCCCTCTTTGCGGTTTATGATGACTTTCATGTCTTCTTTAAGGTTTTTCTGGAACAAAAAAATAATCCCCTCTGACCCCCCCTTCACTCCCCATGGTTTCTTAAGCCCCACCCTTTATTCAGTCTGCTCACTTCGAATCTCTTAAACGCATGAGGGGACTTGGCCATTTCCTAAAGTTGCCAATTGCCGTTTGTCCAGGTTTAGTCGCTTGTGTCACCCTTTGGCCTTCGCAGCAAAGTTCTGTGGGGGAAAAAGCTTGTAAAAAAATGCGGGGTAAAGTTTAACTTTATAATAAAAGGAAAGCATAAAGGTGTTGCAAAAGATACTGTGAGGTATTTGTCTCTTTCTTGTTATCTCTTGTTATTTCTTGGAAGCTGTTCAGGTGAAAGGGATATTCAAAGAATTTGCAATTATAGTAAAGTAGCAGTCATTAGCTAAAAGAATACAACCAAATTGCAGGCATCGTTACTTAAAGGTAGCGCAGCGCTGGAAAAAAAAAAACTCTCGGCTAAAGCAGAGAGTAACATAATCACAAATATAGTGGTGATATTCTGGTAACATCCCGATTATCGTAGGGCGTCCAATAAGGGAACGTAGATCCATGGCTACTCAGAAAAAGTATGTATGTGCTTTTTGCACCAGAGCATTCACAAGGTCTGAGCATAAGCAAAGACACGAGCGATCTCATACCAACGAAAAGCCCTTTCACTGCATGCATTGTACTTCTGCATTTGTAAGAAGAGACTTGTTGCAGAGGCATTGTCGTACAGTTCATAATATTCAGTTGAAGCAGACCGTTGCTGGAAACCATAATGGATCCAGTTCCAATAGTAGCGAGGGAGCAAATGGGCCTTTGAACTCTTCGCAAAATAGTTCTTCAAGCAGCACATCACAGAAGTCCCCGATGGCAGTAAATCATAGTAATTTGATTCCTTTGCTTTCAATAACTAAAAAACTCGAATCTTTGCTCATTAGTTACGATTCGGATATAGTGAATAACACCGACATAAAAAACAACTTTTTAATAGGATACACGATATTGATGTCCAACAAAGAATATCCAATCTTTGAATCCATAAGCAAAGATTTGATACATTTCTTGAACTCCAATATAGCGGGGGTCAAAACTGTGGATTTTAAAGTTTGCTTATTATACTCAGTTTTGGCTATTGGATATGCTAACAATAATAACTATAAACAGTACAACGACTTTATTAATAAGGGATGGTCACTACTTATTTCGAAATTGATCCCAAATTACAATGATAATTTCAACTTGATTGACCAAATAGAGATTTTAAATGATTTATTTCTTTTCGCTTACACTTTCTTGACTTACGCGCCAATGGATCATAATCAAACTTTTACTGCAAATTGTGATTTAGTATTTCATTATTTGGATGAAGTAAGCTATATGGTGATGACAAATTTGACCACTAAGACAGAAGTACTAATAAACTCGAACATGGGCTTGTTTTGGAGCATGTATGTCCTATTGTCAAGATACTCAATGCATGGTGTTCCTCCCAAATTTTACAAACTATTCCTTAATAAACAGATAGATGGTGTTGAATTGTCTAAATTCATGGAAAATTATTCTAAATCAATAATGAATTTGAATAGCAACTTTGTCAAACAAATTGTTATCTTGACTCTTTCAAATGAATTGAACTTATTCATTCATTTCCAAAAACTTTTCATTTTTGAATCTAAAAACACATTACACAACTCCATTATATTGGTGAACAAATCCATTAATCAGGTAACTCTGAACAATGAACTTTTTGATCTTTTTAAGAAAAAATTGATTGTCAATAGCCCCTTGAAATTTCACGAGTTATTGAATATTTATGTATTCAACCCTACCAATCTTCTTAACTGGGATCTCCTTGTCATCTCCTTAAAAGAGTTCAATTATCCATTTGATTTCAGTAGGTTTTTGACGTCATACATAAATGAGCAAAATTTTGATACATTTTATGTTAACTTGCAGCCATTTTTCGAGCATCATGATATTAAGAACAATCTTGTAATTGTCAGTTTTCCCTTGATATTTAACTTGCAATTTTTGTCAATTTCAAATCAAGAGTTAAAAATTATTGATTTTTCTAAATATTCATTCAAGGATATAGATAATTTGAGATGCCTAATAATCGAGTGGTATGCCACAATGATTAAAACAATTATATGGCTTTTTAAAACCCAAGAGTATAGTTTTATTTTACAAAACTTGGTATATCTTATCCTTGAAAAAAAATTTGACGAATTTAAGTTAGAAGAAAAGTGGTTTTGGTGCTTGAAGCAGAAATTTGATTCCTTTTATAATCTTTGGATGGGTCAATTAAATCTGAGCTCAAGTGGAATCTCAACATTTAACACAAATTTAAATACATTTATATCCAAGCTTGTCAAGGAAAGTTTAAATTACGTCGATGAGTCAGCGATTACAATGCCACCTATACCAAGTCAGAGATCAAATTCGATTTCTCTTGGTTCATTATATTTATCCCGGTCACCCAATGGATTATACCCCAAGCCGTTATCGACGAATTCATCATTGTCACTGTCAGGAAAGGATAATAATATACCCATGCCATCTTATACAACAATGCAGCCATACAACCAATTGCCTCATCTCCAGTTCTCCAACTACATTGGTAAGCATTTCAACAAGAATGAGATTCTTTTTCCACCATTATTCAAGGGACATTTTGGCACCTATCAAAATAATTTGAATTCAGTGATACCAGGCAATGAAGATACGTAACTACAGTCTTTAGTAATCTATATTCGATATAGTTAGATATTAATACTAAACACACTACGAACTGTGTTATAATTTTGATCCGTCAAGAACAACGTCGTCATGGTAGCTATTCAAATTCCAAATGTCTATTACTTTGGGGTTAAGGTCAAATTTAGTATCAAAATTAAGTTTAAAATAACACTGTTTGATAGTGTCAATCGGTATACATAAGCAGAATTCTGTTACGGTTTCTAAAGTTTTCTCCTCTCCTAATTGTGACTTGACTTGGGCATTAGAACATATTATACCGAGAAGCTGACCAGACATATTAAATATTCCACCCCCTGAAGACCCATTCCAACATGGAGAGGATGTGACCATTACAGATGGTAACTTTAAATCAGACGTAGTGTCTATAGTTTGCCGAAATAGAGTTGAAATGATGCCACGAGATTCTAATGGTATGATTGAAGAACGATCGAAAAACAACCCGAATCCCTTCGCAACCACTTCATCCCCAATTTCATAAGTTTTTCCAAAAGAAGCAGGAATCATTGAAGAATCATCCATTATAGCTCTGCTTTGGTCAGAGAGTTCAATAAAAGTTAAATCTAGGTGCTTAAATGGGCTAATAACCTTCTCACTCGATGTGAGCCTTATAGACCTCCCGCGAGGAAGATAAGCAATGCACACTACATTGTGAGGGTCATCTTCAAAAGAACCAACTACGTGCTTATTGGTGACTAGTGTCGAACGATTGTAATATGTCGCAGTTGCCCAAAACAGCTTACCTTTACTCATTATAACAAGGGGTAATACAGATAACATATTGTCAAACAGCTCTAATGTTTCAGAAGCAGCTCTCACTGTGGAAATCGGGGGCAAGGGTCCACTTAAGTGTCTTTTAAAGTGTGATGATAATGCAGTCCATAAGAAGTTCCAAGAAATCACAAAAAGAAGATCTCCATCTCCGTTAGTCTTTCTTATGTTTCCCATTACTAAACCAACGGACTCTTTCGACTTCTTTGTTGCTACACTACCCAACATATTCTCTAAATACTTAAGATCACTTAAATACCCAAGCACGTCATTATTCGAATTTAATACACAAGTTGCATTGCCCTTAGAAACAAATCGAGAGAACACTAGTGAATTAGTAAAGTTGAATGGATAGGAAGAGACGAACATGCTTTCTCCAACTCTCAAGTCAGCAAATCGAAGGATCTTTAGATCCCCAAGTGATTGCTTTAAAGAATGTTTATCCTTAATTTTTAGTGACATGACGTTTAGTTGAGATATATCATCGTTAGGGAGAATCTTAAACCCATTCTCTTTGAAAAAATTTAAAACCTTCAAGAGATCATGACTTAAGGATTGAAGTGGTACTTGTAAGTCACAATTACAGCGATACCAATAGACGGTCTCTTCATCATTGAATTCTGCACAGTTGAAAATAAGTGAATAGCCTGATAAGTCATAAATTGAGCTTATAGTAATGATTCTTTCAAACAAGAGAATGTTAGCAGAGCTCCTTAGGGCGACATAAGCACCTGAAAATGATTCATTGCTGCGCTTCCCATCGTTTGAAACTAATCGAACGCACACAGGCGTGTAGACCCAAGTCTTCATAATATTGACCATGTTCTCTCAATATATTATCGCCTAAAAAAGACATATTAGGCCTACATATAATATTTAGGAAATCTTAGAACGCGTTATAAACACTAAGAATATAAATGTCATTATATTCTTAAACAATTGAAAGGGTGCCCTCTAAGAATGAGTGATATACCAGGATCTTCTACCTATGATAGGGATGACTCAGTTTTAGCCCCCAATAGTACAAATAAAGGAAACGGGCAACAAAAAATATCGCATTCGCCATCATCTTCAATATCATCGGTAAACAGTGACAGTTCCACAGGAAAGTTGATCGAAAGTCTCTCAATACATAAACTCAGTAAACATTTAGACAATAAACCTGATGATAAGAGCGTGGATAACAAAAATGCAGATAAAGTAGAGAAGTTAGAGAAGTTAGAGCTACCAAAGGAGCAAGGAAACTCAAAGAGTCCCGATAACCTGAAAGAGAATAAGACTCAACAAACATCGGATAATCACAAGATTCGGTTACCCAAGAACGAAAAGCATAAAGCAATTAAGTTTACCGTTAGGAAAGTGTCCCATGAGCCCATCAACTCCCCTCCTTTGGGCAAAAATGCAATTGTTTCTCCGGCAAACGCAGGATCCCAGGATGTTGAAGTTAAGTCACAAAATATTGAACATTTGATATCTTCGCAAACGAGGTATGACCATTATACGAAAAAAATTGCGAAAATTGACAAGGAGATTGACTTTTTAACCAACCTTTTACCACCTTATAACGTAGAAATAGATTATCCCACAAGAACCAAAATAACAGCAGCAATCAGAAAGTTAAGGATGAAGCAGGATGAATTAGAAAACAAAAAGTACAAGTTAGGAATTAATATCAGTAGATTATGGAGGGAGCAAGATGAAAATAATATATGGGTTAGAAGCGTTAGTAATTCATAACGCTAAGACAAAGATCTTTTGTAACATTACAAATACTTCTTGATTTGAAGGAGCCAGTTAAGGTAGGTTATAGAACCCGTAGCAAGACGGTTTCCCAATGTTGTTGGGGAGTAACTACGGGTTCCTATGAGGACATTTTTTTAAGACGCTCGAAAAATGGAGCGTTAAGTTGTTTACCGTATATATCGAAGGAATATATCATTTATTAGGCCAGCAGGCATGAATGTTTTATCTATACGTCGTCTTGACTTGCTTGTTATATAGACAGTAAGGATATAATATTTTTTCTGACAATTAATAGACGCTATCTAAAAATATTTTTAGTGTTCCACAAAATCTCTTTATAATTTAACCAAGGACTATGAGGTGTTTTTTTTGATCAAATTCACTTAAAGAATAAAAAGAAAGTTATAGAAGATTAGACTATCAGTAAACAACTACGAAGAGCGAACTACATTGTAATTGATACTTTCGGCTGATTTTACATACACCTTACTCTGGTCATATTCAAGATGACCAACGGCCAAGATCATAACCAACATGATCTGGGCAACGCCATATTTTTCATACCGGAAGGCAAAGAGGACTTAAATAAAAGTAATCCAAATCACAATCAACTTAGTTATGAGGGATTAAGAAATCAAGATAAAGATCATATTAATTTACCAAAGAGGCAAAGTAAACTGCTGCATGGGTTATCTATAAGCACAGGTTCCCATTCTAATAATTATAGGCTTAGCAGTGGTGAGGCTACACCGAGGACAGAGACATCGGTTGATTTTGAAGAAATTTTAAAGTTCCCTAGTGAATCACCTCATGCGTATTCTTATGCTCACTTATCACCAAATTCATTAGCGCTAAGGTTAAATGTCTTGAAAAGATCATTGGAAATATTAAAGGATAGACCCAGTCTCTTCAAGTCAATCAACTTTGAGGAGGAGAAAGAGACTTCTACGATGAATAATGAAATGCATAATAATAGCGGTCTGAATACTCCTGTTCCATTTTCTCCGTATATTTCCAAGCTGAGAAACAATAGCGCTGATTTCTTCAATAGGAATTGTAAATTAGAGTCAAACGCATCCTCAGCAGCATTATCTGCCTTATTCAGACCTAATATGAGGCGTGCTGATAGTTTGCCTATTGATCAAATCTATTCCACAAAACGTGCGTTCCTGCTGCCTACAGCAAAATTTTATGAAGAAAAAATGAACGTCGATAACCCTTTATTAAACGATGACATCAAAGATGTTATTGAGTTGATAGAGAAGGACTCAACTTCAATTCTTACCAACAGCGAAATTGCATCGACACTACATGACATATCTTTATCCACCAATAAGCTTGATCATAAAATTAAACAAGATTTTTTGAAAAACAGACTCTTATATGCTTTGGCTACTCCTTTCGTGGAGAAGACTTTCATAGCTACGAAACTTTTGAAACAAAACAATATAGCATTTGCGTCCAACACATACCTAAGCTCCTTAAACAATTCTCAGACACAGACAGGTGGAGGCAGACCCTTTCCATCTTTGTCTTCGGGAAAACATACTTTACCTCAATCAATATTTACAATCACTGCTGAGAGCCCTTGGCATATTAAAGCAGCTAATGATTTGGCTTGCTTAATGTTTGGCGCACTGAAAAAAACTATAAAGGCTTTGACGCTAATGGACTTAATTGCACCTCAATTTCGGAATCTAGTGGCAGATAGACTCTCAGGAACTTTTTCACTGAGTCCAAAGGATATGATCGAGCAAAAAAACCAAATTTATTTTGCAGGTGAAATACTAGCTATCTCCATAACGGGCCGCAAAGAATTTGCATGGACATCAATTTGGGCCAAGAGAAAAGATGATTTGATTATTTGCATGTTTGATGAAATACACAGTGACGCTTTCGATTTGGTGGTTCTGTGTGATAAAGAAAGCTACTCTTCTGAGATGTACCATATAGATAAAGTAAGTGAAATTGCAGGAAATTTGGTAGCTAGGTTTGGTTCCCCTGATCTCAAAGATCTAACAAAGCTCAGTGAGTCAATAGCATTAGATCTAAAGATGGGATCAAAAGATGACGATAAGCATTTGGTAGACCTGAACGCACCACAGGATGTCATAGATAGTGACAGGATTAATAGAATAAGATATTATACTTTAAAGCTCGGGGATGCAGACAATGTTCCGTGCGCAATTAGCTCAAATCCAACGGAGCTTGAAGACGATAGGTATGAAATCAAATTAAAAATCCACTCTCTTCCTTACATTGCTGGTATGTTTGTCATAAGTTCTACTACTCACAATATACTTTCTTGCAACAATGCAATCGCTAAGAATCTATTTGGCAGATCAGGAGATTTCTTGAGTGGTAAGCCCATCAACTATTTAATACCGAAATTTGATGCTATCCTACTGCTTGGTCTTGAACTGAGCAAATCACAATTCAGTATTGTTCAAGGATTGGTTCTTCCGGAGCACTTCTTTAGGAGATATGATGCTCTTTTGAAGCACAAGGATGGTGATCTCCGTGACGAGGAAGAGCTATTTTTTAATTCGAATGGAGTTGAAGGAAAGCATCGAGATGGTAATATAATTTACGTTGACGTTCAGTTGAGAGTAAGTTCTAATGAAACGTATGCATTGTGGGTCACATATTCAAGACTGGAAAATAAGTCGACCATATCTAAAGAGCTTGACAAGTTGAATTCAAGTACCTCATCAATTTCACTAAGTCTGGGTGATACCACTGAAAGAAAAAGATCTCGTCTGACAAGCTTTGGAAAAGAGAATTTAGAAGACATACTACCATCTCAGTTAAGCTTATTAAGTGATGAAGGGTCTGAGAAAATGGAGTTTGTTCCCAGTAGGGATGAATTAAACAGGACCAATAGTACGAGAAAGCCAAAAGCAGATTGTTTCATTCTTCCATTGAAAAGCTTCAATCAGTCTTCAACTAGTTTAGCACAGGCTAGTTCTGACATAAGATCGAGCGATGCCTCAGTATGTGAGAATGCCGTCCCTAATTCATCTAGTACACAAGCAACTACTGTTTCACAAGATGAAAAGGTCCCAGAGTACCAAATACTGGGCCCATTGGACGCAAATGAAAGATTCTCTGAGTTACAACTTTTAAAAATGGAAAATAAAATATTGGAGGACAGAAAAAGTAAATCTAAATTGTGGCCATCTACATTGGGCTCTAAAAGAAGAACTAAGAAGATTACAGACTTCAAAGTCACTAGACAATTAGGGGAAGGAGCGTATAGCAAGGTTGTACTCGCACAACATAATGAAGATCCTGATTATGAAGTCATAATCAAATGCATAGATAAGGAAAGGATATTAGTCGATACTTGGGTAAGAGATCGAAAACTTGGTACAATTCCTTCAGAAATACAAATTATGGCCTTTTTGAACACTGACCCTCATCCAAATATTCAGCGAATAGTCGACTTCTTCGAAGATAGAAAGTATTACTACTTGGAAACTCCACTTTTTGGAGACCCCCCTGCTATAGATGTGTTTGATTTTATCGAGATCAAAGAGGACCTATCTGAGCTTGAATGTCAGATTATTTTTAAACAAATAGTAATGGCTGTTTATCACTTGCACAAGCATGGAATAATACATCGTGATATAAAAGATGAAAACGTTATTATTGATGAAAATGGATTTATTAAATTGATTGATTTCGGAAGTGCAGGCTATACAAAGCAAGGTCCATTTGATGTTTTTGTTGGGACCATGGATTATGCTTCTCCTGAGGTTCTTAGAGGTCAGAAATATGACGGCAAGCCTCAAGATGTTTGGGCATTGGGTATCTTATTATACACTTTATTATACAAGGAGAATCCCTTTTACAATGTTGATGAGATTATGGAAGGGAATATAAAGCCTCCATATATAATAAGTGAAAAGTCTATAAACTTGGTTGAAAAGATATTAGTCAAAGATGTAAATGAGAGACCAACAATTACCGACATAGCTGACGATGATTGGCTTAATTTATAAGAGGTGGGAAGATTTTAAGTCTTATGTTTGTGCAGTATTTAGTTCTTTTCTTCCTTATTGCATATCAGTATATAATTCTCACAAAAAAAAATTATAGGTAGAGATTACACGTCTATTTCGTAATTATAGAGAACAAAGGGACTAATGCTTACATCTGGCTGGCTGATGGCGAGAGTATGACGACAGATCATAGTTACAATAGCAATGGAATGAAATTGCCAATAACATTTGATGTACAGCAGTCACTTTCGAACCATCACGTAATATCAATAACAGTTCTTCAACAGATACCGAATTTAAATTTTAATGAATTGCATGTTACATTTTCAAACCAAAGAGTTTTCAAAGTACAGAATGAAGTCCACAAGATTTTAAGTTCATTTCCGGCGAACTATTTCTTAGCGAAGAGTCGACACCTTGGTTCAAGCGAAAACTCAGAGACTAGTCTCATTTATAGCATTTTTAATGAAATCTATGGCATTATTAATTTGGAACGATCGACACGAATTGAAAGCATAAGGTCAGAACATATGCGACTAATACCAAGGTGTACAGATATTACAGAGTTCTTGAATAATATAGCAAATAAACTGATAAGTCAAGAATCAAGACCTGAACATGAAGTCATGTTCAAGACCTTTTCGATGAAACCACCAGGCACTGGAATCGACATTAGAAAAGAGAAAAATATATTATTTTCTCCTCAATCAAGTGAAGACCCCTTAACTTTTCTATCTTCAAGATATTTCAGCACGCTCTATTCTTTGAGCAGTCCCTTAAGTTATTTTCCAAAGACTGCATTATCAAGATTAAGAAACTTATGTGATAATAATCCAGAAATGATATCTCAAGTCATTATCAAAGTTACTTTACCAGTAGAGGATATGGATATGAGACATTCTAACAAATATGGCTTACTCATGAAACTGAAAGAAATGTTTGACAATGATTCTAGGTCTTTCAATATTCATCTTGAGAAAGAAAATCAGGAACGCTTTCTTGACAGGCATGAAGGTCTCTTCAATAACCTTCTATCTTCTGATGACGATAACCCCACAGCTATAGCTCAAAACAGGGAGCAGGAAGAAAAAGTAGATAATTTATTGTTGGACTTGAAGGTGAGAGAGGCTCATCTACAATTTATACTACTATTAGAGTTATTGTGCGCTACGAATGTTGAAGAGTCCAATTTTCTTACTGAAAATTCTCAGTTGCAAGAAGAGGAATTAAAAAGAATCAGCCAACGAGCAAGACAATCTTTAATCAGAAGAAAAAGTAAAAAGGGTAGCAAAAAGATTATACCGACATTTTTAGGCATGGGAATTGATGTGAGCGAGAAACCACAAGCTAAAAAGGAGCGACAAACGTCCATTTATGATTCTTACACAATGTATTCGTCATTAAATACCCTTATAGATAGAATGGGGCTTTGGGATACACTTTTGATGTCTAATAAAAATTTAAAAGACCAATCAATAGACTTTTTAGCATACGTTGTTATCCCATATTTTAAAAAGAGACTTCCCCTAATTGTTGGGTATATCACAGATAAGATGAAGGGCCTGAATCTCAAGTTATTGCATAGGAATTCAAAGCTGAAATCTTTGGAGCCAAGCGAGGGTTCAGATAGACAGAAAATAACCAAGGTTACTAACAGCGCTCATTCCAAATATAAAAAAACCCTTCTTCGAAGAAGGAACACATTAAAGGCGTCTTCGAGCGTACTTGAAAGCGATGGACTACTTCCAGCATTAACTTTCAAAAGATCAAAGTCAAACCTTTCTTCAAAAAATTTACAAAAAAGACAAGTTGAAATGTCTTTAAGCTGGAAGCAGCATTCCATCAGTGAAGAAGGGAAGAAGAATGAAAATACAGACAATGAAAAACGGTCAAAAGACTCGATATTTAGCAATACAAAGAAAATTCAAGAGTCCTTGAATGTTCAATCCTTTGCGGAGGTATTTGAGACTCCACTTAAGAAGCAAAAGTTCTCAAAGGGATCAATTACCCAAGTGGACATGACGCCTAATAAGAAAACCGAGTCACATTCTAAGAGCAAGAGTTCTTTTTCACAAGTTGAGATGACTCCATCCAATAGGACGCATCTTCGTTCAAATATAATATCTTTTAAAAGAACGCCGAATAAAGACAGAATAAATCATTCTACTAGTTCTAGCAACCCTTTTATCACGGACATGGATGATCCCGCTCTTTATTCTTCACCAGCAGAGTCTCAAATTACCAGCTCTCCAACTAACTTCACGAAGCGCCATGGTATTCAGCTACTTGAGGATTCTCAATTGACGTCAATGCATAGTCCAAAAAAGAAGTACAGGCCTGGGGATCCAATTCCAATTCAGAGTTCTCCTTACTATAAGTCTAGAGAGATTGAGAAACCAGAAAATCTATTCTCAGGCTTTTTATCCGAGGTAGAGAAAGATGTTCATACTAGCGGAAATGAGTTACAGAGAATCTCAAGTTCTGCTCTATCTACTAGTGTACAGTGTTCGGAAGATGAGGTCCAGTCCGATGGCTATAATACAGAGGAGACAGATAAGGATTGAAAGCTATTGGCCGTATATTCATTAATAAAATTACAAGAATATTTAAATATATCATGTACAAATAATGTACCAAAACATCTAGGACATCCCTTGAGATAGAAACCAAGGTATAATATCAACCCTCCGTCTCTCCAAAGAAAATACCTCTAACTATGTCTTGAGCGTCATCCTCGGAGGCAACTAAATCACCAAGGGTTTCTCCGATCCTATCCCTAAGTTTATTTTTAGTTTCATCACTTAATACCTCTTCATCCATGTCATTAGACAATTCTATTTTGACCTTTAACTTCCTTAAACAGTCAACGGCCGTGCTTAACAATATATTTTTTTCGAACTCACTTTTGTTGCCTTCATCAATCACCAGCTTGCACCACACTTTTAAGTTTCCTACCAAAACTAGTTTTATGACATCTGGTCCCATATTTTTCAAACCCAAAAATGCACCGTAGTGTGTTCCTGTAGGTTTAGAAGTATCCAACAAAGCTCTCAACAAAGTTCGAGTAACCCTTGGTCTAAGAGTTGAATAAGAAGAGCCATATACTTTTGTCAAATGATCAAGTAACACGGCGGCAAATTCCCTAACTGCCAATTGCTTTTTTAACAATTCCTGCGATTCCTCTTCATTTATATCTTTCATTAAAGGTCCAATTCTCTTTGCGAGCAATAAAGTAAGTATACATGGCATTAGCGCGTGGACATAAGGATCCAAAAAAAGAGTTTTATTATCAACGAGAGCTGATATCACTTCCAACATCGTTGATAATATGTCAATATTTCTCAATTGATTTGTAATTTGCTCGGCAACGAATTGAATGAAATATGGAACTAATTGATGCAAACCTGGGTCATTTTTGAGAGATGTTAAAGCGGCATACTTAAGAGTTTCTTTTTCAGGATCTGAAGATACAAGTACTTCCACTACCTTGTCAAAGTACAATTTAAGTTCTTTAGATAAAACATGCTTTACTAATGGACGTATTTGCATCTCTTTATCCACAGGCTTTTTACTTTTATCTCCAACATGGCCATTCGTCGGATCCGAAACATCTCCAGTTCCTGAGCTTAAAATATCGCTTCCGAGAATTGATGAAGTAGCACCCCTGACTATTGGTGGAAGATTTTTTATTTCAGCTGGGGACGGATTTTGAGGTATCATGGGCTGTACTCCTTCTATCGCGAGCCAGTGAGCAGTGAAAGTTGTTTCTCTTGGTACAGTAGGTAATTCTTGGTTTATGAGTTTCTCTAATTCTATCTCATTGTCATCGACGTAGTATAGTGTTTGTCCACCGGCTCCAACTAGAGCCTCCTTGAAGAATAATGGTTGGGTGTTATCGTAGCCGTACAAAGGTTCAATGTTTAAAGCCTTGAGCGCATAGTTGATATCATTAGTCATAAGAAGCTTCCTCTTCGAATGTCTCATAAATTTGATTGCCACTTCTAGTATTTCATGGATACGATACTCAACATCCATCGCAAGATTCTTAGCCGCCTCTTCAGGCAAATTAACGCCTAAAGACTCTGCTGCATCTTTCACAGTATCATGTGGGGACCACAATGAATGAGATAGTGGAACCTTTGAACTTGGGTCCATTTTTTATTCGTTTGTTATCGATAAATACAATGAAATATTAAACTGAGTTCAAGTTTTAACTTGAAGCATATTTATGGAGTATGCAGGATTTTTAAAACACTATATAGCTGGTGAAATGTATATGTCTAATGAACGCAACGGAGCCACTTCCGGTAAGTTTACTTGGGTATCGTTATTCCAGTAGCCGAAGAGCCATCTGAATTTTTCATTTGAAGGATCAAATCGTGATTCAACTCCAAGAGCCTTTTATTTTCTTCAGTAAGTTGTTCGGCTCTTTTATCTCTCTTTTCCAATTCCTTCTCGAGACTTTCAATCTTAAGATTGAATTGGTTCCTTTGAGCGTTATTGAGCATTCTACGTGTCGATGGTTCTTCCTTGTTATCCAGCGACTCATCTAGCTTGGCAGTTTCCTCATCAGAAAATTTATCGCCTTCTTTTACATTCAAAGAAAGACCAAGGGACGATGTTATTTGCTCGTAGACAGCTCTATACTGCTTTTCATATCTCTCTTTACTTAGATTAGACATAACTTCGACATCATGACTGCATGAGTAGAATAGCTCACACAAGAGCCTATCACACCTGTCATCTAGTACTTCCTTCATAGGTAAATGATACAAGGAAGACCTATTTGGTGAATCATTGTGTATCACGAATCGGACTCTAAAATCTGACATCAATTGATCATATATTTCCTTAACATAGGTACCATTAAACGTAGGTAAATACGCGCCCTGTGGAACTTCCGAGCTTTGCTTTGGATCCACGGTGAACTCATGGTTGTTAAGACTGATCGCAACTACCTCCCACATGTCACCCTTAGCCTGATCTCCCCATTGCAAGTGTGGTAAGTACATTAACACATACTCTAGCAATGGTTCTTTAATGATAGCAGTAATACGCTTTTTCTCTTTTTTATAAAAACTCTGACCAAAAACCATATTTGATTAGTTTGATTTACTAATATAGACGTTCAATACAATTACTAAACAGCAACGTTTAAACACTTCCTATAAGTGTAGAATTAGCAAAAAATAAGTAGGAGGAAATAAAAGTTTTGATAGGAGATCGGTTTG